CTTCAAAGACAAAATAATATAAACCCAAGCATATCAGGATAAAATTATATTCAACGTATTAGACAACACCAACTTATAGATCTATTAAAAGTAATATTATAACAAAACATAGACTTATAGATCTATTAGAATACTAAACGTTTTAGACAACACCAACTTATAGATCTATTAAAATATTAAACGTTTTATTATAACAAAGCATCAATGACTTATTATGAACAATATTATAACAAAGCACTGATTATTACTACTTATAACCGAGCAAAGACCATAATCGAGCAGTGATAGTTGACCAAAAACCATAAACGAGCAAATACCAACATAACTATTTATAATTATAATAGATCACACAAACGATGATATGAGATGAACCTATGATTTAAATAAACATTAAATAGATTTTGTTGTGTTTACCGATGGAGGAAATTGAAAAGTAGAAGTTGGTGATGTTGGTGATGTTGGTGATGAAGAACGTCGGAAACGGCGCAACAAAACGGAGGCTATTTTTTTTTTTTTTTTTTGTTTTTTTTTAGACGGCTAGGGTTAGAGCGTGCTGATAACGTGTTAAGAAAGAGATTGAAGGGGTAAAATCTATGTTCATTCTATTGATAACTAGAAGGTATATATAGGGATACAAATATGGTGAATAGACTAATGGGCCTATAATGGGCATCCACTAAATCATTCATAACATATACACTATTGTACTTGCTTAATTCTGTCTATTTAATTTCTCTCGGATTAGTCTATACTCTATACACTAGTGTATAGCATTGTACATCTCAATTGTCTTGTCCTGTTATATAACTAGTCCTATGTTATGTACCTTCTAAACATCTATGAGAAATGTAAGTACACATACAATATGATAATATTCCAACACTTCTACATAAGTACACACTTGGCTAACCGAGCCATGCAGGGATAGCCTATTTGAGTATTTTATATTTTGACACCACAAGTCATAACCTAATCACAAAAGTAACTAAGTAATTTTTTCCGATAATATTATCTTTTACTACGTGTTTAATAGACCAATCGCTCGTGGAGTTTGAACTACTACCCTTACTTGCTTTGACTCATTCCCTTTCTCCGTTTTACTCTAGTTTCGGTTCTTTTAGACCAACAAATGATAACACGACACGTGTAGTTTGTGTTCACCTAGTTCCCTTCTTTTGTAGTTGGTTGGTATGTGAGTGAGTGTGTGTGTATGGGATGGAACCTAAACGGTGTGAGATCGACGGGCTGTTACACTCTTGGTTGCTCGTCCAGACGGAATCCGCTTGCCGAGAGACACTTTGACTTTTTCATTCCGTTATTCTAGATGCTCTAAGTTTGGTCAGACTTTGCGTTTCCTAACTTTGACTTCTGCATGCAAAAAAAAAAAAAAAGCTCTTTAAAACACGATTAGTATTTAGTAGTATCTTTATGCATGGACTCCTTCTACTTCTACATCCGACAACTTATAATAGAAATCAACAAAGTCAATAATTGTAAATATATATATATATATATATATATTTAAAACACTAAGAGGAATCACACTCTCATAATGCATTACCATTGATAATTTTAGATGAAATTAATTCGGCTCGATCGACAAAACAATAACAACAACTATATACTTCTAAATAGTTGAGATCACTCTGATTGTTTTAACTATTTAGAAAGCAAATATCTTAATTTTATATAGAACGTCATTATTTTTTTGTCTGAATGGAAGCTTCATGTACGTAAAAGTTTTCTCCTTTTGATGTCACTATTTACATTTCTCTATCAATATCTTTTCATACCCATGAATATCTCGTGTTCTTACCGAAATCCCAATATTAATAATTAAACATATATACAGTGTTCACAACTAGCTACTGTATATATATAGTCAGTCGGTCAGAATAATGTAAAGATTGTAGCTAATCCATTTGGTCGATGCTCATTAATTATATATTCGATTTTTGGATTATGCAAAGCGAGATAATACTTAAATTTGCTATATCCAAAGTTAAAGTACAGAAACAGACAAATCATCAAAACATGTGAGTTAATTTGTTTGTTTCCTCTTAATGAGGGAGAGGGTAAGGGTGATCTGTTACTTGTGGTTTCAATTTTTTTACAAGACATTAACCAAAAATGGCGTAGTCAAGATCTTGAATGGACCCGTTTTGGTTTAGAAGGTATTAATGTTTTTAGCCAATTTTATTTATTTATTTATCGGAGTATGTAATTTGGTAGGGTCTGCATGTCATTTTTCTCTACGTGCCGTAGCTGTTTTCACGTGGTTAATTGCTCAATTATACAATATGAACACAAAACACGTATCGTAAGAGTCGCAACGTAGTTATGGAGATGTATGTATGCATATGGTCCCAAAGCTAAGTAGACTAAAGTAGTAAATGAAGGTTGACAAGCATGCTTTGCTCTTGCTAGCTAGTGGCTTAATTATTTCAATGGTAAAATTATTATTGATGTGTCTGCGTCTTCGCTAAAAGGATAAGTATACTATTAATTTGACTTGTCTCTGTATATGCCGGACATGTAACTCGTCATATTCCCCGTTATCTCAGTTTCAAAAGTCTTTGAGTTGGTTGATACTTATAAGAATGTACATGTGACTGCGACAAACATCAACTAAAGAATCATTTGATTTCTTTCTCTATTCTTCATGTTATGTTATCTTTATTCTTCCAACATACTTGATTCTGAAAACATGATCTCGTTCCTGAGTTATAATATATATATGGTTTTCGAACATACGAGCATCTTATAAAATATTATCTTCTCCTAATTAACACCTGAATATTGGTTTCAATAAACCAAAATAACCTAAACAAAAAAAATATATATATATATAGCTGTATGATAACGAGTTTTTATCCGCTACTTGGCATGGACCAAACTTCCAAAACTATTTTTTTTTTTTTTTACTTCGAAAACTGATCGAAAACCACAGGATACGTATTATTCTTGCTCTTTTCGTCGATTTTATGTATTGTCTTAGTAATCAAATCTTATCTGATGTATTCTTTACTTGCATGCTGCTGATTATATATATTATCCATGGTTACACAGAGTTCAAAAACTATTAAGGATACTCCATATTAGAAAATAAAAGTTATATAGAGTGATTCAGTCTCGCAAAAGAAATTAGATTAGTGTCTTCGTTATATATTCTAGCACGTAGCCAAAAGAGTTGCACGTACGGGCATTATCAGTTGGGGTCCAAAGGGGTGTATTATTATTAGAAGTGTAATTAAAACATATCTTCATTGGATGATATCTACAATATATATAGATGCATAGGTGAGACGTTGAAAGCACAGAAGAAAAAGCAATGGCATGTGGTTTATGAGAAAAGACTAGACGTAGCTCCATTATTATGGTTGCATTATTTTTATTTTTATACTGTCTAAGTCTACCTCTTTTACATTACATACACTGCATCCATATTTATTGCACTCCTCATGTTATTATCTTTACATTTACTTTGAGATTCCTTCGTGGCAAACTCTTCTTTTATTTTTATCATTTTTCGAGCTTTGTATAAAAATGGCAATAAGGGAACAGGAATACACTAAAATGTAATGGGTTTTAATCACCACATTTGAAGTATCAAAATCAATGCTTAAATCATGGAAAATAAAGTATACATGAATAAAAATATATATGATAATTAATAAATGACAAACATAACTTAACTGGAAGACTGCAAAATGACAGAATTTATAAATAAGAAATGGTATCAAATGAATATGTAGATTAAACAGTGAATTTATGGAATATAAGAGACATTCTTGCGTACGTATCTAAAACATTGTACATATAGTATTGTGTTTGTGTTTCTATGTTAGAGTAAACATAATAATCATGGCATACCTCTATAATGCAAAGTTCAAACGATTACTCTCAGTGGATTAGTGTAAGACGATTTCCTCGAAACCTCACGTTTAAAGAAGGCAAAACCAAAATTTTCAATGTTGAGATGAGAATGTTTGTGTGTGTGTGTGTCGTCGAGGAGATGAGAATGATTATACGTCAAACGACTAATAATTAAAAGGTTTAATGTTGAAAATTAAAAGAAAGTAAAATATATATAGACAGGCGTGAGCATAAGGCATCATAAACAAATGATGGTGAACACTGACTATGGGGTCCAAACCTCCATAATTGCAACCTTGTGCTTCTTCTCTTCTTTCTTTCTCTTTTTCTCCTTTCTTCATATTTTTTTCTTTATAATTTCCTTCATTAATTTCTTTTTTACTATTTTCCCTTCCTTCAAAATAAGTAGACTAAACTTTTTATCGCTGACAAGTTTTTTTACCCTTAGTAATGTACAACTACCTTCCGAATAATGATAACTTTGGTCGTTTAATTTCCAGGTCTATTTGCTATCTTATTGTTTAATTTCGTCTTGAATATCGCCAAATATGTTACTCAAAAAAAAAAAAGAAGAATATCGCCAAATATTAGGGTAGAAGACTCCACTAGTTTGGACTAGACAAGTTCGGATGTTTTGTTTTTGTAATAGTGGTGTGAGTTTCGTAGTAGTAAGTTTGTATGTGCCAGATGAGAATTGTCATTATATGATATACGGGTTTGAGGACTAAGACGTCGTACACATACCCTAATATCCAAATAAACATATACATCAAATACCCTCTTTCCTTTTTGCAACAAATTAAGTAACGTATATACTATATCTTAATATCTGTAACATATGTAGCTCTAATTATGGGGTAAGAGAACTCTGTTCTGCTGACGTTACATACTAAACATATGCAGATCTCATTTAGACAATCGAATTTTCATTTTATTGAAAATTCAAAGATGAATACTAAAGATTTTAGTTAATAAAGCTTCAACAGATATACAATTGCTAGTAATTATTTACGGCTTATATATGAATGATACGTTTATATGTTTTTTTTACTAAACACTTCAATCAAGATGACTATATTCATAAAAAGAGAAGCATCGAGTGACTTAGTTTGCTACAAAATATGTTTGCAAAAAGTGGATATAATTGAAGCCGATTTTTTTAGTAAAACTCGAAATGTTCAATCAGAACCGATTAGAGAATCAAACGATCATGAACATGCTTAATTTAAGAACGAAGATGTTGATTAATAATTAAAGCTGTGTGCAGTTGGTGAGGAGAAAAAATAGATTTGTCGTCCAGGTTTTATGCTCATAAAGCAACACATGAGTGTTTCTACCTAACAGCCTATTTCTCTATACACTTACTTTTTTTGGGGTCATTAAGTGGACTCACCTAATTTTTTCATATTCTAAGGTTACCATCTCATATATTATGCTAATCACCGTTTTTTTAAAGACATGCGGATCACCAATTGTCTCATAGAATCAACTTGTCATAATTTTGTAGTTGCTGCAAAAGTTACTGTAGTTTTTTTTTTTCCTTTCACAGTAAATAATCAAGATGCACACATTACTTAAGATACCGATTCATAAAAGTAAAATCACAAGTTGTTCAAAATATTTTATTTGGAGAATTAAATTTCACACAGAAATTAAATTTAATAAATTTCAAAAAACATTTGTATTCTTCTATTTCACTAAACCTTAATATATATTTACAAAAAAAAAACACAGAATCAAAGTCAAATCAAAAGATTGCACAACCGGCCGGATCAGAATCCTTGAATGCCATGCATGATGATGATGATGCTCTCCGCATCTTTTAAGAGATATGGCCCAAAAATGTCAATACCAAAACTCAAGCCCACACCCAATGACCCTATTTTAGAAAGATATAGATACATGACACGACAGATGTGAGAGGCATCAGTGATTCACACAAGTCACAAATGATCTGCAGATGATCAATTAGTGTTTCCCAAATCGTAATTAACCTTCCACGACACTTGTAAACAAGTACACATCGTAGATCATGTCCTCTTCTCGGTAAACTTGAATTCGAACTAACATAATACCTTTTTCTTTTAAAACACATTTCTGTTCTATCCCTTTAATTTTATTTTTGTTTTCTTTCTGCTAGCTGAAGAGTTGATAGGATTTTATTTTCTTAACACTCGTTATGTTATTTCGTTACAAGAAAATAAAGAGTTACCATAAACATTGAACACGAAGCAAGAACGAAAAATACAACAGCAAAAAAGAAAGAAAGATTCTCCTTTTTTTTTCTTTGGTGTTTTTATTTTCTCGGATGAGTATCTTCAGGTTTCGCTGTCCCTGTGGCCGCCTTAGCTACATCAGTAGCACTAGCTTCTGGCTTCTTCTTAGCATACATAACAGTGTACATGACGGCACCAGAGATAGCTAATCCAACAAGAGCCATCGTGGTGTAACTATACGGCAAGTTACGGCGTTGGTGAAGAACACCACCTGGATTACTTCCTGGTGGTCTCTTCGAAGACTCAACTCCGGCGGTTTTCACTCCCTCCGAGCTCATCTTTGTTGTATCAGCAGTTTTTCTCCAGTCTTCTTCTCCGGCCATTTACGTAATCTCTCTACTTGGATCTATACTTTACTAACCATAGAAGAAACAGCTTTTGTTGTAGTCTATATGCGGTTTGGAGATGGTACTTATGAGCCACGAAGACACGTAGTGTACGATAATGTGTTCAATAAGTGACACCTAGTTGATTCTGTCTGTTTTCTGTAATAAAGAAATTAGGCAGGTGTCAAGCCTTGGTAAACTAAGCCAGGTGCCATGTTAGATTTGATTAAAATTTACAATCTCAATTATACATGCTGAGAACAGATTGAAAGTTTCATTTTCTGTTTCATATGGGCCTTATAGGCGATATGTTCTTGTTCATATTTATTTTTTAGATTGAAGGCCCAACAATCTCACAACCCAATTATACTAGCAAACAAAAAGGAAAGTAAAAAAACAGAAACAGCTTAGCTTGACCAGTCTTCCTAGAAGACCGTGAAATCACTTTCGACCAGAGAGTTCAGGTTTTGTCTCTTACCTGACCGTTACGTCACCTTTATCATCTCTCAACGGATACATTCGCATTTACCATGTTTTCCTTTTTCTTTTTCGTTTAGTCTTAAACGGCTAGTTTCCAAGTCTCTCTAGCTCTATATATATAACCCACACAAGATCCTCTTCACGCACTTCATCTCCAACTCACTCAAATACATATATACACACTTGATTATTTTTTTTCTTAGCTCAGTACAGAGAGTGTTAAATTTTAAAACAATGGCTTCTTCTACTTCTCTTCTAGTGGCCATATTCTTCTGCATTTCCTTCCTCTTCTTCCTGTCAGTGGACGCAAATGAAGTTACCGTCGGTGGAAAATCCGGTGACTGGAAGATCCCTTCTTCCTCTTCTTTCTCTTTCAACGAATGGGCTCAAAAATCTCGCTTCAAAGTCGGAGACTCCATTGGTAAATCCTCACTTTGTAACTTGTTCTTATCTCAATATAGAGATTTCGTATAATCTTCAATATACTCTGTTTCTGACGCTTTGTCACATGTTTATCTTCAGTTTTCAGGTACGAAGCCGGTAAAGACTCGGTTCTCCAGGTGACACGAGAAGCTTACGAGAAATGCAACACCACGAGCCCTAAAGCCAGCTACTCCGATGGGAACACTAAGGTGAAGCTAGACCAATCCGGTCCGGTATACTTCATCAGTGGAACAGAGGGTCACTGTCAAAAGGGTCAGAAGCTACGCCTAGTCGTCGTCACTCCTCGCGACTCTGCTTTCTCTCCAGCTCCGTCGCCATCTGAGTTCGACGGTCCCGCCGTTGCTCCTACTAGTGGCGCTGCTACACTCACTGGCGCATTCGCCTTCCTCAGCCTTGTTCTTGGATTCTGGACCCTCTTCTAAATTAAAAGCTTTTCTTTTAGAAGATTGAATTCTATTTATTAATTTCCGAACATGAAGCAGAGATCAGATCATTGTTGTCTCGTTTACTCTTTGTGATCTATTAAATTAAATTTATTATTTAATCGGCATTCTTCTTTCACTAGTTCAGTTCAAATTAGATGGATCTATATCAAACGTTATAAAAGAGAAGAAAAATAAATGTAACAACCAAGAGAAAAATGATTATTAAGATATTGGATATTGTTTCAAAAACGGAAATTAGATTACAAAAGCATCTGGGCTGGCGTTAAAAGTTATTAAGCCTATAGTAATGGGCCTAAATTGGGCCTGAAGATAATTTGGGAGAGAAGCAAAACGGTAAGGATTGTGTGGAGCGAGTCACTGATTGATTTTATGATTTTATCCTCTCGGTCTCGGCTAAGTCTTTTTATTCTTATGCTCCAGAAAATATCCGGTTCACTGAATTCGACTCCGTCGTGCTTTTCGCCGGTGAACGGAGCTGTATCAGAATGTTTTATGACTATTCGTTCTCGCCTTGTGTTTTGTTAGTTACATCTTCGCCACTTGAAATGTGATGAATCATCATCGTTAATCTCTCTGTTTTCGTTTCACTTTTTGTATTACGGGGAATTGCTTACTTGCGCTTGGCTTTTCTTTAAAATGGTCGCGTTACTCTGCTCGACTAGTCTGTGTGGTGATGTTACAGTCGGTGATGCTTGTCTGCTTAGTAACATCAAAGCAAAATGTTGTTGGAGACGCGATAATTTGGTTACTGGAGGATTAAAGTTCCACCCTTTGAAGATTGGGTCTCGGAAGAAACACTGGAGAAAGAAGAGCATGAGATGTAGTGTTGTCTCCATGAAAAGTTCTGACTTTTCGGCTTCTATGATAGGAAAAAGCTTGAAATCTAATTTGTCATCAATTGAAGTAACGAGGGTTTTAAAGTCGTTTCCTGATATTGATTCTAAGTTTTCGTATTTCAAGTCCGTAGCTGATAATTCGAATTTAGTTCACTCTACTGAGACTTGCAATTACATGCTTGAAGCTTTGAGGGTTAATGGAAAAGTTGAGGAAATGGTTTATGTGTTTGATTTTATGCAGAAGAGAATCATAAAGAGGGATGCTAATACTTATTTAACTATTTTCAAGAGTCTTTCTGTGAAAGGTGGATTGAGGCAATCACCTTATGCGCTTCGGAAGATGAGAGAATTTGGTTTTGTGCTGAATGCATATTCATACAATGGATTGATCCATCTTCTGCTTAAGTCTAGGTTTTGCACAGAGGCAATGGAGGTCTATAGTAGAATGATTTTGGAAGGTTTCAGGCCTAGCTTGCAGACTTACTCTTCACTTATGGTAGGATTGGGGAAAAGAAGGGACATTGAATCTGTGATGGGTTTACTTAAAGAGATGGAGACTTTGGGGTTAAAGCCCAATGTGTACACGTTTACAATATGTATTCGGGTGCTTGGTAGGGCAGGAAAGATTAATGAGGCATATGAAATACTGAAGCGAATGGATGATGAAGGATGTGGACCTGATGTAGTTACATACACTGTTCTTATTGATGCTCTGTGTACTGCTAGGAAGCTCGATTGTGCAAAGGAGGTTTTTGCAAAGATGAAGACAGGAAGACACAAACCGGATCGTGTAACTTACATTACTCTGCTGGATAGGTTTAGTGATAACAGAGATCTGGATTCAGTGAAGCAGTTTTGGAGTGAAATGGAGAAGGATGGTCATGTACCTGACGTTGTAACCTTTACTATTCTCGTGGATGCTCTGTGCAAAGCTGAGAATTTTACTGAAGCATTTGATACATTGGATGTGATGAGGGAACAAGGTATCTTACCGAACCTCCACACATACAACACGTTGATTTGTGGTCTTCTAAGAGTTCACAGGTTGGATGATGCACTTGAACTTTTTGGTAATATGGAGTTCCTTGGCGTCAAACCTACTGCCTATACGTACATCGTGTTCATTGATTACTATGGAAAGTCTGGAGATTCCATCAGCGCTCTTGAGACCTTTGAGAAGATGAAAACCAAAGGAATAGCTCCAAACATTGTAGCCTGTAATGCGTCTCTCTACAGTCTAGCTAAAGCAGGAAGGGACCGAGAAGCAAAGCAAATATTCTATGGCTTGAAAGACATAGGGCTGACCCCTGATTCAGTAACATATAACATGATGATGAAGTGCTACAGTAAGGTTGGGGAGATAGACGAAGCCATCAAGCTGCTTTCTGAGATGGTGGAGAACGGTTGTGAACCTGATGTTATCGTTGTTAATTCTTTGATCAACACGCTTTACAAAGCTGATAGAGTAGATGAGGCGTGGAACATGTTTATGAGAATGAAGGAAATGAAACTCAGGCCTACAGTTGTGACTTATAACACATTGCTCGGAGGTTTAGGCAAAAATGGAAAAATTCAAGAGGCGATTGAGTTGTTCGAGGGGATGGCGAAGAAAGGTTGTCCACCTAACACAATAAGTTTTAACACTCTTTTTGATTGTCTTTGCAAAAACGACGAGGTAAATCTAGCCATGAAGATGTTATTCAAGATGATGGACATGGGTTGTGTCCCAGATGTTTTTACTTACAATACGATTATCTTTGGTTTAATGAAGAATGGTCAAGTCAAAGAGGCAATGTGTTTCTTCCACCAGATGAAGAAATTGGTATACCCTGATTTTGTTACCCTCTGCACTCTTCTACCAGGTGTTGTCAAGGCCGGTTTAATCGAAGATGCTTACAAAATCATCGCCAACTTTCTTTACAACTGCGCAGACCAACCAGCCAGTCTTTTCTGGGAAGACTTGATGGGTTCTATCTTGGCCGAAGCTGGATTAGACAACGCAGTTTCATTTTCTGAGAGATTAGTAGCTAATGGGATTTGTCGGGATGGTGAATCGATCCTGGTGCCAATAATCAGATATTCTTTTAAACATGGTAACGCCTTAGGTGCTCGAACTTTATTCGAGAAATTCACAAAAGATCTTGGCGTCCAACCCAAAGTTCCGACCTATAATCTGCTAATCGGCGGGCTTCTTGAAGCTGATATGATTGAAATAGCACAGGATGTGTTCCTACAGGTGAAGAGTACTGGTTGCATCCCAGATGTTTCTACCTACAACTTCTTGCTTGATGCTTATGGAAAATCAGGAAAAATTGGCGAACTCTTTGAGCTGTACAAAGAGATGTCAGCCTGTGAGTGCGAACCAAACATAATAACTCACAACATTGTCCTGTCCGGGCTCGTGAAGGCAGGAAATGTGGACGAAGCTCTTGATTTATACTACGACCTTATCAGTGATCGTGACTTCTCCCCAACTGCCTGCACATATGGTCCCCTTATAGATGGCCTCTCTAAGTCAGGAAGATTATATGAAGCAAAACAACTCTTTGAAGGAATGTTGGACTACGGTTGCAGGCCAAATTGTGCTATCTACAACATTCTCATTAACGGGTTTGGAAAAGCTGGTGAGGCTGATGCAGCGTGTGCGTTGTTCAAAAGGATGGTAAAAGAAGGAGTAAGACCGGATCTCAAGACTTACTCAGTTCTAGTAGATTGCCTTTGTATGGTCGGAAGAGTGGATGAAGGCTTACATTACTTCAGGGAGTTGAAGGAGTCTGGCCTCAATCCGGATGTAGTATGTTACAATCTCATTATCAACGGACTCGGAAAATCTGAAAGACTTGAAGAAGCTCTTATGCTTTTCAGCGAGATGAAGAACAGCAGAGGAGTTACCCCTGATCTCTACACTTACAACTCCTTGATTTTAAATCTGGGTATTGCTGGAATGGTGGAAGAAGCTGGGAAGATTTACAATGAGATACAAAGAGCGGGTCTTGAACCAAATGTTTTTACATTTAACGCTCTGATCCGCGGATACAGTTTGTCTGGAAAACCCGAGCATGCGTACGCTGTGTACCAGACAATGGTGACCGGTGGTTATAGCCCCAACACAGGAACATACGAACAGCTCCCCAATAGAGCTTGACATTTTACACAGCTAATACAAGTAGAGCTCTACACAGTAAGTGAAGCTTTATGTCCATGTGAAGTGTACAAAACATAACGTTGTGTAAATGTCATATTCATTTGTTTGTTTACATGATGATGATATCTTCTTTAAGGCCAACAACATATTCACATCAATTATTCCTTCTGCATTATTGGAGCTCGTGAGACAAAAGTCTACCCGTGGAGAAAATGGAATACTAAAATCTACAGAAACGTCAAGCTGTGATATATACTGTCTTTCAAAATGATTTACAATCTGTACCAAAATACTAGATCTAGATGCCAGCCACCTTCCGTGACTCTTGAGGATGGGGCTAGTTTGATGAGCTTGGGTCATCGTGGTTCGGTTCGGCTTGGCTTGGTTTAGTTTCAGATGGAGTAGGTTCCGTGTACTGAACAGGCTTCTTGAATTGAACCAAGATCATGGTCATGTTATCACAGCCTTCACCACCTGCGGTATTTGGAGCCAGACATCTATCGAGAACTTTTTCACATACCACCGAGAGTTTGGTCTCCTGAATGTTACCAATCGAAAGAAAGAAACTGTAAAATCCAGAAAGGGAATGACTGCAAAAAAACTTTTAATCCAAACGAGGCCAACTCAAGTTAGCTTACTGAATTCAATTGTTCATGTATGAAATCAACGAGTTGTTGGCTTGTCATGCAATCCCTGCAGATATGAGATGAAACCAAGGCAGGTGTATCAATATCACTATCAAGAAATGATCTTGTTTGGAGAACAAGATAAAAATAATTTCAAATTGATATTTACCAAATTCCATCGCAGGCAAGAACAAGGAAATCATCATCATCGCAGAGTTCAACCTAAAGAGAAGAATCAAAAATTATAGATGTTTCAGGAGAAAGAGAACCGGTAGTAGACCACTTACAGTGTTAACATCCGGACTGGCAGTAACAATTTGCTTTTCAGATGGCAAAGTCTTGTTCTGCTTGAATTCCATGTCACCTATAAAGCGCCAAAGAGTAGCTCAAATCAAGGGTTGCATGTACACAAGTTGCATTGTGTTGATTGTTGAAGAAGAAGAACTTACCGATAGCTCTTGCTAGATTCAAGCTTCCATTGACTCGCCCAGCATGTATAAAGCCACCAGCTTTCAGTATCCTTTCTTTCTCAGCTTCAAGATCTGGTTTGTGATCTCTAGAAAGATTGTAAGCCTGTAGACAGAGACCACAAATTTTTAATAATAAGTTGAAGACGCCAAAAAGACTTAATCAAAAGGCCTAACAAGTAACAACTACAGAATTTTACCTGACCCTTTCTGGATATCACACAACGTGAGTCACCGGCATTTGCAACAAATAGCTGCTTGTTTCTAATAACAGCTACACATGCTGTGCTCCCAGAACTAGGTCCAGGAAAATCAGAATGAGGACCCTGTTTCGACAACATAAGCACAAGTCTTAGATCTAAATTTAGTTTTGCTCAGTGATAGAAGAAGTGAGACTGAAAAATAGCAAGTGGGAAGTTTTACTTCCTCAAACGCCCAAGCATCAGGTTTATTAGCGTTGTCCCCGCTTCTTGGTGACCATATAAATCCTTCAATCATTCCACTGAACTTATTGATTTTATCACCAAGTACAGCTAACTCTCGCCACCCTCTTTGTCCTTGCATCATCTCATCCATTCTACAATTAACCACAGCGACAAAAGAGCAAGCAGTTTTATGCAGAACTTCAAAGAAAAACAGACTCTTGTTGCTCTTCAATTTAGTTGGTATATATTAACTTATCAAGAGGCCAGAACAATAATGTTACCTGAAAAACGCCTTTTGAAGAGAAGTCCCGACGTCTCCAGCTGCATAAGCCTCGTCACTGAGAACCTGCTGGTGTAGATATTTGGCGCAGAACTTTGAAACAACTTTACCTACAAGGACACTAGCCAAAATCATTTGACATTCCATAAACAGAAGGAAACTTGTCACATGAACAAAAACCATCAAAAAGGCTCAGAGATATATATCAATCTGTAGTTGACTTGAGATCTAAATACAAGCTTAAATCCCAAATGTTACATTTCTATTACCTCCATGGCCATCATAGACACCCAAGAAGGAAGTGTTATCATCGAGATCAAGAATTGCAGCATGCTACCAAAGTTTAGAAACCATTGTTGGATCAGCAAAGAAACAAAATATGCCTAAAAAAAGAAAGGTTTCAACTTTTGAATTCCACTCACCGCATCTTCCATGGACGCACGCCAACCTTGCATAGAGGATAAACCATATCTGAGTTTCTCATTCTCGCCATCTTCTGAAAACTTATCTGTTTTTGGAGAACTAAGGTATATACCCATCTCTCTCTTTCTGAAAAGGCAAAAGATTGGACATTTCTTCATGAATCACAAGGCATGAAACGATTCAGATTGCTATAACAAGAAACAATTTTTCTGAGCTAAAAGATGAAAAAATATCAAAATAAGAATATTGACAATGGACCTGTGATCTCAATCTTAAGAGCTACATAAAGAAATCAATCTACAAACAGGAATCGAAACCAAAACAAAGAAGGTTTTGAAACGATTAGAGTTTAAAACACTGCAACAGCAAAAAATTGGATTATCAACCAATTCGATGGATCAAACGAACGAAGTGCGAGAAGCTTTGTTTCTCGCATTTCTGGCCTGATTAAGGCAAGACCTTTGAGGTAGGACAGAAACGTTACCGGAGTGATTAGAGGAAGAAGAAAGTTTTGATTTTGGGATCAAATTCAGATTGTATCCTTCAACTCAAAAAAAAAAAAAAAGAGAAAAAAGTATGAGAAAAAGTCTGTTTTTGTATTTCCTAGAAAAGAAGCAACAAAAGTTCTTGGAGAGTTTTGTTTCTTTCTCCCCTTTACTTGCCACCACAACACACACCCACACGGCCTATTTTTACTTAAGCATTTCCTAATACAATAATGTATATTACCCCGACTCTTTTATGATTTGGTTTATTAATTGGAGCTGCTTGCCCCTTAATTTAGTTGTGTTTCTTTAAAACCGCAAATTTCAGTTTGGATTGACCAGTCACAAATGTCCTGTGTTTATTTAGTACTAGCAGTTGACCCGCGTTGCACGCGGGAGGTTTATAATTTTTTGTTAATTTTTTTTTTATATTGTGATATTTTATTTATTTTTAATTGATTTTCAAAATATATTATAGTTATTTTCTCTTGAATTATTATCTTTCAATATTTAAATTTGGATTAAAAATATTTTCTTTTTGATAATGTTATAAACTAATATTTCACTTTCAATTTTATTTTTCTCCTTTAAAATTTTATATATACAATTACATAAATGTTGTTTTTATTCTACCATAAATTTAAAATTTACTTACATTCTTAAACTCAGTAATACATTTAAAATTTGAAACTATGATCAATTTAAAATGAAAGTTGAATTACATTATTACCACTAACTAATAAAAAATGGAAGTATTTCTTATTTAACATTTTATTTATTTACATAATTTATTTTTATTTATATAAAATTTCTATTAATTAAATAAGTAGCATAAATATGCACTAAATGAATGTTTTAAATTTATTTTAATATAAAAAATGTGGCTTAGGTGGATGCTTAGGTGGCATCATGAGAAGAGAGAAAAAGCTAACTTTATATATATAGATATGTTGTATATTTTTGTTAATGGCTATATGTTTGCATTCTCTAACATGTCAAAGTTTCCTAGCATTTCAGTTGTATGAATCGGTAACTTACTATTTCCTCCAGGCAAGGGTCCAAGAAGACATGTGCAAGCCATAAATGCAACTACATACTGTACTAGGAAAGACTAAACTACCATCTTCCGACTTAACAAACTCGGTTTAGATAAGCTCTAGACAAAATTATTTTCATAATGCACGAAAAATGAATGATACATTAGTTTTTAAGTCATCAAACTAGCGGTGAGACTGCGTATCTAATCCCAAATAGGTTGGTTTCCTATTCAACCAAACTCGTGGTTAGTTATAAAGAGATTACTAATAAGCACTCACAAAGTTCGTATAGTTTATTTCCTATTTGCAACGGTGTTGCATAATAAGCTTTGACTGGTCTTCACCAGACAGACCTATGAGCTTTTGCACCGCTGATCAGCTTTTCCATTTCATTTGCCAATACCATATATTATCTCTTTTCAAATATTTGTGAATATAATATCAAAAACGTGTCTGTGCCAGAACCGCGTATATGGACTTTTGTGTGTGTAAAAAGTTGTAGCTATGGATATTTTGAATTTCCAAGATGAAGCATGATATAAATGATGCTGCTAAACGTTATATGTTTTTTAATTAGCTCTCAAATTTTTTCTTTAGAACCGAGTAAACACTTTTGTATAAATTAGTTCACGAATTAGTGGTACTCTTTCTAGATATTATTATTATTCTCTCGCTCCTTGTACAATGGCTTCGTCTTCTTACGCATCATTCTCATCGGTCTTCAATGGTTTCCTTGCAAGCCCACCTCCAAATTCTTCTGCTTTTCTCGTCCCTTCGTTGAGTTTCACCACTAGGACATCAAATTCTCGGAATCTGAGAAGTTGGGTTTCTCTGAAGTCTTCGAATAATCATGGGTTTCTAGTCAAATCCAAAAATTTCAGTGTTAATGCAAGAGCTGCTGCAGAAAAGAGTGTTTACGATTTCACTGTAAAGGTACGTTTCTGTTTTCTTTTTTTATACTATCTGTATATACTACAAGTGTAGCTAGGATTTTTGTTTATTCTATTTTGCCATCATCAATATTATGATTTTGTCTATAATCAATCTCACTGACTTAATTGTACTCTGACATCTCAAGTACAAGTGAGAGCCTGAAGTAACTAAAATCTAAAACTGGAGACTACATGATTTGTGTTTTATAAATTTGTGTTTTATAAAATAATTGAGACAGGACATAGATGGGAAAGATGTTTCTCTGGACAAATTCAAAGGAAAACCTCTTCTGATCGTTAACGTTGCTTCAAGATGGTGATTGTTTGTTTCTTCTGAATGTTCTATTTGATTTTTTGTAACTTTTGCTGCATCTGAAATTGATATGACTTTTATTTTGACTGTTACAGTGGTTTGACTTCATCAAATTACTCTGAGCTTTCAGTTCTGTACCAAAAGTACAAGAACCAAGGTAAGCTGGTTATAGTGAAGGTTTTATATTATCCAATTTGAATTAGGTAACAGTACATTAGTTTTGACCTTGTCTTTTTATTTTCATTTTTATCTGTGTGAAAATTCCACATCCTTTAGGATTTGAGATTCTAGCTTTCCCTTGCAATCAATTTGGATTTCAAGAGCCTGGCTCAAACCCTGAGATCAAGAAATTTGCTTGTACACGATTCAAAGCCGAGTTCCCTATATTTGATAAGGCATGCAGAAACAAAATTAACTCTTATTTCTTTAGCAGATCGATCAGAAGAGACTTTGATGAATCTTGATAATTAATCAAGTTGTGAACTTTCATATGTATATATATAGGTTGATGTTAATGGACCAAGTACAGCTCCAATCTACAAGTTCTTGAAATCTAATGGTGGTGGATTCCTTGGTGATATCATCAAATGGAACTTTGAGAAATTCTTGGTTGATAAAAAGGGCAAAGTCGTAGAGAGGTACCCTCCCACGACTTCTCCTTTCCAAATCGAGGTACCAAGTTTCAAACTCTGTTCAATCTTTGGATCTTGGCTTCAGTGGTTGTTCCTCCGTTTAATACTAACGATATTTTTTCCTTTTGAGATGTCGCAGAAGGACATCAAGAAGTTGATCGCTGCTTAATATATAGAGAGAAAGAGATTGTATACAAGAGATTTAGATAACACATATATGTAAACCTTTCTACTTTTGTTACATATATATATATATATACCATAACAGCGTAAATAAACTGTTCGATAACCATTGTATATAAACACCACACAAGTGCCTTTAGGCTTCGGACTTGATAGACATCCGATTATTACCATATTTACAAAAACATACACACACACAAACATATTCGAAACGAGAGTACTGCTTTAGTTATAAGATTCACGTTGGCGTCGAGAAGAAGATTGTTTCCTTGGCTGTGGCAGAAACCTATGGCGGAGATAAATCGGTCTAGATACCAGCTGTGAGTATCGACGAGATACTCGAGGAGGAGGATCTCGTCTCCGTCGAGGCTTACTAAGAGCTAGCCATGGCCTTTGACATACTCCTCCAAGAAGAAGATCAACGGTGGAGATATCTCTGTGAGATGGGTATCCATCTTCTTCTTCGTGTGAGATGGGTATGATTGCCACGTCGCCATCAACGGTGGAGATAGCTCTGAGTCCGATCAACAGAGATTCTTGGATCTCGTAGTTCTCTAACTGGACAAGAGTACTACTCTCTCTCAACTCCTCCATGTTCCTTTTTTTTTTTTTTTTTTTCTGAAAGATTACTCTGTCAGATGTTGTTGTGCAACGAAGGTTTATCTTGTTCAAAAGAATAAATTATTGCATTTACAATATTTATAACTGTGTCCACCGCCTGAAGATAATAAATCACCAAGACTCGTCATCATAATTTACAAAATTTAAAGTTCTATCAAAAAAATATGTTGACAGGACAAAACTAAAGCCATAACTTAGTTAGATGCCAATTCAAAAAAAAAAACTGCGAAAAAATCGTTATTGGTATAAAACAATATTTGCCATTATGATTACTTAATTATGTTATGGGTTGCACTCCTAGGATATTGTAAACAAACAATAGGCTAATATGACTATGGGTGTAGGCTTAGTTAGTTAGGAACCAATCTTAGATATATTAAGGTGAATACTCCCTTTTATTGGGTTAAGATACTAACCAAAAAAAATTCCAAAATAGAAAAACATGCAACTATGTACGATGTACAAAAAATGTGTGTTGTCCTTAATTTTAATTTTGGCAAACACGTTCCGAGTCCGAGATATGTCAGCCCTAAACCGGCTCTTGTATCTAGGATCCTCCTAGCCCTTTTCCACGACAGCGATAAAGTGGATAAAAGACGGTTAGTACGGCTGACCTGACCATCGGTTCATAGTGTACCAATTAATTAACCTTTCTCCATCGGTTCATAGTGTACTAATTCTTGGTTCCTTTTTGACGTTTTCTTTTTAATTTCATTAACGTGCCCTGGGCAGGCTATTATCATGGGATTCTTGGATATATGCATTTCAATAGAAAATCAAAGAAATTTCCAAGAAAATCAGAGAAATTTCCAAACATCTAGCTAATGATTTTGTAGATACGGTTAAAACTGTATACAGTAACATCATTGACTTGACTACTGGGAAAGAAAAAACAAATATAAAAGGTGTGACCAGTAATTGGCCACATGAACTAGTCGGTTGAAGCCAAACTTAAGCAATGCCGATTTTGGAATTATTCAAATCTCTATCAGTTTCTAAAAGCATCAATCAATATTTTATTCACAAGGCGAAGTCAGACTTCGATACGACGAGCAGCTGAGGAGTACATTTTTTTCTATGTTATAAGTTTTGAAGGAGCAATTTAGAATTTATGTAATCTACATGTTTTGACTTCTTCGTTATTTTTTAATCCTCCTCCACTTGGGTTTGCATTGTTTGAAATGGCCTATAAAAGGAGGCATACCAAAGGTAGATAAGAGCCACTTGTTAATTAGAATCTGTTTTCCTTTTGACACAACGTTTCATTCTATTGATCATACTCAATTCCATATTCAAATCTTCAATTCCAACTACAGATAGCCAATTGATTATTATGAACCGTTATCCTTTGCAGAGTTGCACAGTGGACTTGCAAAAACAATAATCCCAATCATATCCTACTTACCATATAATTAGTCAAACACTCTCTAATCCCTGACTCTAAACCAGATCAACTACATACTGTATATGTGATACATTCGACATTTAACTGATAAATCAAAGCACAAAAAGAATTACAAACAGGTTTATTCAATTCGGGTCAACTCTGCATTGATCTCAATAACTTTGCGTGATCATTCAAATCGGGCTGCGTCAAACATATGTCCAACATCATCCAAACCTGAAACAGAATAAACAAATATATAACAAGGTCGATCGCTCACAAGCTAGCATGTAACATAAAAGATCCCTACGATCGATCAAGAGCCAAAGACACACAATTTGTTTACGCGATTGCACAATTTAGCTAGAAAGAATAATGTTTTGTTATATATAAAATTACATATGGAATGCTCACCGATATTCCTTGTTCTTTGCAAGAACCATTGATGACACGTTTTTATTAATTCGATCTTCCTCCGATTTCTCTTTTTATCTGAACAAAACTGCACCACATATGATTCTTACTTTCCATATAAATATAATCTGCAAAAGAAAACAAAGTCTTAGTGACATCTTCTAACATTTATGTAATCCAATACATACATAATTTGCAAACCATATTCCATTTACATAGTTAATTCTGATGCTAGAAGGCAATTTGCAACCTCAACCTTTTTCATGCCTCTTGAGGTTTCCCAATAAAGAGTTAATGTTGACATGCACCTTTCACAAGTATCGAGAAAGTCTAACCTTCCTGAAGAAATTGAAAACCAATTATAGCAAGAACATTCCTAAAATTACGTGTCATATGGCTTCTTTGGTTTGAAAACACTGGAAAACATGGGAAGAAATGAGAAAACATGACAAAAGCAAAAACAACACAATTTATGCATTTACCAATACAAGAGAAACAAAGAACGTTAGATGTTTTAACGAATTGTCAAAATTTTATCAGCTGCCATAAATACATATATATGAATGCATTTAAAATGAAACTTTGAGTGTCAAAACACAAAAAAAAAAAAAAAAACAACTCGAATCCATTTAAGTGAGGTAAAAATCACATATTAATCATCTTTGCAAACTAGTGATAAAACGAATATTAACCACTAGAAACACTGTAAATTCCTACTTAGCAAACAGATCTACAAATCGCTTTCCTAGATTCAAAATTACTTATCAAATTCAAAATTAATATAAAAAAAACTGTGGAAAAATACTCGAGAAAGAACATGTTCAAAAATGAAGAGAAACAGACCCACAAGAATATTCTTGCAAGATTCACAACGTGATCACATGGAATCAATGATATATAAATTATATACCATTTACATGTAGTATAATACAAATTATGCTATGTATAATAGCCTAAATTAGAAACATAATTATATAAATGGAATAAAAATTAACATATATCAGCATACAATATACATAAATAATCTGTACAACAAACGACTAATTAATTAAAAGCAACTCGAAGATCATGAACAGTACTCTCTCAAGATCCATGGCTATACACAGATATGATCATATGAAGCAAATAATATATCTCTACACATATATATATGAATCAAGAGTCCAAAGAAGCACGGATTAAAAGTGCTAATGAGAAACGAGAGAAAGAGAAAGGAAATTAAATTATAAACCATATAATATTTACTTTGATCGAGGACATGTTGAGGATTTGAAAGAGTTAGGACCAGCCTAAGGAAAAACTAGGTTAACGTTAATGGTCCCATGTTAATCTCACTTAACCACGCCTTAAACTCATAGATTAAGCTTTCGATACTAATGATCCCATAAAATATAAAGCTCGACAAAAAAAGCAAAGTCGCATGCAATTGGAAACCAAATCAATGGCAAAATAAGAACAAGTTGCATCATATATAGCTATCATATCAAGATCGTATCTACACATACCTTTGGAGAGATGAAGAACACAAGAGAGAGAGAGAGAGATGGGAACACAATTTAGAAGAAGAAAACGTGAACGGACCGAAATGAATCGGCGCCGGAATCTGACAGATAGAGCAGTGAGCACGCAAGAGAAGCAAAAGCATCGAACATGCAAAGTGCCTTTGTGTGCTCACTCTCTTCTGTCAGTTTCTATGCGTTTCTCTCAAAAATTTGTCCCCAAAAAAACTCACTCGTGGTTCTTTACCTTACCGACACGAGTTCTGAGATTAGGGATCGATCGAACATGTTTTGAAAAGGATGAGACTCTCTTGAAGCATGTTGAGTTAGATCTGAGGCTTTTTTTTTTTTTTTAGGGTAAGCAAAACAAACCAGAGAGAATATTTTATAATCGAAAGAGAGAAGAGGAAAGTGATTCATTTATAGAAACACTTAAGGAAAAACAAATCTAGGGTTTTGACCAAATCGAAAGGAGAAAAAGTAAAATTACCAAAAAAGAAAGAACAAAAAAGGCAGAAGAGAGATATATTCGTGGGGGAGAGAAGGATTTGGAATTAGAGGAGAGGAGAAGGAGAAGGAGAAGAAGAAGAAGAGGACGAATCTGTTAAAAGAAGGAAACAAAAAACCTTATCTCTCTCTGTCTCTCACTCTCTTCAAGATGAGTCTTATCTCTGTTTTTTTTTTTGGCTTTTGTCTGTTTCTTTCTTTAATCATCTCTCTCTCTCCCTCTTACGTGCAATGGGACATATGTCTGAAGAGAGAGACATTTGAATGGAACGGATTGGTTAACAGTTCCCCCCATTGCAGTTTATAGTGGTCAATCTCATAACCTATAAACGGCAACGACAAGCCTAAGAAGAGATATGTGATCTTGAATTTTGAGAATGTTAAAAGCTTTTTCTTCTTTTCTTTTTTTTGGGGAATCGGCTCTCCCTATTATTATAATCGGTTACTTTCTTGTTTCAGTTTACACAGTAATAATAAATTCTTAATCATAACAGTTCTACTACTAATTACAGTAAATTACCACGCAAGATTAGCAGAATACATAAATTAAAAACTGAGAAAACATTCTATGAGAAACTATAAAAAAAACCCATTTTCCATATGATTTTGGCCGTTTGTATGTTAACAAAAAATTATCATTTAAAACAGTCTTCAAATTACATTTTTGACACATTCTTTTTTTTTTTATGATAAAAAATTCCAAAGTTTTTACATTCATAACTTACTGATGCTATTTTTACATTTATAAACTCGTAATTTTTTATAATCTACTTTTTCAATAGTCAACATATCACCGGTTAAATTCGTTTTTAGATAAGTAACAACAAATCACCAGTTAAACTATTAAACAAACTTACTCGATCTTAGTCTCTATTTTACCCTATCACATATCTATTTTGTAGAATCTTACAATGTTCGAGTTTTTCATATTTTCGAACTTATACGACTTTTATGATTTTATTTTAGTTAATAAATATCGTAATACATGTTAGCTTAATTATCGAAACATTTGATAAATTTCTCAAAGCTTATTCTGTTGGACGCGTGTAAAATGAAATAAGGAGTAAAGTATATAGAAACCGGTTCCGCCTGAGTGAGATATACCGAATCATATTTTGTTGGTGCTAGATAGATGCTGAGAATTGAATATATTTGTAAACAGGAAATAAGCTCAACACTTCTAGAACTATATTATTATCCCCATTTATCAGCCTGGCCACCCATAAAAGAAAAAATTGAAAATATTTTAAAACAGTACTACCATAAAGCAAAGAGGGTGCTTCCCCAAAACATATACTCTCGCACAAGAAGATATTGTTATAAGAGAATGGCTAAAGAATCCATATATGCTGATCTTGTGTAAGACCACACGAATGTGGAGTGCCCCCTCCCCTGTGTAATTCTTCATCCACGGTCCTGCTTTTCTTTTCTTTTCTCCTTTTTAATATTCGTGTCTGTTGCCTAGCTAGTTCTTATTTTTGCATGTTTTTCTGCTTCCTTATTTCTAATAAAAAAACTATTTTTTCATTAGTAAATTTGGTACTAAAGTTAGATTAGAAGTTTCTGATTGTTTTTCTTTTGAGGAGATTAATATTAGATCTATAACTTATAAATCTCCCAATTTATGATTTGGGACATTACTAACAATGAACTTAAGAGTTAGTCAGAAGGGGATATATATATATGTTACACAATAACATGAGGTTTTTACATGACATCGATCAAGTAAAGTTACGCGTGTTAACAGTAAAAAAGGAAAACAGTTTTGTAAAGGAAAAGTAATAATACTTAAAAAAACCACGTGAAGGGTGAAAAAGGGTAAGAGCTTTGTTGTGGTGGTTTGACCTAAGAAGAATATATTCAAAAACTTAAAAAAGAGACCTGTCTAGATTCATTGCTTCCCGATGACACAGAACATAACTCCGACTCTTTCCTTATTACTTAATACATATACTATACTAATAAAAGATATGTTAATCTGAACAATCCCTGACTTTTTCTACACACACATAAAAAAAACGAAGCCAAGTCATGTATCTAGGAGTGGCGTATACCGTATGGAGGAGAGTTGGAGACTATACGGTATAGTTAGAGATGTAGTTTGTATATCATATTCAAAAATATGTTGTGTTTTGAATTAGCCGAATATATTTGTTTGACATAATCCATTATATTTGACTGAGTATTCAATTCTATTTGTATATATTAGGAGGAGAAAATGGTTTTAATAAATAGATCAGCAGGAAAGTAAACCCATTTCTCCTCTCGGCCTATAGAAAAGGAGAAATTAGAATATGGGATCATGGTTCGTGGACCACATGTAACCCATCAGCCATCACCAATATCGAGCTATTAACATTTTTTATTTTACTTTTACATATAACAATTCTTTTAAAAATAAATTACTGCTCTCCATCCAAGAAGGAGTTGGTTACAAAAGGTGAACAAAGAGCCAACAAAAGCTACCAACGACACCGCTACGAAAGCCAATGAAAGCACATAACAGCATATGAAAAAAATGATAAATAGAGCTAATCCTAGCACTAAAACAAAACACGTTGTCTCCGGAATATTCGAATTATGATAACAATCAGAAACAAGCAACGGAAAGACACCAATGGTGATCTATATTGTTCGAACTTGATATTACCACAAGGGCAAAGACGATAAAGCAATCTCAAATTACATTACATATTATATCTGATTTTTTAACGCATGACAATAATGCTTCGCTTGGTTAATGTTTTTGTTACAGGCACACCTTTGTTCTAATTTATACTATATTTTGTTTCTTTTTCTTTTCGTGGAAAACAAAACGATGAACTGTATATAACTTGCAATTTTGATGCACAATACAATAATCAAAATCTACCCAAGACCTCAGATATATCGACCCTAGATCCTTATTTCATGGCTGTTGATAGATTTGAAATTTGTTAATATCCCTTTATCGATGTGTGAATGTGACTATATATGATAAATTAAATGTTAATGGAATGAGTATTCCTTTCATATGGAAGTAAACAAAAGCATACACTAATCCTTTCAGGAGTCCCCAAGCACCTCCGCAATCCCACCATTTATATTCATGAGACGATGTTTTCCTCAAGTATCGTTTCTAAGTAGAAACATGTCTTTGGTAGAAGAAAAAGTTTATTCGGTAAAATGTTTGGCCTAATAAGTGGCTCTAGAAACTTTTCAGTTTACGAAAAAAATAGCCAAAAGTGGCAAAGAACTAGAAAAAGGGATTCTTGACTAAAAAGCATAAATACATAGCTCCTGATCAAAACACAAATACACACATAAACCTAAATAAAATCCAAATTTTCAATGTGGTGAGATAACTGCTAACAGTCGAAATGCGTTTAAATTTTATCCTACCAAAAAATTATCTGCAGAACTCCATGGAGAGAGAGATGAACGTGGCCAAAAAAATAAGAACAAATTAAAATAAACCAAAGCCACCTTACGTATCAACCTTAACACTACATACTAAGTAAATGAAAAACCACCACTACTACTCTTCTTGTTTTAAAAAACAATTCTACACTTCTACTGCCCAAGACGACGTCAAGTCTCTCTCACCATTTCTCACCGCAACCACCATTAGCCCATTACCACCACACACCATCACGCTTAGCTTTGCACCTTAAATTACATACCCATAATTCATAAGAGAAAAGAGCTAGGGCCTTTCCTAAAAGGCCAGAGACTCATCGCTTCCTCTTCTTACCAGACTTTGCCTGACTTCCCTTCGACTTGCCTGAATTCCCTTTAGTTGCTGATTCTGGCGCCTTGATTGTCTCCTCTTCAGATTCTGACTCTGCATCGCTCTCCTTGGCTTTGGAGGCAGGTGTAGATGCAGAACCAGATTTAGCCTTTCCCTTTCCTGGTTTGCTTTTGGCTGGTGCAGATTTTTGTCCTGACTTGGATTTTGAAGTTGTTGTAGTCTTGGACGGCTCTTCCTTTTTCTTGGATGAAGCTTTGGATGTGCCAGACGCTCCTTGGTCCTTCGATTTTCCAGATTTCGATACATTGCTTATATTTTTCTTCGGCTTGCTGCTTCCTGATTTACCAACGGTTTTGGGGTTTTCCTCTTCGTCACTCGACTCTCCAGAGCTATCCTCTTCTTCTCTGTCAGATTCCTTCGAATACTTTAGTTTGCTATCTGTCTTGCCATCCTGAGACTTCTTGGAAGCAGGAGCAGCTTTAGACTTGCTTGATCCAGCTCCACCACCCCTGAATCACAAGAAGCATAGCATTACTCATTAGTAGAGATTTTTCTAGAGATTTTAATACTTGTTAACTATTTGCTTTCACTTTCATATACTTTTTCGCTGATGAGTCCATCTTTGATTGCTTGCCTGTCTTAGTTTTCTTCCTCTGGGGCCTGCATGAAGAATTGCTAAGCTTGTTTATCATAAGAACGGATCATTCATCTATAACTTCAGGTTTGCTACAACTCCCAGTGCGACATAAACAACAGAACTAAAGAAGTAACACGTACGCTGGCGAGGCTTCTTTATCTTGATCCGTCTGATCAGCAGCTTCTTCATCCTGCTGACAGAAAGTGTAAGTTACAGCAGTGCAAAGAGCAAAAACAGTCAGATATGAATGAAATTTATTGCCTCACCTCTGACGATCCTGATTCATCCAGAACATGCCACTTCTGTTTCTTAAGATTCAAGATTTCTTGTTCGCCATCATCATAGCAAACCTGAAGACGAACATGACAACAGCATACAACAATTATACAACAAAATGGCCTGAATCAAATGAAATCAATATGTACCGCTTAGGAGAACATCTAATCGGCTAAGGGTACACCACAAACAAATGATTATATAGGAGACAGATAAAGTTGGGTTTACCAGATGTCTCTTTTTAGCAGAATCATAAGAATTGACCACACCCTTATAATACCTGAGGTAAAAATTCAGGATTCATTTACAAGCGTGGACAACAAAAGTTCAACTATCAACAGTGTTAGGCCAGAATATAATAAAAAAAAAAAAAAAATCTAATAAGAAAATGCAAGATGCTCACGCTTGATCCATAGGCCACCAGACTTTGACCCTAGACCCAACTAAATTTTCATCATGGTTTTGCAGATCAGATGCCTGCAAAGCAATTAATTTAGTATGAAGAAGTCCAAACAATAAAAATTCTTACAGAGCGCATGAAACTGATACATTTAAAGGATAAAGCAAAAGACACAGAAGGATAAGAGAAGTTATCTTCAACTGAATGATAATATGAAGCTGCTACCATCCACAGTTACTGCTGCAAATGGCATTTGTTGAAATCACGAAAACATACCTTCCCTTTGTCTAGACTTCGTTTTCTCTTTGTGTTTGTACTAGGACTTTCTTCTACTGGTTGCTTCACTTCTTTCTTTGATTTTGAAGCTGATTTTCCAGAGGAAACAGCTGGCTGAAAACAATAAAAGTGTATTAATAACAGTACATGGAAAGGGAACTCAGACATGAATCAATACGGGTAAGGAACTACTTACTTTTCCATTATCACCAGACGAAGTGTGTAGTGACTCCTCATCCATGGTTTTCCCACGTACTTGCTTTTTCTTATCCTCTTTTGGCTTCGTGGATTCTTGTGCATTACCACTCTCAACTGCCTTTTTCTCTGACTGCTTGGTTGCTTTTGCCTCAGTAGTGCTATTCTTAGAAGAAGGAACAGTAGGCTTTGCTTTACTTGACGAAGCAACCTTCTTTCCAGAATTTTTGGTCATTTGAGCTTCAGAAGTGTTTGGTTTTTCAGGAGCTTCTTCGGTAGCAATTGAAGCAGAAGGTTTGACATCCTTTGTTGAGCTCTCATTTTCCTTCTGGTTTGTAGTCTTCTTAGGGAGGCTTTGCTCAATAAGATCCTCAGCCCTAGATGGAGAACTGACATTAGCAGTTTCATCTGCTGGTGTCGAACTGACATTAGCAGTTTCATCTGCTGGTGTCTTAGGTGGTGAAGCTTGCACACTTGTTTTCTTCTCATTATCAGAAGAAATGACTGCATTAACAGATGAATCATCAGGAGGTGAAGTTAGCACATCCTTGCTGTCCAGGAGTGGTACAGGTTCAGTCTCCTCTTTGACATCTGAATTTTTTGACGAATCTGCCTGTTTGTCAGAACTCGATTGATCTTCTATTTCTTTAATTTGACTTTCAACATCAGGCTTCTCTCCAGAAGTATTATCTAAGTCAGTGTTGCTAGGATTATCAAGTTGTTGCGGCTCATCTTTGTCACCCATATTGTCTTGCTTCTTTGTGGAATCAGTATCAACGGAAGAATCATTCTGTTGCGCAACACCATTGCTAACTCCAGACTTACCAGATTCATCTTTAGGTGCATCAATTCGCTCAGGGGTACAAATTTCTGCTGCCTTCTGCTTATCCTGTTTTGATTGGAACACACAAATCAATAAACAATCCACTCCAGCGAAAAGAGGAATGGCATCTATCCTATTTATACTAATCAACAAATTTCAGGGGTTTAATGCTGATTTAAAAAGGAATAAACATGCCTCTACTTCCGCTTCCATTGTTATATGACCTTGCCTTTCCTGCAGAGGAAAAGAACAGTATAAGAGCTTATGTAATTGGAAGATATGCGCAATCCCAAAAGTTGAGGCAGTACGACAGGAAAACAGGTGAAATAAAAAAAAGCTTACATCTTTTTCATTCGCAACAACTTCGCCCTGTTGCGAAGCACTGAATGTCCCTTCACATATCGAAACCACTATGTTACTATACTTATCTAAAGGGATACCCGATGATTTCACTGCTTCAGTCAGATATGTTTTGAGCTTGCTAGCACAGTTACTAAGAACTTTTTCTGCCAACCTCCGTGATACTTGCGAAACCTGATGAGTGATGAAAAGTTGAGAGTTAACAAAAGAGCATTGGCTGCTGAAATAGAAATTATTAAAAACATCCATGTATTACCTCATCATCCTTTTTAACATAATGTAGAATTGGTGTCAGCATCTCTGAAGGTATTTCTTCGCTCTCCTCTAAGACAAGGGTCATAATGTTCTCCATAGATGAGAATACATTCCCTGAATGATGGTCCCTGAAAAGGAAAACAAAGTTAACATCAGACAAAAATTATTTCTGGATGTTGTAAAAGCAAACATAAGTAACAGAATAGTTGTGAACAATGTAACGAGAACATAATGTAAAGTAGCACATCATAGACCATGGATAAGCAGAATGACAAGAATGAATATAGTATCGACTGAGAACAGCAACAACATCCATGAATCAAATGTGACATAAGGAACGACAGAGAAACAACAAGTAGACAATTCCATGTATGTGTACTATCTGGACATTGCATTACAAGGGTTTTTTTATAAAAAAAGGGTATAATTCCAGCATAATGAATATATTAGCTTGTACCTTATAGACTTCAGGAAATGCTGGAACATCTCGATAAGAAGTGCATCACACTCAAGATCCAACATCACAACACATGATCTGACCTTAGCCACAGTTTCAAGGATTGAGATCCTTTTGGGATAGGAACGGCTAGATTTGTCAACTAGATCTTCAAATGATGATACAATTAACTTGAATACTTCCTGCACATGAGTATAAGAAAAAAGTGATTGACCAACTGGCATAATGCCCATTTCCTCCAAAAATTTAGTATCAAACAATTAGATACCTTCATCTGTTCATCATCATAAGGAGCATCGGGAGCAGTTATTCTTGTAATCTCACTGATACAGGCAGCGACAGCAACTTTCACTTGGGCGTCCAAATGCTTGAAGAGTTTTCCACCGACTAATGCTTTCATCAATGGAGAGAGTGCATTCTGCATTGAGTCAGGAGGTGACTGTTCGACCTCTGACAGGCATAGGAAAAGTTTCTGCAGCAAAAAGTAAAAGAATCATCAAACTCAGCAACTCCAAAATCACAATATCCCCATCACACACTTGAAACTGGGTTAAAAATATGAAAGAGCATAAAAGCTATGGAGAAACTTATGCACTATACTGTTCAAATAATACTATCAAAGAACAGAAGCCGGATTTCAAATATAACAATAACAAACAAAATAATCCCCCTGGCTCATATTTAACTACAAATACTTGCAAGGTTTAGTATCAAAAAGTATATTCGGAAGAGCAGACTTGTTCAGGCAGTCTATGTAAACCAGGATTAACAATCACATCCTTACTAGATGCATGCTTAATCAACGCAAAGTGGAGGAGAATATATCTAAATTTTATTAAAAACTGGGACAATCACCGTAATATAGACTTCAAAGGCAGGAATAAAGATTCACAGAGCAAAAATGAAAGAAACAACAGTAGAGAAACGACACAAGACGCACAAGTGAAATCCAAATCCAGAAATCCACACTAAACACATGCACAGACTTAGCATTGCCACGAATTCGAAGAATATAACACCAAGAGAAAACACAGAAAAAAAGAAGAAGAAGAAGCGGAATGGGTGAAGAAGGAGAGCTCACGTCAAGGAGAGCAAGAAGCTCATCGACTGAAGAAGGTGGGTCAACAAGCTTAACCCCAGCTTCAAGAATCTGATTCTCAAGCTCTTTATCAGAATCCGACATGACTCGCCTTCTCCTTAGTTTCTCTTCTCTCGTTCGATTCGGTTGCGGTGTCTACAATTAGATCTGTACAAACCCTAGATTCGGAAACAGAGGACTTCGGAGAGCATGAAAAAGCTAAAGCCACCGTCGATTCCACAAATGGAAAGAGATGAGAAAGCTGGATTTGCCGAGGAAACAACAAGAAATCTCCCCCCAGAGTCACTACTGAACAACACGCTAGGGTTTTCTCCTCTCTCTCTCTCTCTCTCTCTCTTTTTTTTGTGTTCGCTCAAACTTACAAAAAAAACTTAGAAAAAAAAAAGTAAATAAAATAAATTTTCAAGGACGCCAGAGTCGAGAGAGAGTGAGAGAGCCCTCAAGCGCCGTTAAAAATATTTATATTAAAAAAAAAAAAATTGGAAGTATTTAATTTTCGCGTACAGTGTGTGATTTATGAGTTGGTCTTCTTCTCGTTTATTTAATTTTTTCTTTCACTTTTTGGGGATTTTATGATATAAATAAAATAAAAATGGAATCCAAAAATCAAGGGAATCCAGTATTTGGGATCTTTTTTCCTTTGCAGTTCGGATTTCACCTTAGATTATAAACTCTGGTTAATTAATTGCTTACTACTGGGCTTTCGAATCCGAATTTTTTATTGGTGAAATTTGTGGCCTTCGTTTTCTTCAACCAATGTATAAAAAAAATCACATGAATGAAGCATACCAAAATTCACACAAAAAAAAACATGACCGTTCAAACTACTTGAGCATGAGATTGGATAAAATAGTTAAAGATTTTTTTTTCTTTTATAAAGAAGAACTATACAGATTTTGTATCATAAAGAGTAATGTTGTTGTACAGTTATAGAAAATATAATTTTCATTAGCAGACAATTATCCATAAAATATATCAATCCTTTAGAATTTGGTAGGATTCATTTTCTATATTATGTTGTAACTCTTATTATATTCATTTTCTATATTATGTTGTAACTCTTATTATTTTCTATATATGTTAATTTTTTTTTTAGACCAGATATATGTTCATTGTTCAATGTTTCATATCAACCTATGTTTGGAAGTATATATATAGAATTCCAAAGAAGAAACAGATTATAGTATTTTTTTCATTGGCATTGACTAAGTGGGAGAGAAACTATGACAATTCATATTGCTTCAACATAGGATTAAATATAAGAGTATAATGTTTTAAATTAAATAACTGATTTATCAAATAACAAAACTAACGAATTAGATACTTTTTTTAACAAAATGATTTTAAATGCTAAAAATTAAAGTTAGTAAATTAATCACTTTTTAATTATATGTTTAACGCGTTCGTAAATCCCTATATTAGTAAAAGAGAAGTACAAAAAATGCTTACGGGTCGGGTCAATTTCAAAAAATTACCCAAAATTTGTAATTGGATCTTTTAAAGTTGGATAGATTAATGGGTTTGTATACATACACCGGATACTTTCCAAATCTAATTTTATGATTATATTATTTCCATAACTAATTATAGGATTTACTAATATTTCTCTAACTAATTTAATACAATCTATTTAAAAAATATTATTCTTCTTTTACTTTTATTTGATATTATTTTTAATTTATGATATTATACTATATAATATAAATATTTAATAAAAATTTAACTTTTTTTTTGTAATATGTTGCAATTTGAATTTTTTAAAACGGACATATAATACTCAATTACACTCGGTTAAATATTTTGGACAATGGTTTCAAATCATTATAAGTATGACCAATATTAAAACCATTGTTACATGAACATATTTAAAATTTCAAATAGTTTCAAAATATTATAAATAAAAGGTTCAAATATATAAAACTTTTAGAATTTAAAATATTGAAATATTTTTTTGAAGACATAAATGTAATTTTGGAGACATAATTTTTATTGATAAAATATATTATATATCAAACTACGTAAATTTTAGATAATTCACGGGTATTTTATTAAATCACAATTATAATGATAAAGCGAGTTACGAATAATGTTTTTTACGAAATGAATTCTGTTACGGGTTGGACTTCCAAAAAATATATTGTAAATATGTAAATTTTACGTATATTCCTACTTTTACTACAAAAATGGTCAAATAAATAATTTATCGACAAATATTATTTTGTGCTGTTAAATTTTCACTGTGTTTTTAATTGTATCAGAACTCAGTATATGATTATTTACTCGCTTTTTCCTTTATTATTTTATTTAAATTTATTATACATATATATGATTTACCGTAATCGACTGCGATCTAACAAAATTAAAATGTAACATATTTTAATCCGTTAAAAGTTATATATATGTAATTATTTCCCCCGCGCTGTAGCGCGGGTCCGAACCTAGTAGAGTAAATATTTAAGATAACAAAAGTAAATGATTTCAAAATTACAGATATAGTTATATGTGAAACATGCATTCGAGATTAAATAAAGTAGTCAAGTCATCAAATAACGAGATGTACTAAACTAGATAATGATTATGTACGGGTGCTAATAGTTAAATTAAGTAAATTAATCATATTTTGTTTTTAAGTTACACGTTCGTATATATATAAATATTTTTTTCAAAAAATGAATACTTTAAACCGTAGAAATAGTGAAAACAAAAATTCCAAAAATATGAAAAAGGTGTAATTGTAAAAATGTTAATGTTGTTTTTAATCTAAAAGAAAACGATCAATAACTTGCGAGTTTTGTAGGAATAGCACTCTAAAATTGTTATTCCGTGTTCATATGACATGGAGAGCCTCCCAGTTTCTCGTCCCTCATCTCATAACACTTGGTCCAGTCGTGGAGCGTGTCAGCCCAATAGCTAAGCTGCTAAGAAACCATATGAAACGCTAATGGGCTAATCCAAACGTAGGCCTAATAAAGATTCACTGGCATTGTGGGAAGCCCAGAAGAAGGGTTTGGCTTTCAGTATGCAAAAATGCAAATATTAACCACGGATACAAAATAGTGACAATTTGGGTTGGTAGACAAGACTTTGACAATGCTAACTACTTCATCCTCGTACGCGCAAATATATTATTCACTCAGAGAGTACATCACTCTATCGTAGTAATACAACATACACGCAAATATGAGGATATATTGTCGTAAAAAAAAAACTAGTATAGAAAAATCTCCACTAGGCACTAAGCATATGTATCCTGCTTTACCAAATTGTAAACAAGAATGTGAAATGCTAAGAGCATAATAAGCAATTAAGCATTGGTAAGTAAGTACTAGTAGTAGTAGGCGTCGCCCTTGTCGGTGTGACAAGTGAAGACCACATTTTTCTCTTGGGGAATAATTTGCTTGAGTTCTCGCATTCCCACGGAAGAAGACAACGACAAGTTTAAGCAGTTACAAAGACTTTTATACGCGTTTCAGATCGAACCACACTCTCTTAAGTGTGAATGAGAGGATAACTTGGGGGTGTCAAGCGCATCATCCTCAACGTCCTCTCATATAATTTATATGTTAGTCAAATTGTTAGGGATTGTATCAGGTTCTAGTTAAAGAGGATATATAATTTTTTCTTCTTCTTTTGACAGCCAGTTATATATGTAACTTAATAGCGACAACATTGTGTTGACTGTTGACTGTTGACTGTTGACTACTAATACTAGTATGATTTTATAGAATTTGAACAATCATAAAATCAACATTTAGCACTATGTTATTCTAAAAATTTCGTTGGGTTACCAAAAAGAGTATATTTTTGTTATTAGGAAATGAATGAAACGGCAATAGATAGATAAACTATGTTGTCATTATACAAAAGACAGCTAGTGCCGTGGTGCAGCTTTAAAATCAATAGATTTAGTAGCCGGAGAAGAGTGTGTTCTGTTCTCCATAACATTAAATCATATCAAACTACACAAAGTTGACAGTCTTTAATGAAAGCAGTCACACTCCCCACATGCCTCTCCCACCTTTCATTTATGTTTTTAATAATTATTTAGATGTCTACTTTTTCAAATTTGGACCATCTTATGAATTTTGTAGGGTTTTTACTATAGGGTCAGGTTTGTTATAAGGATTAATAAGCCCCAAATAAAAAGAAAAGATGATATGTACTCCTTATAAATAAGAGTTAAATAAGCTGATTAAACTGGTTGAAGTAAAAGCTAACAAAGTCCATAACTTTATAAAACACCTTTCACACTAAGCCTAGTAGACCTAGTAAGCCTAGTAGACCTAGTGGGTTTTTTTACTTTTAACAAAAGCACTAATAAGTAATAACCAAAGCAAACACACAAAAAAGGTAACTTCACATGAACAACACAACGACGACACATCGTACCTTGAGTACTATGCATTATATTAGATTGTGTCTGCACACATTTGTCGCATACCTTAGAGCAACATTATAGGAAGGATGTTAGTTAGGGTATGTTAGTATTAATTTAGTATTAAATTTGAAAAAGTAGAGTTTAAGAGTTTTTATTTTGTTTTTAGATTTGAGATGTGTTTATTGGTAGGATCTTAAGTTGGGTATCTTAATTTTTTTTTTTAAATTAAATAAATTTATAATTTGTAATATAAGAAAATTGACTTGTGTTTTTCATGTATGGCTAATTTTATTGGGTTTTTCTTAACATCGATTCATCAAATTCATAGTTAAATTTGAAAATTGTTATGTCATAATATAATTATCAACTTACCCAATTCATAGAAATTATAGTAATGTCATAATAAATGGTTTACAAAAAAAAATTAAAATTTTTTTTAAAAATTATAATGTCATAACCCACCAAAAGAATCATTCTCCAAAAAAAATTAAAAAATTAAAAAAAAAAACTTACCCAATCCGATTGCGTCACGTGGCGTCTCTTAACCCACAAAAAGAATCCTTCTCCAACATACCCAACTTAAGTATCTTAGTAAAATTAATCAATTTTAATTTATTTTTATAACCTTAATATCCTAACATCCTCTCTAAAACCCATTGTTAATGTTGGTCTTAGAAGCTGATGATATCTGTCGAAGCAACAACACTCTTTCTTTGTTTTTATTTCCTCTTGGTTCAATCAGCTCAATAGGTATGTATGTGTCTTTCTCTCTTTTTTTTTTTTTTTTTTTTTTGAAACGCATCATGATGACACCTACAAGACGTGACGCTTGATTATTCTATATTGATTAAAAATAAAATTGAGTATAAATATTTGCTACGAAACAAGACAATACTAACAAACAAATGTAGTTAGATCGACAGATCCAATTTACTCCACGCCGCCACATTGTTTATTCATGCATACACTATAGTATTTGATAGACGACCATAAAACAATGTCTCAAAAGATTCCAAAACTCTCTACTTGGGAAAATATATTTTACAGAGAGATAGAGAGAGCAAATACAAAACAATAAAAGCAAAAGCAAGAGTGGACCAAGCCATACTTGAAAGGAAGAAAATGACCGACACCTTTAGTTAAGGTAGATAGGGCAATTTGGTAATCTTAAGATTTGGGCTATGTGAGTGGGGTGTCGAGGAAGTGTAAAGAAACTGGGTGAAGTGCATGTGAGAGACTAAGTCAATGCCCACTAATCCTACCAGGATTTACAATATCATGCCACTGTCAGTGAGTGAGAGACAGAGCATCAAATCAATAAAAGCCTTGGGAAGAAAGTTAACAAACTTATCAATGTGACAATCTCTTACTTAATTTACTTTTAATAGTATAGTTTAGAATGATAAGACCCATAATGACGAAGACAGACTTACATTTTTTTTTCAAAACGGGAGGCTCTTTGAAGTGGAGCTCAAACTAAGTGACTTGAAATGCTCTGAAGGAACAAAGTCTTGTGGAAAGTTAGCTCTCTTCACGATTCTCTTCATATTGCTCTGTAAACTCTGTTGCACTAACTGCTTCACGGCTTTCCTCTCTTCGCTCATCATATGATCGCTTTCCTCGTGGTTCATACCATTGTCTCTGGTCCCATATATCGGTGCAGACAAGGCTCCGCATGATCCAGTACTATCCAAGACTCGCTTCCCTTTGTCTACTCTTAGACATTCTAGTATTCTTGAGGCTCTCTTTTGTGCCAATGCACTTCCTAAAAGTGTTAACTCGAGCAACGCTGACTCGATACCCGCCTCAATCATGGCTTGTCGATCTCCGTATCCCTTGTGAGCCATCAACATTAGTATGTAAGTGGCCTTTTCTTGGCATCCCGGTGAGTCTGTCCAGTTCAGTACATCAACTAACACAGGGAATGCGTCGCACACTAAACTGATTGCTTTTCTCCCTTCTGGTACTGCCACAAGATTGCTCAAGATGGCGAGAATCCTCTCGCTCACTTCCATGTCTCCCAATGTGTTCAAGAGATACGTGATCAAATCTGTTTCAAGGATGAACGAAACGTTTGGTTGATAAATAGAGAGGTTGTAGAGAGCTCTAAGGGCGTCTTCTCTCGCTTGTGAGCTGCTTCTTTCATCCAGATTCTGGAGAGTTTTCACCAGGAAGATAATCGCTCCAGAAGAACCGATGATCGGTTTGTTAGAATCTAGAGCGCTTAATCCGAGAAAATTGGCGACTACAGCTTCTGCAATCTCTCGAGCAGGTGTGTTGGGAGACTCAATTAGCTTCAGCATCTTGTGAACAGCTCCAGCTTTAACAATGGCTGCTTTGTTCCTGCAAAAGTGGAGGTTATCTTCCAAGTCAGGGAAGGTCTCTGAAATGGGTAAAAAGATTGAAATAAATGATTCAAGTCATGCACATTGTTCCATACTTCATACTCACTCCAGAGTCAAGATAGATTAACAAAAAAACAGAACAAAAAGCATGGAAAGTGACTTAACGGATGAATCCAATTCAATACTGGCAGACAAACATAGAAATTATTTCACCAAAAGGATTCATACAGAACACAAACAAACAAAAACAAGAACAATGGGAAACCAAACATTTCAAGAAAAAAATATAAAAACCTTGCAATGGAAGTATGAGACTTACGCGTCGTTACGAATCCCAAGATTGAGCAGAGCATAGAGCGAAGCGATCTGAGCATCAACGATACGCGAGTCGTCGATCATACTAACCAAAGGCGGAATCGCACCGAGCATAGCAAGCGTCACTCTCGCCTCCGAGTCTTCCTTAGCCAATAACCGCACCTCACTCGCCGCCGCTATCTTCTTCCGACAGCCCCCACCGTCTTCCTCATCTCCACGCGCGGCCACCGCAGCAGCAGAAGAAGACTGTAACTCTCTGACCACACGCTTCAAAACCTCAAGAGCTTCCTCTTTATTCTTAGTCTCAACATCAGCTTCGACCTCAGCTAGATTCAACAGATCACAGAGCTTCTCAGATTTCTTCGATTTATCCTCGAACGCTACGCCATTCAACGCCGCGCCGATCGTATTGGCTTTCGTTGACTTAGCCGTCGCCGTCACGTAGCTTTCCTTGTCATCCTTCTCTTCTCGTAGCTCGTGACGGTAACGTGAGCTACCACCGCAACTGACGGCGTCGACGATCTTCCTACGGAACTTGGATCTAGAGAAAGTGCTCCAGAGACGGAAATGGTTGCCGGAAGAAGTAGAGGAAGAAGAAGTGGAAGGAGCACGGTCAAGAATGAGAGATCCGATGTTGTTGCGGTGACATTTCGCCATTGTTTTTGTTAAATCTCCGATCACTCCTTTAAGCTTATTAAACCTTCATTTGCATCACCCCCAAGCAAAGACAGGAGAGTGTGTAAGTATATATATATTGCATTTTTATTTTGTGTGAAGGAAGAAAAGAATTATAATTATTTTTTATTTATTTGGAAGCGAAAACAGAGCGAATGTTGACTGTTTATTTCTATTCTTTTTTTTTAACTTCTTGATTGGCCCTTGTTTGGATGCAGTGTTAAAGTTAATCGCGGATACTAGACTATTTGGTCAATTAGTATAATTCAATTCTATATTTTGTTCTATAGCATCACAATTTGTTTTATTTCTCAAAGTTTTTTTTTTTTTTTTTTTATTTCTCAAAGTTTTTAAATCGGAAGAGAAATGTGATAGTACAAGAGAACGGTGAGGGCATGGCCATCACTGATTTCAACCGTTCGAAATTTACCACATTGTGTCAGGGAGGCTTCTACAGTTTCGACCTATACACAAGTCCCATCATTTTTGTTATACTGAGGCAAGCAAGTTCTTTAGTTTTAGGCTCCTCCACCGTTGATTTTATCATATATTTTATTTTTTTGGTAAGGTTTGGTTATTTTTAGGATGACCTATAACATATATATTTTTTTTTTTGGACAAAGATGACCTACAACATTTATCTCTGTTTTTCAATGTGTTATTTAACTGTTAAAAAGAAGAATTATTCCGACCAAAAAGCATCAAAATACCTACGAAAATGCAAATACTCTTGTTGCATAGTGGAAGAATCCGAAAATGATAGACACTGCGTGTTGTGGTGTTTGGTCATTACTCCACTATCTCAATCTTCTACTGGTACGCACTCAACCAAATGAGCTACACCTTTCACGAACAAATCCAAATATTTCTTCTGCTGTAATAACTGCAGGATGTAGTTAAAGAAATAGTTGTATATATTTATCTCGGTAAAACTCAATAGAAGGGGGGCGTACAGGTCAAGACGAAAGGGTGAGACGCAGACGATCAGGGCCAATTGTGAAACATTTAGTATTATACAAGTCAAAGCACGTGGAAGCTTTGTCTGAACTAAAAGAGAACATTGAATAGATTGTTTCACTCGTAACTCGAAAACTAGCTTCTAACGAAAGCCTGACTCTTTTGTTCTTCACTACTAGTATTATCCCTTCTTTTTATTCTAATTCCCAAAATCTATAGAATAAGATATTTTGCCACTTTATTTGGATTATGTGTTCGAGTTAGTATAAAACAGATACTATTGTTCATGTTTGTTATTTGTATATATGAATCAAGTTTAAACGAATGCATATCTTAAAAATATATATAAGTCTAAGATTTTGTATTGATGATATGAAATAAAACATATGCGTTTTGAATAAGTAAAAAAGTACAACACATACATGTGAACACAAATTAAGTAGAGATCTAGGGAGATAATTAAACTATAGAATGGGTTATTTATATAAACAGGGAGATTAGGAAAATTAAAGTTGGAAAAAGAAAAATAATATTGCTTTCATTGAGAGTTGAACTCAAGACCTCCCGCTTACTAAACGGGTGCTCTAACCAACTGAGCTATGAAAGCATTTGCTTTGACTTTCAACTTAAAACTATATGCAGTTTAATAAGAAACGTTTCTTTAACGTTCTGAGCTATGAAAGCATGTATATACGTTTTCGACGGTAGAACATATAAAATGTGTTTAAATATACATAAGTAACTTATCTTAAAAATAAGAATCTTATAAATTGTGAAATAAAAAGGATATAAAGTTTCAATTACAAAAATTAACACGATTCTTTGATTTTTTGGAAAAAAATAATCAAATTAATTAGATATATTTTATCAATAAAATTTCTTAAAACTACTACAAGAATCCAGTTCATCGACAAAAAAAAAAAATTTGTGACTTTTTAATCTAATGAATTTAAATTACAACAAGTGTCACAAATTAAGCTTATCAGTATGAAATAACAGCCATACACTATTGGCCAAATCTCTCGTAATTGAGTTTAACAAAAGAACCGTTTCACTTAATTTGCCAAGTCATGCGATATATGCACCTCTTAGAAATCTGGAAATCTATCAACTAATCAAAGTATACGCCATCTGTCTTCTAACTATTGGATTAAAGGTTAAGAAAAATCCTCATACTATTGGTCAGAAGCAAATCACACTTATATTATATGTAAGCAAATCACATAATGTAACGGACGACTAATTTGGATTTTGTTGACAAGAAGAACTAACGCTAATTTTTGAGAAAATCTGCAAGTGCGTGCATCTCTAAATCTTTATTTTTTTTTCTTTATATAACATTTGCATACCTTCCATTTTGCACTCATGCATTGTTCTTCTTTACTATAAATTTATTAGTATTCAAACAAATCTTTTAAGATTCTGAGTCACCATATTAATCCTTCCAACTAATTTCTTTTTGGTCGACCAATTCAGACAAAGAAATCTTATATTTCCTTCTTCTTTATTTCCAAAATTTTAATAAATTTACATATATGTATTAATTTCTTGTTTGACCAATAACAAGAAAAATTGATAAACACATCTATTCAAAATTAAATTAAATAACCTTTTTTATATAGATTTTTGTAGCAATATGTGTTTATTTTCGTCGTTTTATCTTAATTTTTTCGGTATAAACCTAAGAAAAGTATTCAAAATCACCGCGTACGCCTAACGGTTTAAGTTCCTTTTCCATCCATATAAAATCTGCATATACTCACTTCTAAAAAGCTCTCCTGCATTTGCTGCCTCTCATAACTCTCCTCCTTCTTCATCTTTAGATTTTCTGAGAAGATTTCTCTAATCACAAAACCCAAATCCTAATTAAGGTCAATCCCTCTTCTTATCCACAATCGTTTCTCTCTACTCTATTTTCGTTGAACATAATCTACAAAATCGTATGGTTTTCATATTTCAAATTCTTATTGATGGTTGATGTGACATAATTGATAGATGTATTTTTTTTCATAGCTTGGCTATAGTTTTGTTTCTTTTTCACTCTTTAAGCTAGGTGATTGTTATGTTTGTCTGGAAAATTATGAATTTTTTGATTTTTTGTTTTTTTTAGAGAAATGGTTACCCCGGGTGATAAGAGAGTACTACGTTCAAGAACCGGCCTAAGGCCGATCTACACCACGGATGATATGGACGAAGGCAGCTACACCACGGACGATATGGACGAAGACAGCTACACATCGGATGATATGGACGAAGGCGGCTACACATCGGATGATATGGACGAAGACAGCTACACCACGGATGATATGGACGAAGACGGCTTCGATCAAGATAAAGAACAAGTTGAAGAGAAAAGTGAAGAGGTTAAGCCTTTGGTCTAATTGTGCAAACATTTACTTTTTTTCTCCTGTTACAAACCTTTTGTCTAATTGTATTATCCATTTTCAGGTTTGTCCTCTAAAAGACATTGAAAAAGTTTTGGACCGTGACTTTCGACTTAACGATCCGGATTCAAGCCAACTTTTTGTGAAACAATATCTTCTAAAGTGGAAGGAATCCTCATACCTACACTGCTCTTGGTATATCCATAGCTTTGCTACAAAATCTTGTTATATATGTTTGAACATGTAAATTATTATGTACTTTTGGTGTTGTTATTGTTGTCATGCTCATCTCTTATCTGATTTAACTGTCGAATCACAGGGTGGACGAGGAGGAACTCGAGAAAGCTCACAAGGCACATCCTCAAAAACAATTAAAGGCAAAGGTGGACAAACTTAACGCTAGGATTGACGATAACATGTTGAGTCACGACGAAGATGAGTTGATTGCTCTTCCTCCTGAGTGGACAACTGTTGACCGGATTCTTGCTTGCCGGTTAAGTGATTGAAATCTCTTTTTTTATTCTTCTTAAATTCATGTGTTTATACTTCTCTTATTTCAATATATAAAAATGTGACATTTTTTTTTATGGCGATGCAGGGAAGAAGAAGATGGGAAGAAGTATCTGGTAAAGTTCAAAGAACTTTCTTATGATAAAACTTACTGGGAATCTGAATCAGACATCTCAGCGTTCCAGAACCAAATTCAAAGGTTTAAGGATATAAACTCTGCCACTCGTAGAGAGAACATCATCGAAAACGTGGGAAACCAAGTGGAATTCAAACACTTCGATCATACTCCTGAATTCCTTAATGGTATTTAGACTACTCTTGAACTACTATTCTTATACATTTTTTTTTATGTAGTTACATGCATTGTTCTTCTTGTTTGGTATTTTTTTCAGAAATTTTTGTGTGATTTATTTACCTTTTTGTTTGTGTTTTGAAAGGCTCACTACATGAGTACCAACTTGAAGGGCTAAATTTCTTGAAGTATTCATGGTTCCAGGGAACCAATGTAATCCTTGCGGATGAAATGGGTCTAGGTATGTATGATGCCCTTATAACATTTTGTGTAGAATAAGAGATCGATTGATTGGTATTAATTTTTGTGGTGCTGCAGGCAAAACAATACAAACTATTGCCTTCTTAGCTACTCTGTTGGAGGAAAACCAAGCTCCTCATCTGGTTGTTGCTCCTCTCTCAACCCTCCGTAACTGGGAGAGGGAATTTTCCACCTGGACTCCACAGCTCAATGTTGTACGCAACTATATCATGTTTCCGTTTCGAGCACATTAATTATGCATGTATATAAGTTACATGGTATATATGTATTAGTTGTTTGTAAATTGATTTAACTTCTATATTACGATGCAGGTTATGTACACTGGGAATTCCGAAGCACGTCGTGTCATAAGGGAACATGAGTTCTACTTCCCTGAAAATAAGAAAGTTTGTAAACTCGATGTCCTCCTCACATCGTATGAGATGATTAACAGCGACACAACATATCTGAAACCAATCAAGTGGAACTGCATGGTATTTTATACTCTACTCTTTTATGTCTTTCTTTTATATCTTACATTTTGTTCATTATTGTATATCACTCTTCCCTTGTTAGATTGTTGACGAAGGCCATCGTTTGAAAAATATGAGTTCGAAGTTGTTCTCTTCACTGACGCAATGTAAGAGTAAGCATCGTGTTCTGTTGACTGGAACACCACTTCAGGTTCGTTAGTTAAGAATATAACACATAATATATATGCTATCGATTCTTTTGTATCAGTATTGATTTTTTGGTGTTTTTCTCAGAACAACTTGGATGAACTTTTCTCTCTTATGCATTTTCTTGATGCAGCCAAGGTATATATTAGCCAAAAGATTATAACACATATGAAATAACTACATCCACTAAATTAACTATTAATTAATTAGCATAGCTTGCTTTAATTATTTTCCTTTTCACGCTTGCAGTTTGGGAGTCTCGGGGAGTTTTCAGAGGAGTTTAAAGATAGTATAAATCAAGAGGAGAAGATTTCAAGACTCCACCAAATGTTGGCACCGCATCTGCTTAGAAGTAATAACCAAAATCTTGTTGATAAGTTCTTAAAAAAAATAAAAAAATCTACGTGAAATCTCTCACCACGGAATAACTATACAATAATGTTAATCATGCATGGTGAATAATCTTGCTTTTATATTGTTGTTACAGGGTTAAAGAAAGACGTGTTGAAGGGGAAACTGCCCCCAAAGAAGGAACTCATTTTGCGTGTTGATTTAAGCAGCCAGCAAAAACATTGGTACAAAGCTGTTCTTCAACGTAATTATCAAATCTTGGCAAAGAAAGGAGGTGGTAAAGTAAGTTTTTGTGGATATGATTGTGCTTAGGCATATGTATTTATATCATTTAAGAAGGTAGCTTTTAGACTATATATGGTACAATAATATGTGTTGGTTCAAATGTTTCAGATCTCTAACGTGCTAATGGAACTACGGAAAGTTTGCTCTCATCCGTATCTACTAGATGGCGCTGAGCCAAAATTAGAAAACGCTGATGAAGCTTTTAAGTAACCATAACAAAATCTTGATATATTTTGATTCCTTTTTTAGTATATTGTGGAGTGTTTGTGCTGACTTTTGCTTGAACTTTTTTGTAACTGTGCCAAAGACAACTCGTGGAAGCATCTGGAAAATTGCAACTGTTAGACAAATTGATGGTCAAACTCAGAGAGCAAGGGCATCGAGTGCTCATATACACCCAATTCCAACACACTCTAGACATCTTTGAGGATTACTGCAGTTATAAGGTAGCCTTGATTTGCTATGTCTATGTTTCCACATATATTGATTTGTTCAGTTGGTGTTGTTGCATGCTATGCAAACGTCTTGGAATATTAATCAAATCCTTCCCACTCAAAATTAGGTTATATTTTTTAATATATTAAGACGCAAGGAACGATAACATAGTGATTACCTGAACAATACTTGGCTCTAATAACTTGGTTTTATATTTTGGTTGTATGCAATCAAGGATAATTCTTTGTATGATATTGTGTGATCTTTTTATTTTCCAGAATTGGTCTTATGAACGGATCGACGGAAAGGTCGGTGGAGCTGAGAGGCAAGTACGTATAGATCGTTTTAATGCAGAATACTCCAACCGGTTCTGTTTTTTGCTCTCTACAAGAGCTGGTGCGATAGGAATAAACCTTGCAACAGCGGATACAGTCATCATTTATGACAGGTTTGTGTTCAGCTAATATCTTTTAGATCAATTATTTTTCTTAAAGCAATGCTTTAATCAAACTCTTAAGTTAAGACGTCATGGTTGTTATACGTATTTTTTAACATGTTTTATACTGACTTTGCAGTGACTGGAATCCTCATTGGGATATTCAAGCCATGGCTAGGGCGCATCGCCTAGGCCAGACGGCTAAGGTAATTTTATCATCACGTCAATACTATGTGATCAACTTGCAATTTTTTTTTTTTTTTTTTCAATGTCCCTGACTATGTATTGTCTTCTTTAGGTATTAATTTACCGTATGGTACACAGTAACAGCGTGGAGGAAAAGATTCTAAAGATGAGTAAACAGAAGATGCTTCTAGAGCGTCTTGTGGTGGGTCAATTTAAACAATCAAAGCTTAGTCAGGTATGTATTTTTTTTATAATCATTTATTGTTAACCATGCAAATAGATTTGTTATTATGTTACAAGGTTTGATGGGTGTTTTCTTTGCATGACTGTAATTTAGGACGAGCTGGACGAGATCATCAAGTATGGTTCCAAGGAACTGTTCTCTGAAGCAGGGAATGGCAAGATACATTATGATGATGCTGCTATCCAAAAGTAATATATTCGTTTTCACTTCCCAACTGATTCTAGTACTATAATATAGTTCAAAGAGGCCCCTCGTTAGTAGTTGCATGGAATATATTTATGATTTATCTCCACTCTTTAATTTCTTCTGCAGATTGCTTGACCGTGAGTATATAGATGCTGAAGAGGGTGATGAAGAAGAGAATGGTTTCTTAATGGCTTTCAAGGTTTACTTTGCCTCTCTTCTTTCTATTTTTTTTTCTGCAATTAAGTAACATTAACACATTAATTATTCATCAGGGGCATTAATTAAATCCAAATATAAGCTTTTTATTGGTGTCCTTTCCTGTATATTAGGTGGCCAAATTTGAGTATATTGATGAAAATGAGGAGGATTCGGCTGCAGCAGTAGAGGAGGCACAAGCTATAGAAAACAATGCTGATAGAACAAGTCACTGGGAAGAGCTGTTGAAAGACAAACATGAGATGCACCAAGCTGAGGAGCTCAATGGTCTTGGAAAGAGGAAGAGAAAGTGCAAACAACAGGTATACTCATTCTTGATCCAACATGTTCATGCTGTATTTGCTTTTTTCTTATTAACTACTGAAGATGTACATACATATTGATTTCTGTCCAGATCAATCGTTTCTTATGTATATCCTTTACGCAAAGGTGTTCTTAATTACATTCCTCTTTTTTGTTAATTATTTTGGTAGGTGACATATGCTGAAGAAGATGATGATGAGGCTGATGATGATTATGAGTATGATGATGATGATGATATTGCTGGTTCAGATGATGAGAGGAAGGAAGCAGTTGAAGCCGAGCCAACTGTTGTTGAAGCAGCAGCTCCACAGAGAAACCCTAGGGGTAGAAAGCCATACAGAAAAAGGGCTCACGGTACTACAATTACTTAATTAGTACATTTCCATATATATATATATATATCACTGAAGATATGAAGTCAGTGGCATAATTGGAAAGGTTCGTAATTTTGTTTCAAAATCTTTTTTTTTTAATATGATGTAATTAAGGTAACTCGGAGCCAATACCTTTGATGGAAGGCGAAGGGAGATCTCTCAGGGTGCTGGGTTTTAAAAAGTCTGATAGGAAGACTTTTATGGACACGTTTCTGAGGTATATATATATCTTCTTTCTAACAAGGTCGATCTTCTCTATAAAAGAAATATTGTTGTCTAAATTGTGCATTGCTGTTCTCTCAAAAAGCATCATTGTATCATATATATAAGTGTCTAAAAACAACTTTTGTAGGTACGGAGCTGGAAACTATGATTGGAAGGAGTTTGTTCAACCCTTAATGCCGAAGACCTATGACGAGATCAAAACGTATATTTGACCTTTAAGCTATTTCTGCTCTTCTCTATTATATTAGCTTCTTTTACAAAAACTTATGATCTTCTTTATTTGCGTTTTTCATTAACAACTTGTATAATATGTTGTTTAATTCTCAGGTATGGGGTATACTTTTTGAAGCACATTGTTGAAAACTCCGACAAAAAATCTCCAACTTTTTCAGGTAATGTATGGCTTAAGATCTGGTCATCTGTTTCTTGGTTATACTTATTGGCTATTTCCATTTATCACCGCATGCAATGATCTATATATGCAGATGGAGTTCCCAAAGAAGAAATGGACTGTGAGAAGCTATTAATCAGGATGACTTTTATGATGCTATTAAAGGAGAAGGTATGCCTACTACCATTGTTCCAGCACTGTCGATATAGTTTAAACAGTTAGTTAGCACTAGTAACTGAGGTCATATATATAGCTGTCTAGAACCAAAACTTGAGAAGATTCAATGCATTAATTAATTCTTCCCTAGTTTCTTGTTCCCTAGCTCTTCTGTTTGTTTGACATCACTTCTCAATGTGTGATGTGACAGTGTCAATATATGGACGACCATCCGACAGAACCTCTTTTCTCTGATCACATCATCAAAATGTTCAGTTTGGACTTTGGAAAACTTGCTGAGGCAGAACATGACAGGAAGCTTCTTCGTGCTGTTTCCGAGTAAGATATACGATCCTTAAAACTTTTATTTTATTTTATTTTCAATTGTTTGCTCATATGTTGTGTCCCTGATCTTGAAACTTTATAAATATAGACAAGGATATGGCCACTGGCCAATTATCGTTGAGTTAGAAGGGTTAAAAGAGACTCTCTGCAAGCAACTGGGTATCAGTTTCCCTTGCAAAACTTGGCGTGAACCTGAAGAAGATAGCTTGCCAGAGAGTAGCCTGAATCAGGAAACTGGTAACGCCGGAAATAATAAAGCTTCTTCTGCTGGTGGAACGAAGAAAAAGAAGAAACCATCCTACACTCCTGATTATCAACGACTTTGCAACCATGTAGAACAACGGGTTAATATGCTGGAGAAGGCGATAAAATATGAGTACCATGTATGTAGCGAGGCGCCGACTCACTAACTTTAATCTTTTTTTTCTCTTCACATGTTACTACGTTATTAATTTATCTCTATTGATCTTTGGTTGCAGGAAAAGATACTGGCTGAACAGGCCGAAGCAAAAACAAAGGTGATGGGTACGGTAGGAGCGAGCTTTGTAGCTGCAGACAAAGACATGCTTGAACCACTGCCTAAGACGACTGAGCCAATAAGTATGTTTCTACAGTTACAAATATGTATATTTTCTTCAGATTTTGATCCTCACGGGAAAGCTTTTAATGTTGCAGTTTCAGAAGAAACTTCAGCAGTTGCCGTTGACAACAAGCAAGGCGAGGGTAAAGAGGAAGATGATATTAAGATGGATGCAGCGGATAACCTCATTATTATAGATTAATCAGAATCATTGTTACTTCTCATCTCATTATTGTTTAGGAGTTGGCTTTAACTAATTTTCTCAATTTTAGCAAAGACCGATGGGCTAAACTAAGTTACCTTTTGAATTCGTTTGCATGCGTTTACTATTATGGAACAATCTAATATAATTGCTATCAGTTAAACATACGGACAATGAGTGCATAGCATATCAATTAGGTTAGATTTGATCACATTTATCTTCGTAGTCTCCGCTCTAAAACCACTGTAAGGATACTTTTGAATATATACAACCAAACATTGTAAAGGATAATATAGTATCAATAAATAATTAAAGAAACAAAGTAGAAAATGGGAAATATTACAAAAAAGAGAAAAGAGGAAAAGAGAGGAGCCGCAGAAAACAAGGGGAAATGGTGGGAAAGAGGAGACAAATTAAAAGAGAAAGGCTTTTAAAAACCTCACGCTTACTCCAACTCTCAAACATATACCAACTTCTCCACTCTAGCTTTCCCCACTTTTACACTTTTATACTTTTATACGTATATTCCCATCGTATATACTAATTTATACATTATCAAATTTGTTTTCAATCGATAAATGCACATAGTAGCTTCATAAAGATTTGAGTTATAAGACCAATCAGTATCTCATATATGCAAGCATACAGATACAGGTGTTGTGCGCATTTCAGTCCGTACGTTTCGTATATATATATATATACGTGTTTCAAAGTTATAAACACCGAAGGGACAAGCCAAGCTGTGATGCTCTTTATTCAAGCCTTCCTAATTCTATACGATCATGGGAACTTTTATGTAATTTTCTCTATGTGGCCGAATAATCAAAGATAATTATCTATATATATATGAACAGAAAAGATGTGAACTGTTTCGTGATTTTTATCTTTTTTTTTCAAAACGTAAACGCATGTATAATGGTGTTGAAACATTACGAGGCTATAACGAAGACAACTTAGTTTTTTTTTTTTTGAGGGTAAAAACATAGTTGCTTTTTATCTGCAACAATAGTGTATGTTTGACCTTTTATGTTATTAGTTCCGTTTCATGACAAGGTCTTGGGGAAAATAGCATCCCGTGATGGAGGTTGTAGGGTTTTGCATGATTGTGTACAGTCTTTTCATTTCACCTAACCCAGTGCAAGACAGATCATACTACTCTTCTACTACTATATTTACATTTACTAATTAATTTACACCACACATTATTAACCAAAATATGTTTATCTAACACCAGACTCTCTAATTAATATAAGATTAACGTTGAATTATGTTTTTTCCGTAAAATGCTAGCTGGACGTGATAAAAAGAAGAAAGCTATATCTTCATTAAAAAAAAAACAAAAAAATACGAAATAAAATATCAAAGGTTAAAAAACTCTTCTTATATCGTGTTTTTGTTTTCTTCGAATAGTTCCAAATAAATTGATGATGATGATGTGTGTGTGAACCTAATTTAAAGCCTATGCCAAAGAAAACATATAGGCTTTTGCTTTCGTTATATCACAATAGCATATAAAATATACAAAACGGAATTAAGTATCTTTTCAATCATTTGTATTCGAATTTAAATAACAAAATGATAAAACACTACCAATAGTAAGGGAAAGGAAAATTAGTGTTGAAACTAATCATCCGTAAGCATAGAGCACTTCGAAGAAAATTAGATTTAAATAAAAATAAACCCTCAAAACTATCTGAAGAGACACATAGAGTGGCTCCTTGGCATATGATTAAGCTCCTTTAATTTATCTCCAATTGTATATATAGGCATTACACATCTTACTTATTACATTCACACACAAACATAATCTACATTCAACTCTTATACACACATGCACATGTTAATGGCGACACGTATTGATACAATCCAAAAGCTGAATGTATATCCGAGGTTTGAAAACAAAGACCAGAAGAAACTAATCACTCTGTCCAATTTGGACCGTCAGTGTCCCTTACTCATGTACTTGGTCTTCTTCTACAAGAATACCACAACTCATGACTTTGACTCCGTCTTCTCCGACCTGAAGCTCGGCTTGGAGGAGACTCTGTCTGTATGGTTTCCCGCAGCCGGGAGGCTGGGTTTGGACGGACGCGGCTGCAATCTCAACATCCGGTGTAATGATGGTGGCGCAGTCATGGTGGAAGCGGTGGCCACAGGTGTCAAGTTGTCCGAGCTTGGTGATTTGACTCAGTACAATGAGTTTTATGAGACTTTGGTTTACAAGCCTTCCTTTGATGGTGATTTGTCTGTGATGCCTCTTGTTGTTGCTCAGGTAAGTTAGTCGCCAACACATATATATTCTCAAGAATAGTGAATAATTATGTGAAAATACTACTATGAAGTGTATATATATACGTACGTACTTCACTAGATGTCTACAGTTTTCATCAATATGACTCATGGCCGATCAGATCAAACCTAAGCACAAACATTAATTTACATGATTACCACATAATAAAGAATTTTGAGATCAATTCAAGTTAGAACTTACATTCTAGCAAGCGTTTATACACAAATATCTATGTTACATATGTGTATGATAAGGTAATATATATTCTAATTATATTTTAACATACGCATATAGTATTATTGTAACACGCCTTTTTTCATTAGTAACAAACTACAATTAACAATCAACCAAACATTATAAAAATCAACTAAAATTTAAAGATCACAGTTGTAATAGGTAAAAACAAAAACAAATACAGTAGATGAAACGGGTATGTTGATTGATGATATATCGGCGTATGTTTAATGTAGGTGACAAGATTTGCATGTGGAGGATACTCAATTGGAATCGGTACAAGCCACTCACTATTTGATGGAATCTCAGCTTACGAATTTATTCACGCCTGGGCTTCCAACTCCAACAAATCGTCCGATGATAAGATTACTAATAAAAAAGATCACTTGGTCATCAAACCGGTCCATGATCGAGGAACACTACTGTTTAACCGGGACTTGAATCAGAGCCGGGAGACTATCCCAGTAACGAATGCTGCAGCCATTTATCATCTGTACCAGTTGATCAAACAGGCGATGATGAGCCATCAGGAGCAAAACCCTGATCTTGAGTTACCAGACCCTGGTTTTGTGATCAAAACGTTCGAGCTTAGTGACGAAGCGATAGAAAGCTTGAAGAAGAAATTACTAAAAGGGTTCTTGTGCTCCTCCTTTGAGTTTCTTGCTGCTCATTTGTGGATGGTAAATAATTTCAAGAACTTTATTTTACGAATTAATATTGTTTGCACTAAATTTTATTTTCATTAGGTGGATAACTAATAAGTTAGTCTCGATTGTTTTGTCTGCGTTTATAATTTCTATGACATTAATATATAGTGAGAACAGCTTCAAGAAACAAATATAATATATGTTAGCCATTACAAGAAAGTGAGAAACGTTAATATTAACCATATATAAACTTTGCAGGCAAGAACAAGGGCGTTAGGGTTGAGGAGAGACGCCATGGTATGTTTACAATTCGCGGTGGACATAAGGAAAAGGACGGAGCCATCACTGCCAGAAGGGTTTTCCGGCAACGCCTACGTGCTAGCCTCGGTGGTTTCCACGACCAGAGAACTACTCGAAGAACTAACGCTCGAGTCAATAATATACAAGATTAGAGAAGCGAAGAATTCAATCGACCAAGACTACATCAACGCTTATATGGAAGCACTTGGAGGTGGTGATGATCAAAGAAACGATGGGAATCTCCCTCCTCTCAAAGAGCTAACACTAATCTCCGACTGGACAAAAATGCCTTTTCACAATGTTGGCTTTGGCAAGGGGGGCGTGCCGGTAGATAACGTGGCGGCGCTGTGTCCTCCGGTTCCACAAGTTGCTTATTTCATGAAGAACCCTAATAAAGATGCTAAAGGTGTTCTTGTGAGGATAGGTTTGGACCCACGAGATGTTAATGATTTTACAAATCATTTCCTTGATACCTAATGCATTAGCTGGTGATGATCAATTAGTTAATTAATTAGTAGAATGAATCTTTTGTAAGTTGTTTTTTGTGTTAGTAGTATATAATTTGATGATATGGCTCCTCTATATGCATGCGTGTGTGCTAAAGACACTTTATTGTAATTGGGTTATGATGATGTATAATTTAGTGACATATCTCTCTGCTTTCTATTTGTCGTTATCACTTTATCTTGGTGATAAGCTTTGTTTCTTTTTCTTTTTTTTTTTATGTTTTTTTAAATAAAAGATTAGTAGGCTTTTATTTCCTTCCGACATTTCTGGATAAATATGTTAAAGTTATGAATCTTATTATAATGTAGACACCTAAGCCAATGTTACAGGGGGTTATTAGAGGGCATTTTGATTTTATATGTGGATTTGGATGTTGCTCAAACCAGTAGGGAAGCTGTAAACAAGAGCTTTTACAGTCTCATTACAAAGAAGCTAGAAGAGACAGAACCAAAGATAATAATAATTGATTGTGTCTGAACAAAAGAGTTTCTTAAGTTGACAAAGAAAAGGGAAAAAACTGTTTCTCATATCCATGTTCCGTCTGAGCTAAACCATCCAAAACCCAGTCACCTTCAGGGAAATCAGATTGGCTCTGTTCCTGTTACATTCAAAGAAACAATCTTTAGAAATCTCCAAGTGAAAAAGGGGCAACGTAAATGCTTTTTCTTTTATACCTGTGTCATTAAGGAATTGACTATATCATCTAAGGAACCAGCATCTGAAGCCATGTGTAACCCTTGCTTTGAATCGCAATTTCTAAAATGTTGAGCTTCTATTATTGGACCAGAGTTATTTGCCTGCTGCTGATTCACCTGCAATGGATTAAAAAAGTCTGTTTGTGCAGCACTTGAGGATCCGAAATCCGGGTGCGGATTTGTATCCAGATTTGAGTTTATTAGCGGACTGGCTGAGTCGCAGAACGCGGTCCATTCCAAGGTGTCAGGTTTTGAATGAACATCACTCTGTGGAATGTTGGTTGACAATACAGTGTTTGACCAATGTTCTAGACGCTTGTTGATCTCAAACTGAGGAGAGAATCCCGGGTTTAGCGATGGTGATGATGACTGAGGGTGACCATTAAGAAGTAAGTGATTATTGTTGGAAGCAAGCATTAGAGAGTTTTGTTGTGAAGTAAAGCTTGGAAAAGCCTTGTTGATCTGAAGCTCTTCTAGAGGGGGAAGTGGCAACCCCTGAAGTATGTTTCCTCTTTCATTGTGGTTACGAGGAAATGCTGATGAGACTGGTTGGAACATTCCTCCTGCAAGGGAGTTTAGACGACCAATATTCCTATTTGAAGGGTAATGTCTCATCATTGTGGCTTCACCATGGAACTGACCGGATCCAACAGGTACTGCGCGGTGGTGGTAGAAGCCGCCAAGTCCTTTGTGAGAACTCATTTGCATCAATTGTGAGTCAATGGCCACCCTGTTAGCTTGTTGATTGGCTTCATCAGACACCTTCTTCAAGGCAACGCGGAATTTCTACAACAAAAAGACATGGCAATTGTGTTTAATGGAAGCATGTTAACACTAATAGATCAAATCAGAAGACTCATAGTCGCACTCTCACCTGAAGGTGGCTAGCAACATTCTCTCTTGTGAGTTTGTCAACATTCATCAGATCAAGAATCTTTTTGGGTACAGCTTCTGCATCATCAAATACTTAAAAGTCAGAACATGATGATTACCGCGAAAAAGCTAACTGGAAACTAGAGGTAGAGAGACTAGAAACATTACTCTCAACGCCCAGATGATCAACAGCTGACAGGAATTTGTTGTGCAGCTCATGCGTCCAAATAACACGAGCTTTCTTTTGAGCCGTTGGATCATCATTCTCATTCCCTCTTTCTTCCTCTTCCTCCTCTTCATACTGTTCTTTACGTTTTCTGTTGGCTCTATCAGAGTTTCCCGCACCATTACTCAAACTGCTATTGCTCTTCTTAAGTTTGCTCTTTCTCACCACGTGTTGCCATATGTTCTTGAGCTCCTCAATTCGAACCGGTTTAAGCAGATAATCGCATGCACCGTGCTTGACTCCTTTCATCACATACTTTGGATCGCTATGCGCAGATAACACTACAAGAATCAATCACAATGTAAAAGATCAATACTTTCTCTTGGAAATATGAAAAGCTCAATGGAATCAAACAGAAGTACAACAGGGAAGGCTTCATACTTATGACAGGTAAGTCCATTTCAAGACCAACGAGCTCAAGAAGCTTGAAACCATCCATGTCTGGCATGTCGACATCACTAATAACGAGATCAAATTTGTTCCTGTTCTCCCTCAACAACTCCAACGCCGTCTGTGCCTGATTCGTGGTTGTAACTGCACATTATAATAGTAACAATCACCCCCAAAGTCTTAGTTTTGACAGAGCAAGTCTCAAATTCAACAAACTAAAAACATCAGAAGTAAGAACAAATGACACATGTGGAGCTATGAAATCTATAACAATTGCCACAAAGTCTTAGTTTTTACTGAGCAAGAGACTCATTCTCAAATTCAACGAACTCATTCAAAAGAATTAAGAGGCATTGAGCTTCGTGACACATGTGGATCAATCAAATCTGGTAGTAATTCCAAAAAGCCTCAGTTTTTACAGGGCAAGAAACTGTTCCAAATCCGAAGACCTCAAAAGAAGTAAAGTAAGAACCAATGAGCTGTGTGACACATGTGAAGAAGCAATGAATATATGGATTTTACTTTCGAATTGTGAATCTACTTAAATCTGAATAGATTCCAGAAACCCATCTTTAAAAACATATAAATCTAAAGAGGTGTGCTGACAAGAAACGAATCTGAGGCTAAATTTTGTAGCTTTTAGTATATAAACCAAAACCAAATTGTAGAAAACAAACTATTTCCGGAGACAAGTGTAGAAGGAGGAAGCAAACCGTGGTATTGGCAGCGATGAAGCAAAGTCTGGAGAATACGGAGACAAGTCTGGTCATCGTCAACAGCAAGAACTCTCATCCCAACCGGAAACTGGTCCAAGGCTTCAATTTCGTGTTCCATAGTCATTTGTCAGAGGTTTCTGAGTAGAAGAGCAACGTTCGGATTTATTTATCAGTAGGTTATATCATGGGAAGAGAAGATTTAGAGAGTAGAGAGAGAGGGAGAGTTTTATTGGCAGAGTAAAAATTTCTTCTTTAGCGAGGAAATACAAAAGGAGGAAGATGGCAAAAGAGAATCTAAGCCCCTATATATGGTTTCTGAAATACTCTGTGATTGATGATCTTCAAGACTGCCCAATGAACTCATTTATGGATTTCTCTGTTTTCTTTTATAAATAAATCATTTCTGGCAAAAGTTTCCTTCTTTGTTTTGCCATTAGGAAAGGAAAAAAAAATATATTTTCAGACGAGAAAAAATCAGTTGAACCGATCGGTTCATTTGAGAATCACGCGCCTCCTATTTTAATTGGTTTGGTTTCTTTTTGACTGTGGAAATAATATTCTTTTTTTAGTTTAGTGATAATTAATTTGAAAAAGAAAGAAGATTAGGAAATTTTGTAAAGATGGGATTAAAAAAATTGAAAGAGTGGTGTATGTAGATGATTCTGTATATCATGTAATTAAGGTTAAAGATATGTTTTTTGATATTGTACTTAGTATACAAGGCAAAATACAGAATCGACCTATTACCATAATCGAATACTTTCCTTAATCCTGTGTCTTGAGGATTAAATTGCCAACTACTGTACTAATAAGTTGAGTTTATCATCAACGGGTTTTACATTTTACCTGACCATAGGAGTTAGTGCAAAACTATGGTATATTATAGTTTTTATAAAAGATAAAAAAAAAAAAAAAGAGACAGGCTTTAGGGGAAGAGAGCATGGTGAAGGGTGGGAAGTGCGAGACACGCATGAGCGTGCTTCATGGCTTTTTCCGACTTATCTCGTACAGAGAGGTTCAGAAAAGATTTAGGAAAATTAAAAGAGTATTTATCTCCAATAATAAACAAACCACTAGTGGGCTAATGCCGATGTTTAATCAAACCTAAGACATAATATTGTACTCTCTTGTTTCTTAGAAAACGTCAGCGCCTAAGTCAGACTCGTCTTACCATATCAGTCATCTTGGGAATATAATGAAGACAAACATGTTATTAATAATGGTTCCCTTTGGTTTATAAAACGATTTGAATCACCGGCCAAATGTATTCGTATGCTGGAATTACAACTTTGAAGTCAACAGAGAAAATTGCTGTCACAAGTTATAGTAACTTACGCTATACTAAAAAAACATAAAACAAAAAAAGTAAAAATAAATTTTCGAAGTTGGGTTCCATCCACATCCTCATCAGCCTACTAGCTTGGTGGATGCAAAATAAGATCCCAATTATTTTAGTATACTTTATTATTGATAGGTATATTTTGTATAATTTCTTGGATTGACCAAATAGCGTGTTCATTTCTCTGCCTCTCGTTTCCGTTTCATAAAATAGTCTACTTCTGATAAGGATTATAATACGTTTTGGTAGCTTATTAACCCAAAAAAAAATAAAAAAAATTACGGTTATGTATCGTTTTGTATATTTTAGTGCAATATTCGAGAATATATATACCTGTTCTCTTTTTCCCGTAATACTAGTTTACAAAAGGTTTTACTTTTTTAAAAAAAGAACATCAACACGACTTCGATGCAATGCATTAGAAAATAAAAGACAACAATCTAATAGTAGAAATCATTATCATTGATCACTCCAATTTTTCTTTGTTAAATAGTTGGAGATGACATTAGAAAGATTAAAAAAATGAGTTTTTTTTCTAGAAGATCCATGTTATGCACCAAATCTGTAAAGATTCTACATGTTAATAAGTTATTGGAAATCACTTGTCATTAGCTGCTATCATTGGCTCATCGTCTCATATATTGGACACACATGTATAATTATTCACATTTAAATATGAGAAAGGAGATGCCCTAACAGCTACACTTTGGTGTAATGTTTAATTTAAGTCGAAAGATGCTGATACAATTTTAATAATAAAACTAAAAACTAAATACTAAATGGAGTAGGAAAATCAAAAGTTGAGGTAATCTTGTCTCCCACAAGGGCTAACCACACCCGGTCATTAATATGCTTCTTGTTCGTCCGTTGCTTCCTAATCACTTCCTGCTCTGTATTACTCTTGTTTAGATTTTCTGCATTTAAAACTTAAGCTATGAATTTATCATAGTCAACTCTAGAACGCCAGGACATAGCAATTATTATGTAAATACTGAAAAAAAACAATCATTGTTAAAGTAAGTATGGACTAACAGTGAGCTATGAACGATGGATGGTGATGATTAGCTCATCATAAACCTTTCGCTCGTGTCAACTGATCCAACATTTTTTTTTTTTTTTGAATTTAACTGATCCAACATTTGTCATGACCACTTCTAACTTTCTTTTCTCTAGCTCACATATATAACAGATATTATTCAAATTTAAAAATAAAAGAGGTATGGATTTTATTAGTAACCAGTAACCACACTAAAAAAGATGTTGAGCCACCATGCTTTCACCATATATGGGGGTATTTCTGATGGTGTTTACTGTTAGGCTTCATCAGTCGTACAAAAATAAGCATATTATGCACCTATACAAGAAAGTAACTAAAGCCAATATTTCTACTTCAACTGATAACAGTATAATCAAAAGCTGACGGACACGACTGAAAAAATTTCAGTGTTTATTTTGCCACGAATGAATTTAGCTTTCTCAACCATTGAATGAGCTCAATCCTATCCTTATTCATCATATATTCATGCAAGAAAAAACAAAGATCCGCATCGATTCCTCTAACTCGCAAAAACTCCCGAATCGCTGTCTGAAAATCATACTTCAAACTCCTGCAAAGAAACAAAGATCACAGGTTTCAGAGGTTGCACTTATCTAGCAATTTCCTGTAACGCAGTATATGACTTGACTGTATCAACAAATTCAAGACTAGTTAAATGCTTCACTCTGTATTTTAAGTGGTTCAAGAAAGCATAGAGATTAGTACCCAAAATTTGGTCCCATGTAAGGTTGACCAGTGATTTTGTTGCGTCTAAGCTTGTAAAGCTTTCGAATTTCGATACGGTTAGGCCAGACTGAGCAAAGGAACTCGACCTCTTCACTTCCGTCAATCTTGGAAATGTCGACGAGCAAGCTAATATGGAGACGGAGATCGCGCCCTGAAGCATCTAAACCAGTTCTTGGAACAGTCATAAACCCATCAAACATAGTTGCTTCCATTTTGATGTTTTCGTCTTCTCCAAACTTCCCTTTCATCACAATGCATTGCTCACCGGGACAATCCTCCACAGAGAACGATTTGAATTCAGTCGCTGGCTGCATTATAGTTTAAGTGAAAACAAAACAAAATCATCACCAGCATCTCTTCTCTTGTCATTTGCTAGGATCTTGAACCAAAGTCTAATACTTGATGTTCGAATACAGTGTTTACCGGATAACAAAAAAAATACACGAATCCGAAATCTAAGACTAGCATAAGCATCAGATTCCAGCTAAAAGAAAGGATAGTGAATTTATCTAAATTAGATGATACCAGATGCGGAGGAGCATAATCGGATTGATACTCGATCTCATTTCTTATGATTCGAAGGATGTTTGATCGGAAGGGCGATTTCGTCGTCGAGGTGGCGATATCTCGTGATTGGGGAGTTGGTAACAGAGAATTACATCGAACCCAAGAAATTAGGGTTCTTGAGGTATGAGAAGGAGAAATGCGTGACTTTTGAAGGGTACGGAGCAGAAGAGCCATGGAGGTTTTTGATGTTCGCCGACGTTAGGGCTCTCCGGAGGTTCTCTAATTGGAAACTGAACCGAATCGAAATTGCAGAGCTTAATAGTGGGCTTTTTCTGATATCCAATATTCAAACAACTTAATGGGCTTTTTTATATCCAATAGACAAACAACTTATTGGGCTTTCATGTCAAAGCATTGTTTGACGAGTCCGATGGTTATAATTAACATCCAAATTCAGAAAGAAATGTGGGTTTTGACTTTTGTAGAGAGACTTATTATCGCTTTAGTAATCTTTGGATGCAAATGAAGATTGTTTAAGACCATAAATTTTGTGGGTCTATTTTCGAGAACCTACATTTTTGACATAAAAAAAAAAAAAAAAAAAAAAAACATTGATGGTTAGAAGGTAGTTGTCTCAGATCCGGTGGACAAGCTGTTTCGGCCTAGGTTACTCACTTCTGGTATTAATGTATTCTTTTGTTTCTTTAGATGGGTTTCGTACGCAATGTCAGCTGGTTTGGGTTTGGTTCTTGCATTCGATGATAGAAGAAACATAAGAACCAATAGAAGAAAGACACAAACAAACAATATAACATATACAACACCACTTGTACACAAATAATGAATGTTCTTCTTCTGATAAATATTTTTTTTATATACCGCGTGGCTCGTTTACTCCAAGCACGCAGGACACCAGATCCGATCCGTCTTGATTAGTTTATGTTATTAAAAGTTCATCATACAAATATTAAAGATAACCACATATATACTACAAGGATTCCAAATCTAAGTTGTTTCTTTCTATTTCACTCCATGGTTATCAATTAGTAGCTAGGGAATATTTAGTTAATTTTACATTTTTTTTTTTGGTAAACGGTTAAATAATTTACATATTTTATGTTGACATTTAACTCTTATTTCAGTTATTATGAATCGATATTTTTAAAAATTAAGTGTGTTTGAATTTCAAATATAATTATTGATGTTCTAATTAAATTTAGTTGACAAATAAAATTGGTTTGAGTAATTGATCAAGATTAGACATTAACTTTTGACCAATGTTATTAACTTTGGTCAGACTGATTGATCAAAAATTAGATAGAAATTTGTGATGGAGTTTTTTGACCAACTATTATTACTTGCGACCACCGTTTTTTAACGACTTGGTTTTGGTCAAATATCGATCGAAAATGACTATTTTGATCAATTTATGTGTAAAATGCATAGTCGCAAATAATAGACAGTTTTCTTTTGTAGTCGCAAATAATGCCACGTAAGGTTTCGTTTTAAAATTCACCACCAGGCGAAGTCCGACGTAGGTACGACCAATGCTGCAATGCACAACATCAAATTTATGAATCTATATATGATAATTGAGTTTTAGATTTCTTGCGTTGACTTTTCTCCAAATGTCTAATTTTGGTTACGATGGTTCTCACTTGCGTCACGCTGTTATGCACTTCACTAGTGAAACAACAAAGAATTCATTAAATTAATCATTCGAAAATTATTGCGTGTAGTGTAATGCTTGTGTGTAATGATAGAGCAAAAGCAGTTTATGCATGGATCTTGCAAGACTATACGATGATCAACACAATACACAATTACACATCATCCAGTGATAATTAATTAAATCACTACCCTGCCGGTAAATAAAAACAATATAACTAACTATCTAGAGAATAAAAAAGAATTATTATTATTATTATTATTTTTATTGTTTAACAAAATCTAGTTTCTTTCTTAATGCTCGTTTTATTCAATGCCTATGTCATTAATTAAATAAAAGTTGTCTTTGCAGCTCTTTTCATTCAATGCCTCAATGCCTCAATCCTTACTCCGTGTCATGCATTAATTAAAATCAAAGTTGACGCCCTAGTTTTGATCATCGTTTGTGCATGTCTCATGTGTTACATCGTATTGAACCGATCATATATATGTGTATATATATATATAGACAGACGATATTCTTCAACCACTCAAAATAAGAATCACCAAAGACACATAAATCTCTTTTAGACTTTCAAAAACACTATGGATACGTCTCTCTTTTCTCTATTTGTTCCCATCCTCCTTATCGTTCTTATCGCTCTCTTTAAGAAATCGAAGAAACCAAAACATGTTAAAGCTCCTAAACCTAGCGGCGCATGGCCTATCATCGGCCATCTTCACCTTATCAGTGGCAAAGAACAGCTTCTCTATCGAACCTTAGGAAAAATGGCTGACCATTACGGCGCAGCCATGTCGCTACAACTTGGGAGCAGCGAAGCATTTGTTGTGAGCAGTTTTGAAGTGGCTAAAGATTGTTTCACTGTGAACGACAAAGCCTTGGCTTCACGTCCTATGACTGCAGCCGCAAAGCACATGGGTTACAATTTTGCTGTTTTCGGGTTTGCACCTTATAGCGCTTTCTGGCGTGAGATGCGTAAAATCGCAACCATCGAGCTACTTTCTAACCGGCGGCTTCAGATGCTCAAGCACGTTCGTGTTTCTGAGATCTCAATGGGTAAAAAAATAATAATTTCTACCGTACCAAACGTACGTATTAATAATTGTCTAATTTTTGATACAATGCGATATTCTCACATGCAGGTGTAAACTATTTGTATTCCTTGTGGGTCAAAAAAGGTGGTTCAGAACCAGTAATGGTTGATCTAAAGAGCTGGTTAGACGACATGACACTAAACATGGTCGTGAGAATGGTTGCCGGAAAACGATACTTTGGAGGCGCCGGCTCAGAATCCTCGAAGGACACTGAAGAGGCAAGGCAATGCAAAAAGGCCATCGCAAAGTTCTTTCACCTCATTGGTATATTCACTGTGTCCGATGCTTTTCCGACGCTAGGGTGGTTTGATTTGCAAGGACATGAGAAGGAGATGAAGCAAACGGGAATCGAATTAGATGTGATCCTTGAAAGATGGGTTGAAAACCATCGACAACAAAGAAAAGTTTCAGGACCGAAAGAGAATGATTCAGACTTCATCGACGTTATGTTGTCACTTGCAGAACAAGGCAAACTCTCGCATCTTCAATATGATGCTAATATTAGCATCAAATCTACTTGCCTGGTAGATTTTTATTTTATTTTTAATCAAACTACTAAATCAGCAAATCTTGAATTCCTTTTTTTATTTTGGGGTCTCTTATAATGAATAATAGTAATAAATATTTGATTTCTCAGGCACTGATTCTAGGAGGAAGTGAGACTACATCATCTACACTTACATGGGCCATTGCTCTTCTTCTTAACAACAAAGAAATGTTAAAGAAAGCACAAGATGAGATAGACCTCCACGTTGGCACAGAAAGGAACGTCGAGGATTCAGACATAGAAAATCTGGTGTATGTTCAAGCAATTATCAAAGAAACATTGAGGTTGTATCCAGCTGGTCCACTCTTAGGCCCTCGAGAGGCGATGGAAGACTGCACCGTCGCCGGTCACAACGTTTCTCGCGGCACAAGACTGATAGTGAATGTATGGAAAATCCAAAGGGATCCGAGAGTTTATATGGAACCAAACGAGTTCAGACCAGAGAGGTTTGTTACAGGAGAAGCAAAAAAGTTTGACGTCAGAGGACAAAACTTTGAGCTGATGCCATTTGGTTCGGGAAGAAGATCATGCCCAGGCTCTTCATTGGCCATGCAAGTGCTTCATCTAGGTCTTGCTCGAATCCTTCAATCGTTTGATGTGAAAACTGTCTCGGATATGGCTGTCGATATGAGTGAGAGCCCTGGCCTGACCATTCCTAAAGCCACGCCACTTGAGGTTCTGATTAGTCCACGTCTTAAGGAACATCTTTTCGTGTAATATATTGACTGTTTCAGAAACATATGACTCCAGTATTGTTTACTTTTGAAGTTGCTGCTTTTTTGATGTTTTTTCCGTTTGAATAAAGGTCATATACGTTTGTTGTTTTTCCTCTTCAAAATAAATCATCGTTTGATTAGGCCATCAAAGGATTTTTTTCACACCCCTTTGTATATTGTTGGTGGAATTATGTTTTTTTTTTTATTGCAGAAAGTTTTCAAGTATTATTTATAACTCAAGATCAAAATTACATTTTCATGACTGAAACTTATGTGACCAAGAAATGAGAAAAAAAAAACCCCACACAGATACAAGATACTAGTAGATTGATATGTAGCTGTCACAAAATCCTACATTTTGGTAAAAAATATCATAATTGACTTTTTTCTTATTTTAATTATAACCGAAAAATGTAAAATTAACAACAGAAACGGAAGAAAAGAAAAAGAAAAAAAGGGTTGACCAATTTTTTTTTTATTTTTTATGTGGCGCATCCAGTTACCCAGGAAAGAGGAAACCTCGGAGAGAGGGGAGGATTGAGTTGGAGACGAACGAACCCATTGAACATACCAAAAGGAAAAGGTGTTGAGAATTCGCAATCAGATGCATTGAGCCGTAAAGAGAGATGTTTTGCAGAAACGTCTCGGTGAGGCGGAAGAAGAAATCTGGTTCTGTCCCGGTTTATCTCAATGTCTACGACCTCACCCCTATGAATGTTTACGGTTATTGGCTCGGTATCGGGATCTATCACTCTGGTCTTGAAGGTATTTTCATTGTTTTCTTGTTTTTTTTCCCCTTAATTCTGGGTTTTGATTGTTCCTGTGTTGCCGATATATATATGAGAGGATATTGGGTAATAAAGGTCAATCCTTTTGGTCAATTTCGTTGGATTGTAGCATTGCTTAGGGGAATGTAGCTGAGAACTGCTGCTGATTGATTTTTATGAAAGTGATGAAGGATCCGGTAATTTTGGATTCTGTTCAGAGATGCAATTGGTATGAATTTGGTTTAGGGGACTAAAAGCTTAGAAAGATGGAAAAGGTTTAATGTTACTGTAGAATTTGACCTTTGGTCCTCCTGGAGTTGACTTGAAGGCTAAATGTGATCTCTCATTGTATTTGGTGTAGAGTTTTGTGGATGATGTTTACTTGGTTTGAACAATGTGTTGATGATAGGTAAATCCGATATTCAATGTTCCAGTGATCAACATTGTTCATTTGTTTGTAGTTCATGGGGTTGAGTATGGATACGGGGCACACGAGAAATCTAGCTCGGGAATTTTTGAAGTTGAGCCAAAGAAGTGTCCTGGTTTCACATTCAGGAAATCGATTCTTGTGGGTGAAACAGAGATGAGGGCCAAAGAAGTTAGAACCTTTATGGAGAAATTAGCAGAAGAGTATCAGGGAAACAAGTACAATCTCATCACAAGGAACTGCAACCATTTCTGCAACCATGTTTGTTTAAAACTGACTCAGAAATCTATCCCTAGTTGGGTCAACCGTCTTGCTCGAATAGGTAACAGAAACTTCAGCAGCAATTGAACGAATCAGAATGTATCAAATAATTAATGTATATTGGTTTCTTATGAACCTTAAGGTTTCCTATGCAACTGTGTGTTGCCGGCTTGCTTGAACGAGACTAAAGTGAAGCGGGTAGGAAGAGACGGGAAGCTCGTGGAAGGGGAAAATACAAAGAAGAAAAAGAAGAAGGCGAGAAGCAGATCAGGTCCTTTATCATCCTCTTGTTCTATTTCAAGATTAGATAATAAGCCTTCACATAACAGATCAATATCAACGGGAAATCCTCCTCTTTCTTCTTCTTCTCCATCTTGTCCGGTGAGACATCGAGTTCCTTCTGTTGCATCTGGAGCTAAAGATCAGAAGCCTTTAAGCGTAAGCGTCAAGACGTGAATAATTTTCATTGTTTGCACAGCTAATTATACTTGTTTACGAATGCGAGGCTGCTTGTGCTTTGTTCTCAAGTTATATATCCTCCATTTTTAATCCGTTTTGGTTTTACTTGGTTACTGTATAATTTTCGTATAGGCGAATCATGAATATCTGTAAATACTAAATAGAGTGACTCAACCTTTGGTTGGTTTGTTATGATGTAATTTTTGAGAATTTTACAAATTACTTGTTTAAATATCAACAAATCTAAGTATAAAATATCAACAAATTTTTGACAATCGATATATACATCTCTTACTCCCAAATTGTCATACAAATAAAATTGTTGTAAAAAAAATAAATAATACTCCATAATATGATTTTTATTGTATTATATCACAGAACATGGAAGTGGCATTAACCCTAGTTTGACCTTTTTCAAAGTCACTCACTATAAATACTTATCAAACTACACTCTTCCGCAGCTACAACTAAATCCCGTAGAACCCTAATTCACAGTGGTTTGAAAAGCTCGCGTACATCGCTTCTATCTCATTTTCACCCTTTTATGTTTGGTTTTAGATTTCAGTCTTTTTAGCCTTCGAAAGTGTTGATTTTTATTTCATTATCGTTTTGGCTTTTATATTTGGTGAAATCTAATATGTATGTAATTGAAACTGTTATCTCTGCCGTATTGATTCAGTATTAGTTAAGTGGATGCTTGTTAGTCCTTAAGCTCTGGTTTTGGATATTTCTCAGAATCAGGCTTAAAGGTTCTTGTTTTCGATTTGAAAAGCGTTTTGGAAAATCCCAATGATGATTATGATTAAAAAAAAATGTTAAAAGTAGTGACTGATTTATCTTGATTATACTTCAGCTCTGAGGGATTTTTAACTTGTTTTTTTCGTTTTCGTCTTACAATCCGTTGTTTGACTTGACATCATTGTTTGTTGATTTGGTGAGTTATTGTTTTTGCTTGATTGAAGCATATTGTACACGGCCTTGGCTGAATCCCAATGATGAATTATATGAAGAAAAAAAAAATGTTAAAAGTAGTGCCTGATTACACCTTGATTACTAATCAATTCTGAGGGATTCATTCAGCTAAGGTTTTTTTTATAAATTCATTCTTTTCATGGAATCTTTATTTTGCTTAACACACTTGTGTGCCTTGTAATGACTGATCAAATTTGAAAGTCTTGACTGATAGCTTCCGGAAAATATTGGGATCACATATTGTACACGGCCAGCATCTGCAGTGAAGTGCAATGCATCGAGGTCTCTTCCGTGTAGAAGTACAGTTCCAGTGCCATAGAAGAAATCTCTATGCTTTACACGCCATCTACAAGTGCTTGGGGATTTTGTCTATGGGAGTGTCTACTGTGTCACAATTTCATACAAGGGTTAGATTTTATGGAAAACACAGCGATGTCAGTTCATTAAACTCTACAGCAACAGAGGTCTTCTGTTTGATGTAGTTGGTCGTTGTGTTTGTAGGTCCTTTGTTGGATCAATTTAAATTGAGATGAACAGAATAAAACACCTTAATTGTATCAATTTACATAATGCCAGTTTCTTATGTATTCATCTATTGTCCCAAAGAAAAACAACAACTAAATTCATCCTTGGCTTGAACCTTTTATATCCCTTTTTAATTTTATACATGGCCCTGTGCTTGATATTTTTAGGCTTTTAGCGTTGATTTGATATCTCTTTGAAGCATCTTTCTTCGTCTGTTCCTTCCGAAGTACAAAAGAGTGTGTGAAACGTTGACTTTTGAAAGGTGTGCCGTGTGCTTAGTTAGAGTTTTTCCTCCGAAAAAATCTTATCTTTTCTTTCTCTCTAGACGTGTTCTGCTTTGATGAATCTTAATGAAGGTGATGCCCTCGTAGATTCCATCAAAGAAAAGTTAGATTCTTTGTCTTCTCTTTTAAGACCATGCTGTATATACAAGGTACCTAATAAGCTCCGCAGACTCAATCCTGATGCATATACGCCTCGGCTTGTGTCCTTTGGCCCTTTTCATCGTGGTAAAGAAGAGCTTCAAGCCATGGAAGAGCATAAACACAGGTATTTGCGGAGTTTTATCTCTAGAACAAACTCTAGTCTAGAAGATATTGTTAGAGTTGGTAGGAGTTGGGAACAAAATGCTCGCAGCTGTTACGCAGAAGATGTGAAACTTAATAGTGATGAGTTTGTTGAGATGTTAGTTGTAGATGGTAGCTTCTTAGTTGAACTTCTTTTAAGGTCTCATTATCCTCGGCTTAGAGGGGAGAAAGATCGCATATTTGGGAATTTAATGATGATCACTGACGTGTGTCGTGACATGATTTTGATCGAAAATCAGCTACCCTTTTTTGTTGTTAAGGAGATTTTTCTTCTTTTGTTTATTTACTACCAACAAGGAACACCTTCAATCATACAGCTAGCGCAACGCCACTTCCGTTGCTCCTTGAGTCGCATTGATGATAACAAGATTATTTCAGAGCCAGAACATTTTGTTGATCTTCTGAGGTCTTGTTTTGTGCCACTGGTTCCAATCAGATTGGAAGAATGCACATTGAAAGTGCACAATGCACCTGAAACAACAGAGCTTCACACTGCTGGTGTTAGCTTCAAGCCAGCAGAGACCAGTAGTTGTTTACTTGACATTAGCTTTGCTGATGGAGTACTGAAGATTCCTACCATTGTTATAGATGATCTCACGGAATCCCTATACAGAAACATCATTGTGTTTGAACAATGTCATTGCTCAGATAAGAGCTTCATTCACTATACTACGCTGCTTGGTTGCTTCATTAAATCCCCTACTGATGCTGACTTGCTCATCCGCAGTGGGATCATTGTGAACGATCTTGGGAACTCAGAAGATGTTTCAAAGTTGTTCAATAGCATCAGCAAAGAGGTTACCTATGACAGAAGATTCTACTTTTCGACACTTTCTGAGAACCTACAAGCTTACTGCAACACACCATTGAACAGGTGGAAGGCAATTCTGAGACGTGACTACTTCCACAATCCTTGGTCAGTTGCTTCTGTTTTGGCTGCTTCAATTCTTCTCCTTCTCACTTTTATACAGACTGTATGCTCTATCTTGGCTCTATGATCCTTTTGGGACATCGCTTTATCAATAAAACTAAACATTTGCCTTATGAATACATATGATTATAGTACCTGAGTTCGGCCAAGTTCTGTTTTGTCTTACAATTGTCTATGAGATATTGAAATGGTGCTACCTAGACGCACCAGGCGGTGGAAAGTAACGCTAACACCAGTTCAGGAAAGTAGACAGACGACTTGCATAGAAACTAATAACTGAAGAGACCAAAATGTCTGAAACTTGGAGTAGACATGAGGTCATTAAAGAACCAAACAAAGTGCCAAAAAGGAAACGAACATGAACCAACTAAGAATGTTTGTTTATCAGCTCACAAGATCATCTATTGAAAAGCACATCCTTAGTTCGCAATCATGCTATTCTTGGACCTTTTAAATGTAAACTATACAGAGCCTGACAGCACTTTTTTGACCCGTAACTGTTATTTTTTGTGGTCGCTACCACGTCAAGCTTCTATGTCCGTTTCTTCCTTCCAAAGTCCAATACAATATGTGTGAATCGTTGACTTCTGATTGGTACTACTGTGTGTGAGTTCTAAAAGCTTTGTTTTTTTTTTTTTTTGGTTTATAGCATCTTTCTTTGAAACGTTGACTTCCGAAAAGCCTACAGCTGTGTGCTTAATTTAGTTTTTCCTCCAGATAATCCTCTTCTCTATTTCTTTCTATACGTGTTCTGTTTTGCGTAGGAAAGGATGGATCCGAATGAAGCTGATGATTCCCTTGTAGAATCCATCAAAGCTAAGTTAGACTCTTTGTCATCTCTTACAACCCATTGTTGTATCTACAAGGTACCTAATAAGCTCCGCAGACTCAATCCGGATGCATATACGCCTCGGCTTGTGTCCTTTGGCCCTTTCCATCGGGGTAAAGAAGCTCTTCAAGCCATAGAAGAGCATAAATACAGGTACTTGCAGAGTTTTATCCTTAGAACAAACTCTAGTCTAGAAGATATTGTTAGAGTTGTTAGGACTTGGGAGCAAAAAGCTCGCAGGTGTTATGCAGAAGATGTGAAACTTAATAGCGATGAGTTTGTTGAGATGTTAGTTGTAGATGGTAGCTTCCTAGTTGAACTTCTTTTGAGGTCTCACTATCCTGGACTTGGAGGCGAGAGAGATCGCATATTTGGGAATTCAATGACGATCACGGACGTATGTCGTGACATGATTTTGATCGAGAATCAGTTACCCTTTTTCGTTGTAAAAGAGCTTTTTTTTTTCTCTTGTTTATTTACTACCAACAAGGAACACCTTCAATCATAAAGCTCGTCCAACGCCATTTCAGTTGTTTCTTGAGCAATATTGATGATGAGATGCTTACTTCAGAACCAGAGCATTTTGTGGATCTTCTGAGGTCTTGTTATTTGCCACGGGTTCCAGACAGATTGAAAGAAACCACGTTGAAGATTGACAACACACCTGAAGCAGCAGAGCTACACACTGCTGGTATTAAATTCAAGCCAGCAGAGACCAGTTGTATACTTGACATTAGCTTTGCTGATGAAGTCCTGAAGATCCCTACCATTTTCATCGATGATCTCACAGAATCACTCTACAGAAACATCATTGCGTTTGAACAATGTCATTGCTCAGATAAGAACTTCCTCCACTACATCAGGTTGCTCGGTTGCTTCATTAAATCCTCTACAGATGCTAAGTTACTCATCCGCAGTGGGATCATCGTGAACAATCTCGGGAACGCAGGAGATGTTTCAAAGTTGTTCAATAGCATCTACAAAGAGGTTATATTTGGTAGAAGATTCTACTTTCAGACACTCTCAGAGAATCTTCAAGCTTACTGCAACACACCATGGAACAGGTGGAAGGCGATACTGAGACGTGACTACTTCCACAATCCTTGGTCACTTGCTTCTGTTTTGGCTGCTTTACTTCTTCTCTTTCTCACTTTCATACAGGCTGTGTGCTCTATCTTGGCTCTCTAATTCTTTTGGGACATCACTTGGATAATAGAACATTTGTCGTATGAATGATAATAAAAATTTTGTGGTTCACAGTTGTTGTTTGGTTTTTCAAATTCTAGGAGATGGCACTAACACTAACAACTGTGATAGGCAAATAAAAAGACAAATTACGGGTAAACTATTCAATTAACTATAGAGACCAAAAATAAAGTCTGAAAATGGGATTGGTCACCTGATGCAAGTGCTTTATTAGAGTAAAATAACCAATTGTAATTGTGATCTGAGCCAGAGAGATGTGCTGACTTGGCCATGCCATAGTTGTATCTGTGATTTCATCCTAAGAAGAGTGTTGCCACGCTCGTAAGATATCAATGTTGGTATAGCTTTATAGACATTTTTTAGAGCAAAAATTGACTTTTACTACTATTCGAATCTATAGAATGGGCCTTGGGCCCAAATATGAAGCCTTAAAATTATATCGTCGTATAAAAAGCCCAGTCAGGTCGTGATTAGGGTTTCCTCTGGTAAGTTAAAAACGTTGGTCGCCCTCTTCTGCATATCTTTGCCTCGCTGAGCAGCTGCAAATCTTCACGACTTCAAGATGGTAAGCCTCTCTCTCTCGAAATATTCCATCTTTTGTTTCAATTGGTCGCTTGCTTAATTGTTTGAATTGAATTAAGAGTTTTGATGTTAGTTAGAAATGGACGAATTGACTGATTTTTGATTTTTGCTGGAAAAAAATGAAATGAAACAGCCGTCGCACAAGTCGTTTATGATCAAGAAAAAGTTGGGAAAGAAGATGAGGCAAAACAGGCCTATTCCTCACTGGATTCGTCTCCGTACCGACAACACCATCAGGTTCGTCAAAATTTGTTTTCTTTTGCTTATTCTCGATCTGTCAAATTGAAGGTGTATGTATTTGTCTTGGTGGGTTGATGATATAGGGCAGCAGATATAGTGAGCTCTGAAACAAGAATTGTTAGTATGTTGTAATGATTTCGTTGTTTTTTTTTTTTTCATCAGGTACAATGCCAAGCGCAGGCACTGGCGTAGAACCAAGCTCGGATTCTAAGTGATAAGCCTTCTAAAAGAGTCTTCTTTATCTGTTGGGTTTAGCATTTCCTTAAGGTTTCTGGTTTTAAGTTATGACATTTTTTCTTTTCTGTAAGACTTATCTCTTATGATTGATGTTACCTAATTTTCTTTATAAGAGAGGTTATTTCATAGCATTTGATCGACTATTTAAGTATGTCGTGGTTTGCTTCCATTTCGCCTTCTCGCAACTTCGAATCTGGATAGGGTTTAAAGTCATTTTGGTTATCGTCTGTGTCTGAAAAGTGTGTTCCTTGATATTCCATTGTACCTCTTGCTTGGAGTATACGTAGAATGTTATATTGAACATTTGGTTGCTTATTTTGACTTATCAGTTAATGTAACTCAATCGGATTAGAAAGATAGCAACACTAATCACAATCTGATTAGATTTTGTCGTAACTTGTCCGAGTAACTCTCATTGTGAAATTTCGTAAAATACAATGGTAAAAAGAAAAGTTCTTCTATAACTCGATGGGAGTCTCCCAATACAACAAGGCCTGTCAAACACAATAAAATCAAGAGCTTCCTCGGCAAAATGTTTAGCAATCATAGTCTGAGCTAGCTTATTAATTTAGCCATCTTGTTTCAATCAAAGATCACAAAGAAGCTAAAAAGGTGTATAAAACTTGTTCTTATTGGTATCTTACTATATCTCCCATTCAACTTACGTTGTGATAGGAGTCAATGATGGCGTCAGCAAGGTACTCGCATTTCGCCATGGACAATCCAGCCAACGATATTCTTCCGTCTTTAGTCATGTACACATGCCACTTGTTCGTCATGTTATCGCTCTACTCATTACCCAAAATACACACAAAGTTCAACATCTCATGTCTAAACAAAGCCAAATAAATGATAGTAGTATTAATCTTATTTTAGGCATACCTGAGCTTTGTTCAAGCCAGTGAAAGAGAACATGCCAATTTGCTTCAGAATGAATGACCAGTCCTTCCCGCTCTTGTCTTTTGAAACGAGGCTATCATACAACTCTTGTCTCACTGTTTTTATTCTTCCCGCCATCATTTCCATCTCTGCTTTCCATTCACCGAACATAGTTGGATCGCCCACGACATTAGCCACGATTCTCGCGCCATGAACTGGTGGGTTTGAGTACATAGGCCGAGCAATCCTTTTTAGTTGACTCTTGACCCTGAAAGAAAGTAATGTTACTGGTTAAGGTTTATTGATGGTAAAACGTAAAAAATGAGATGCCAACATCGCCTGCAATAGTCTCATGATAAGAAATTCCAGTGAGTTTTACCTTGTCGCAGCATCGGCTGATGAGCACACGACATTGATTGCCCCAATTCTTTCTGCATAAAGACCTAAATTTTTACTGTATGACTGAGCAACAAAAAACTCCATTCCACGTTCAGCAAATAATCTCACAGATGCTGCATCTTCATCAAGGCTTCCACTAGCAAAGCCCTAGAAAGTAGGTGCATGTAGCATCAAATAAGTTGACACTGATGCGCTTAGCTGTCTCTAAATCACGATACTTGGAACTGTAAGAGTGGAATACCTGGTATGCAACATCAAAGAATGGGATATGGTTCTTTTCCTGAATGACATCCGCAATTTTCACCCACTGTTCTGGGGTTGGGTCAATTCCTGTTGGGTTGTGAGCACATCCATGAAGCAAGATGAAAGATCCTTCTGGAGCATCCTGGACAATTTACATGACAGACAGTCAAGAACAAACCATCATGATCCATCAGAGTTTCTCGTTATTACCACACATGGACTTTAGAATTGTAAAGAAGTACACATTGGAATAGTCAATACACAAATGAAAATATGTAATATAGTTTGTTGACACATATATAAGGCAATGTTAAATAGAAAATCGTTGCTCAGTGACAAACAAACCTTAATATCTGCTATCATTCCCTCAAAATCCAAACCAATTGTTTTTGGATCATAGTAGCGGTATTCAGACCATGGAACTTTGGCATCATTGAAGATATTCTTGTGATTACCTGAAGCAGTTGTTTTGTCAGTTCGGTTAAATATGAAAGCAAAATACCAAAAATATTTGTTGTCAAGGCAACTTACCCCAGGTTGGTGATGAAATCACAACTTTTGCTCCAGGAAAATAACGCTCTATAAGAGCCGCTGCTACTCGCAGGGAACCTGTTCCCGAAAGACCCTGAATTGTTGCCACCTGTTGATTTACAGCAAAGGAAAATGAATTAGCTCAGAAACAGGAACATCATGAGAAGACATTTCAATAACATGATGATCCAAACATACTCTTTGTTCCTTAATAACAGGATGACCAGCTCCAAACAGCAACTCAGCAGTAGCCTTGTTGAATGCTGCCAACCCCTCAATTGGAAGATACTGCAGTTTCCATCCAAGTGAGGTAAGATTTAGTGAAATTCTGATGGTGTAATTGTTTGCACACAATCTATCAAGTAAACTAAGTTACCTCTTTATTATCTCCTCTCTCCAACATCAAATTCTCCGCCTGTGAATGAAGAGATTAAAAATCACTTAAATTTGTCAAAAAAAATCAGTAATTTGAAAAAAACTAAGAAAGAACAAACATGGAAGAAGGCAAGAAGCTATACGGGACACAGAAACTATCTACAAATGAGAAAACGAATATGAGCAAACTAAAGTGGACAAGTTCTAACCTTTTTAACAACATTAAGCACATAAGGCTGGAGTTCCTCAGTTCGGTAAGCCCCAACACCAAGATTGAGTTTCATCTCGTTGGTGTCAGCTTTGAATGCTTCGCTGACTCCAAGAATAGGGTCAGGAGGAGCCATAGTTATACCCTCAAAACGAGAAGGCGTGACTGCAACCGCCATAGTCACCCTGCTAAAAGACTGAAACCAAAAATCCAGTTTCTCAGATACAAACTACACTCACTAGAGTAAGAACAATATCAAATAGATTATTTAGCTCCACAGGAGTTTCTAGCTCTTAAACGTAACTAAGATTGTTCTTATGCTTCGGGTTCGAGGAACAACAAACTAAAGACTAAAGACAGTACCTTTGCTTTCAGGAACGGGTTCGAACCGGAAGTCCCAAGCTTTAGCTTATCCTGTTCAAGTTCAATCGAAAAAAAGAAAACATGATCGTGAATAAAACCGATGCAGAATCATCGCTCAGCCAATTTCTACAATTTACTAGAATAGAGCAAGAAGAGAGGGAACAGGGAAAAGTACCTTGCTAATCTCGCGCGGTAATAGAGAAGTCGAACCGAGAGACAACATTGAAGAAGCCATGGATAAGCTGCACAGATCTCAAAATCAGTGAACTAGTACGAGGATAAGCAATTTCAATATAATACAGTGATAGCGACAACAAAAGATGATCAAATGATGTTCAGATTAACGAGATTATGAAGAGTTTTATATCGGAGCTGATTTTGTCACCTGGACTTGGTTAGAATCCCGTGGTTTTGAAACGATCAGATCGAAAGATTGAAGAAAGAGATTGAGGATCACCGAGAGAGGGACACGACGATATGTACGAAGTTGTTCTAGGCTTGTCTTGATAGGGGTAAAATGGTCTAATTTTAACAATCTTTTGGTATACTGGATGCTGTAGTGATTAGTCAGACAGTCATTAGTGGTTGATGCAACAACTAAACAGATACGATTTGCTAAATAATAATATCACGTGGTGTAAAAATGATAACACAGTTTATTTATATAGTAATTAAATTTACAAATACAAATAATTAGAAGTTTCTGTCCTCCCATTTCTACCCCAAGATTAATCGGTTTTCTAAAATAAAATAAAAAATCAATTTCTTTAAGAGGATGATGGTGTTAACCGGAGAGTGCCCCCTAGCTCTACCGGAACCAGTGGAACAAGTGAGTGAAGAACATCGGTTATCAACGGTCGATAACTCGGTTCTGGCTGTACGCAAAGCACTGCCACGGCTGCCACCTAAATAAATCATTTTCGGTTCAACAAAAGGAATATGCAATCAACCGGATATTAAACCTAAACCATAAAAAAGATGGACTCGAACCTGGTATAAGTGCTTATGATCCATTGTGTCTTTGAGAACCGGATCCACAATTTTTGGAAGCTTTGATCTATCCGTAAGTTGAGGCATTGCCTGCAAAGGTTTTGAATCGGTACAAACATTAAACCAATACAACATTGCAATCTATAAACGTTACTAATTGGTAATAACTTCCACTCAAACCGGGACTTACCCAAGTGACTAGAGATTGGCACTGAACCGAACTCAATTTCTCAACCGGCCGTCTTCCTAGCAAGAGTTCAAGTAGAACCACCCCAAACGCGTAGACATCACTTTTATCCGTTAATTTACCTGATTCAAACATACAAAATATATAAACACGTTTCAATGAAAGAAGCTCAATAAACTAGAGATTAATTAGATAGACCCGGTTTAACGACTTCACAACCACTAATCTCTAATCAAATAATGATTCTTATGAGATTGGTTGAAAGAATACATCAAAGCTCAACCTGATTTGATATAGAACAACAATTTCAATTTCATACGTAATGGAAGGAAAGTTAATGTCATGGGGTCACATTGTAACCACATGATTATAACGATCAAACTATTGCTATCACTCGATTGACATGACAACGGTTCAAAGTCGACCAAAGTGGAAGGAAATGTAGATATTTTACCGTCTAGGAGATATTCTGGAGCAACATAACCAAGTGTCCCTGATAGTTTAATGTTGTTCTTGCCGTGCGCCCCAACCATTACCGCCAGACCAAAATCCGAAATCTGAGTGTTGTATGTCGTTAGACATAGATACATAAACGAAACCATGTTTTGGATTGTTTGTTGAAGCAAAGACGAATGTATCAGATTCTCTTGAATCAACTAAACCAAAAGACCAAGACTTAACACTACAGATCTTGGTTAGCTCTAGTTCGGTTTTGTCCAAAGTTCTTGGTGCAGTCTAGAATACATATTCAGAACAAAATCATTATCAATTATTTAAGTTATATTTTTTTTACCTTGGCGTTGAAGGAAGAATCAAGGAGAATGTTTGAAGATTTAAGATCTCTGTGGATAACCGGAGGACGACAACGCTCGTGAAGATACTCAACAGCTCTGTTTCCGAAACAAACAAAAGGAAACGGTACGGTTTAGCTAAACCGCAACCAATCAACCGGTTGAGAGGATTGTTAAATGTGGACACTTGATTGTACCTGGCTGTATCAAGAGCAATCTTCATCCGCATGTGCCATGTTAAAGCCGATCCCCGAGAAGGTCCTTAACCATTAATGATGCAAAACATTAAATTTTTATCGAACAAAAATTATTTATTTCATGTGGTCACATGATTTGTTTTATCTCCGTTATCTATACAATATTTATTTAACTCATGAATCATGATCTATGACAAGATGATGAGAAGGTAGTAGAAAAAGATGTTTTTTGAGGTTTGTACCGTGTAACTGAGCATCCAAGGATCCATTTTGCATCAGCTCGTAGACGATGAAACTCGAGCTGATTTCACTTCCATATCCCAACAATGAGATGATGTTCGGGTGGTGAATCTTGCTCAACAAATCAACTTCGTTCTGAGATCCATTAGATGAGAGAAATCAGATTCTTGAACCGAATCAAGAATCTGGGAAAAAAATATAAACAAGATTAGTAGTTGGTTTTTTCTTTGGTACCTGAAACTCTCGTTTTGCTTCTTGACTAACGTTTTCAATCTTTTTGACTGCTGCTAGAGTGTTATTGCCTAAACTGGCCTTGTAAACATATCCAAATCCGCCTCGTCCTACAAGATTACCGTCTTTGAAACCGCCTGTCGCTTTTTCTAGTGTCTTGTAATCGAAGGACTGCACAAAACCCTTCTTGGCTAGTGAAATCCCACTCTCACCTTCTTTCCCATTATATTCATCAAAACAGAGAAAACACAGAGAACCAATGAAGATAAACCATCAGGATCAATGATATATCCATCCATATACAAATGTAAAATTTTCAGTCTTCTCATTCTTGATTTAGGAATGATTGGAAACCAATTTTTACCTGAGTTCTTGGTGGTTTTGAGGGACTTCTTGGACCGATAAATCCAGAAGCATAAACAACATAGGAGTATGAACCCTAGAGAAGATGAGGTGATTATGAGAGAGATAAAAAGTTTCTTGTGAGCATCTAGTTTGTGTTCTTGGCCTCTGCCCATTTGGATCCCTGAAATCAGAAAGCAAGCAAGAAAAGATCGTGATATGTCCCTTCAGCTCATCTTCTCATTGGTTGGGAGATATCTAATTTCTGAATGAAACCCGGTTCTTGATTATCCGAAAGGGATCTAGATAAGAAGTGTTATCGAACTACTAAATCCAATTGAATAACTGAAAAGAGGATACGTAGAAGAGAGGTAATCCACTCACTAAGAAGCTCAAAAATAGCATTTACGTATATAATTAAAAAAAAAAAGAAGAAGATTATCATTGGTTTACGAAACACACGATGCAAATCCAATTTTAAATAGTGGTAACCTGGAGAGAAGGAAGCCATGGAAGTGTAAAGTGGAGAAGGAGAAGGCTGTGAATAATTAGGTATAGTAGAAGAAGCAGAAACACTAATGAGGAACTCAAGAACAGAGATCTTAAGAAGATGAAGATGAAGTGTCTTTCTCATTTCCCTGACAATACTTTCCTATCTGATTCACTTCTCTCTGAAACTTTCACTGGTGGAAGAGAGATTTAGCTAAGAATGTGAAAATGCTCTTGCAAGAAGATTAAATGCTCATAATTATTTTTTGGTTTCCTTTTTTCTTGTCTGCATAAAGGAGGGAAGCAGAAAGTGGTTTAAAAAAAAAGTCGAAATCATTCTCTCTTAACATCTTTATCATCAAATCAACATGTGAGAGGGTTGTTCCAAACTTTGAATGTGACAGTGAACAAATAGTATTAATTTCTTGCTAACCAAAAACAGTTTATAATTTATCACTCTTAAGTAAATTAGAACAATTTTTTTATGAAAGATTCTGTAGCTTATTAACTCAACATTTACATTGGGCCACTGAAATCTATAACTATATTTCCTATTTTTGTTAGTAATTAGTTTTAGAGTGGTCAAAATAATACTAAGATACTACTCTTTGTAGCTCCAAGAGTTTGTTTACTGACAGCAAAGTTGACCAGTTATGTCAAACTGACCGACAGTTAAAAGAAGATTTTTTTTTTCTATTGTGTCACCTAAATAATATCATCATTAAAAGTAACAGTACCAAATTAGACTAAACACAACGACGGTTGTGACTGAAAGACTCTCGCAAATGTAGAATGAGTAGTACGTATGATTAAAGTTGAATGAAATTGCTCTTTTTTTTTTAATATATATTTTGTTTAATATTTTTTAGATGAAATTAAGAACTAATCGACATTTTCGTAAATCTTAAATGTAAACATAATTTTATTTATTAACTCTTGGGTAGACACACATGATATAGGAGTCAGTGATTCGTCATAATTAAATTCCAGGTGCACTTGCATCTTGGGTAGATCTTTTCTATTTTGTCAACTAATTATACTCTTTATACTTATTAAAATACATATTGATGGTTCCTAGTAAGATACAACGACGACTATTTCACATGGGAGAAATCCTAGCGGCAACGATATTAATTAGACTAATATGGCATATAACATGATGCAACATATAGGAGTGTAAATGTCTGAATGTTCCATTTGAGAATTGTTCGACTGTGACACCATTTTGTTTGGCTAATCAAGTTGGCTTAGAAGAAAGCTAGACCATTGTTTTTTAATTATCAAAAATAATATATATATAGTTACAAATCACTTTGGTGATGTATATATATGGTATAAGTTACAAAGCACGTTTATGTTGTTCTCAATACTTATCTTGCTAATGTCTTTAAAGTTTAAACTCGAATCAGTTACATGTGGTATCTAGCATTTTTTCACTTTGAAGTGTTACACCTGGATCTTAATGTCTGAGTAAACGTGTTAATATAGACTAATGGTTCGGTTAAATATAACTAATTTATATACCAACAATATATAACTACATAAAAGTTGTTTTCTCTAAATAAGCCAAGCAAAATTCATACGACTGCATGTGTATTTATACGTAACTGTCAGTATGGATTCGTACGTGGATGCAAATTGAATGACTATGAAAAGTAGGTGAGAATGTAATATCGATTCGATTAGATTAGCCAAAGATTAGCCTACCAACCATCCCAATCCTATTTCCTAATTATCGTTACCTTTTATCTCCATCATGCTTTTATTTTTTTGCAAACAAAACATGTTCTTATATCAACAAAGCATATCCAGTTTAAGCAATATATATATAGTAGGTAACTTCGTACGTTATCATAAAGATAATTATTATTTCTTTCTCTATGAACTAATTATTGGTTCTCACATGCATTACTCATAATATAGCAAAAAGAGAGGGATACACAAAGTCTTTTCTCTCTATAAATTTTTAATATTGATGAATTAGTTACTATAGTTTATTAACAATATTTTTACCAAATTCTTCTTATTACTTATATTAATAATATGAGAACCAATAATTATTCATGAACATGTACGTATTGTGATTGCTACAATGAATGTATGTAGAGAATTGAGAATTGAGATAGAGAGTAGAATGGGATGAATCTGAGTGTTATAAAAGAGAAAGGACCAATCTATGCTTAGTTTCAATTGAACTCAACCCATGAACTGATTGAATGACTCTACGTATGGGATAAGACTTTTAACGGTCCAAAGTCTTTAATTCCCAACTATTTTTTTCGTTTGCAACAAACATTATTGTACTGTAGTATATGCTAAGTGATCTTTTCCAAGAAGATGATTATGCTTCAAACTGGTTCATCAACCAATCTCTCCGTTCATAAACCCTGATTCTTTGGGCGACATGTTAGAGCCTTGATTTTGAACTCCAAAGTTTAAACAACCAATGTTTTATGGGTGGCAAAATCGAAGAGCAACAGCTAAAAAGGAGGAGCATACATTGTGCCGAGAGGGGCCTGAAGCCGTGGAACCACATCCTCTCATGTATCCATCACCGAGACTGGTCTATGCAAATATGCACTATAGATAAACTAAGGTTGGGATATATGATATGACGGCTACGTTTTAACTTTTAAAGGCATTATGAATATGTTAAGGGGATTACTAAAAGAAAGATGAGATAATTAAGAGATTAGAGAAGTGGAGAGTGGGACCTAACAGCTGATGAGGTGTTGTGTAAGGTCGTCGTGGGTTCCTCTATCACTCTCTCTATCTCAACCCTAGTAGAAAAACCAATCCACTTTATTGTATGAAAATAAAAATAACAATTTGTTGGATGAGAGTGAGAGACATATATGACAAGTGAAAGAGGTATATAAATCTAGAAGCAAAACCTTGGGTGAGGTCGAAACAGAGATGACCTTTTGCGTACACTTTAATTAATATTTTATCTCACACTTTGAGTAAACTTTACATTATTCTCATCCCATAAAATAAAGCAAACTGGTTTGTCTTTGTTTAGGTCAGGCTGACATCATCAGTTTCGTATATATAAGAAACACAAAAAATTCATCATCATATTTTTTGTGTTACATATATATAAAAAAATTCTCAATCTAACGGTTCAGATTTGTTGTCACTAGTACATCTTCGTAACAAAGCCCTCTTTGTTGTTGTTGTTGTTGTTGTTAATGGAGGTTCCTCTCCCAAGTCATTGTGGCTTCTTCTTCTTCCTCTTTATTTAGAGCCCAATTCATCAACTTCTTCGTTTTTTCTATACGACTCCTTATTGCAATCTGAGGATTGCTGGATTTGAAATTGGCTCAAATCTCTTCTTCACTTGGTCGACATCATAAAAGACGACTTTTGACTTGGTTTTAACTTCACTTCTCCGTTCAAAACTCTCTACCTTGTCCTATTTCGATCGAATCAATCGGCTTGTCTAAACGCACGCACACAACAAGGTAAGACTTAACTCTCTCTCTCCGGTGATTATGCTCTGAGAAATTTACTTGCTCGAGAGATTAGTGTTCAGCTACTTTGGTGATTTTATTTGTTTTCTAGAATGCATGGTTCTGTTCATTATACTGTAGATTTCGGAATTAGGATTCTAAAAATCGAACCTTTACATCATTTTATATCAGTTTTTGAGTTTTGCTTGGCCATTCTCAACGAACTCGGTCTCTACTTCTTCTTCATTTCGAATCGAATTGGGTAAATGGGTCATCGAAAGTTTGAAGATTTCAAGAAGAATGACACTACTTCTATTATATCCATCATGTTATTGCTTCTTAAAAATGTTTACTATTAGTTCTGTTCTCTTCTTTGTTTATAAATCCTTGGTTCGTTGTGAATTTTTAAATACCTAATGTGTGAAACTTCTTTCTAATTGCAGCTACCTATATTTTCCTCCAGCAACGGACCTGTATACATTTCTGTCCTCTTTGTTAAGGTATTTCATTTAGTTTTCTTGTCACTTAATGTAGCTGCTTATTACAAGTTTTCTTCAAGTCTATATTCTTCTGTTCAGTAGCATTAATAGTTGTGCGTATCCTCAGATTCTGGATCTTGATGACTTTCAAGTTTGTGGATTATTTAGCGGTTTAATACGGATTACATCTTCCTTGAAATTGCACCTAAGTAGTGGAATTGTTGTTAGCCTACTAAAGCTCAGATAGGTGGTGGGTTATTCCCTTTCAATTTGAATAGCTTGAGAAGGCTCTGTAAGGTTTGTCTACGGAATCAGTTCATCCTTTTCTTTACAGTCAAGACATGCTTCTCATTATCACTATTATACACTTCTTGGACTTTCATAGATTTCATCAATCAGTTTTTTGATAGTGGGATATACTTCTTCGACTTTCGTAAATTCATCAATCAATTTTTCGATGGTGGGACTTTTATTGTATGAAGGTTTTATCACAGTGACGTAATTGTTTAAGAAGCTGACTTTATCCCTAATCATAAGTTTCCTCCTCATCAGCATCTCCATCTCAACTGCACCACTGAGAAGTTTCGCTCGGATATGTCAAAGACTCGAATTTGCTTTGTTGAAAACTGAGGAGATGGAAGTGAGTCGTTGTTTCTCTTTTTCGGACAAGTTTCTTCGAAAGGTGCTTTAATTTTCTTTATCTCTAGTGAATTTAATTTCGCTTTTTCCATTCGGATTCACTTTTATCTTTAGATGTTAATATCAGATATCGTTAACCATTTATGCGGTTGTAATTTCATTTACGGATTTCTGATTACCTTATAAACGTTGATATCTTCATCGTATCTCGTAATCATATATGTTTTTATCTGTATACAGTGTGTCTCAGAAGGAGCGTATTGAGATTCAAATATATCTGCCTCATCTGGTAAGTGTTTAAATTTTTTCTGATACCAAATATAACTCTTATTCATAGCATGTTTTTTAAATCTTGTGCCTTTATTGAAGAGGAAGTTTGCTGTGGCTTGAAGTATCATCGTGCGGAGATAAGGCTCATCCTTTTGATTCGATTGAAAATTGAATTGTGCCACTCACTTGGTCAATTATGGAGTCAACAAAGGTTTGCATGAACGCACTGTGCGGAGCGTCCTCGGCGTCAGGCGAGTGGAAGAAAGGCTGGCCTATGCGATCTGGCGATTTGGCCTCTCTCTGCGATAAGTGTGGGTATGGGGCCTTCTAGTTTGAATACTATTGGACCAATTTTGATATTCACAACGCTTGAGTGAGTTATTAGTGCTATGGGTTTGTTGACAGTGAGAACATAAGTGGATGCTTGAAGGGGAATCTAAATTTCATTGATTACTTTTAGTAAATTTTGTGAATGCTGGTTTTTGATAGGTCCGCATACGAGCAATCCATTTTCTGTCAAGTGTTTCACGCCGAGGAATCTGGTTGGAGAGAGTGTAATTCATGTGACAAGGTGAAAAAAATCCATGGCTTACTTGTGCTTTGCGCTCAACGTATCACAATTGTTTTTCTTAACACATATTTGTATTTTCTCAGCGCCTTCACTGTGGATGCATTGCTTCCAGATTTATGATGGAGCTTCTAGATAATGGCAGCGTTACCTGTATAAGTTGCGCCAAGAAATCCGCACTATTTTCTGTAAGACTATTTTCCCTACTTGAATCAACTTCTTGCAATAAATGCTTCCTTGGTCTAAGATTCTCTGTCACTAGACTCATGTTATCTCTCCTACAGATGAATGTCAGTCAAGAATCCAATGGTAGGGACTCCTCATTTGCTTCAGCAGAGCATGTAGGCAGTGTTCTTGAGAGGACAAATCTTAAGCACTTGCTCGACTTTCAAAGGATCGGCCCCACTCAATCTTCTATTCAAATGAAACAAGAAGAATCGCTGCTTCCTTCCAGACTAGATGCTCTTAGACACAAAACTGAAAGGAAAGAATTGCAGGAATTATCTGCACAGCCAAACTTGAGCATTTCACTTGGACCTACGCTTATGACAAGTCCATTTCATGATGCTGTTATTGATGACAGAAGTAAGACTACGTCAATTTTCCAACTAGCCCCTCGGTCCAGGCAACTGCTTCCAAAACCTGCAAATTCAGCTCCCACTGCTGCTGGCATGGAGCCTAATGGGAGCCTGGTGTCACAGATTCATGTCGCTCGGCCTCCTCCAGAAGGTCGCGGGAAGACCCAATTGCTTCCTCGTTATTGGCCTAGGATTACTGACCAAGAGCTGCAGATATTATCTGGACAGTATCCTCATCTGTATGTTCATATTATCGTGTTTCTGTTTTTTATTCGACCATGATGCAGTATTGTTATGTTCTAAGGAGCCCTTAACTGTTTATTTTCCAAGCTCAAATTCCAAAATTATTCCACTCTTTGAAAAAGTTCTGAGTGCTAGCGATGCGGGTCGTATTGGTCGACTGGTTCTTCCGAAAGCATGTGCAGAGGTAACTTGCTTTGCTGTATTTATGTTATCGCCAAACTATAGCTATCTAATGCGGGTTAGGAGGTATAACCTTCTATGCTTGTATGTAGGCATATTTCCCCCCGATTTCTCTACCCGAGGGTCTCCCGTTAAAAATACAAGACATAAAAGGGAAAGAGTGGGTGTTCCAGTTCAGATTTTGGCCTAATAATAACAGCAGGATGTACGTTTTGGAGGGTGTGACTCCTTGCATACAGTCCATGCAGTTGCAAGCTGGTGACACTGGTACTTTTCAAACCCTTTCGTTTCGTTAGCTACACTCATAGCATGTTGATGACCCTGGTATGATTAAATCAAACATTGGGAATATAGTGTTTAGATCATGTGTCGTGTTCAATGAGGACAGTGAAATACATTCTACAAAGAGATGAACCTACTTTTTTTATTAGGTCTGATGTCTTGGATTTTCCCATGTTCTCTACAGTAACGTTCAGCCGTACAGAACCTGAAGGAAAACTTGTAATGGGATACCGTAAAGCGACAAACTCTACAGCAACACAGGTAAATGCATAAGAAGCCTGAGTTGTCCCCGTAGGCATAAGAATCTGTCACTGTAAAGTGAAGTATTGAATTTTAAGAATCCTTTCTGGTGCTCTCATAATTTTGCTTACACTGCAATATTATTCTTTGGGTCTTCAGATGTTCAAGGGAAGCAGTGAACCCAATCTAAACATTTTTTCCAACAACTTGAATCCGGGATGTGGTGACATCAGCTGGTCTAAACTAGAGAAGGCTGAGGACATGGGAAAGGATAATTTATTTCTTCAGTCGTCACTAACTTCGTCTAGGAAACGGGTTCGGAACATTGGGAGTAAGAGCAAGCGTCTGCTCATTGATAGCGTTGATGTTCTGGAATTGAAAGTAACTTGGGATGAGGCACAGGAACTGATGCGGCCGCCCCAATCCGCCAAACCCAGCATTATTACGCTGGAAAATCAAGATTTTGAAGAATATGACGTGAGTTGATAATTACTTGTTTATTTATCAAAAAAAAAAAAACAGCTGGATCTTGTCACTATGCTTTCCTGAAATTGTGTGCTTGCTGCTACGCAGGAACCACCGGTTTTCGGGAAGAAAACTGTTTTTGTGGCACGTCAAACAGGGTGAGGCCTTATGTACTACTATGCAATGATAGGATCAGAAGAATTACGCAACACTTGGAATGATAAATTAAAAAAAAATAAAAATTGAACTACTGAACATCTGATTATTTGGTTCTGGAATTGTCAGGGAACAAGAGCAATGGGTGCAGTGTGATGCTTGTGGGAAATGGCGACGGCTGCCTGTGGATACTCTTCTTCCACCAAAATGGTTGTGCTCCGATAATCACTTGGATCCTGCCAGGTAAAAGAGGTTGCATATTCATGTACTTAACCTAGACTATTTACCACAGAACATTGCACATCTCTTTTAGATATAACTGACACAATCTATTTCGACTCAATGGGACTGGCCACCTGAATAACTTGAGTTGCTGTTTGTGTCAGGTCTTCATGTTCTGCACCTGATGATCTCTCTCCAAGAGAACAGGATACACTAGTCCGGCAAAGCAAAGGTATGATCTGCAACTATTATTGGTCTGTTTAATTAGAAACTTCTTTACATAGAAACTAAAGTTTCATTTTCACAGAGTTCAAAAGGAGGAGACTGGCAGCATCAAACGAAAAGCTAAACCAGTCGCAGGAGGCATCTGCTGTGGAAACTTTAGCAAATGCAGGTATCACCACGACTGGTGAACAAGGGGAAATCGCAGTTGCAGCGACGACCAAGCACCCAAGACACCGGGCAGGGTGTTCGTGCATCGTCTGTAGCCAACCGCCGAGCGGAAAAGGCAAACACAAGCCGACATGCACTTGCACAGTATGCGAGGCAGTGAAGAGGCGGTTTAGGACGCTCATGATGCGGAAGAAAAACAGGGGAGAGGCAGGACAGGCAAGCCAGCAGGCACAGTCGGAGAGCAGAGACGAGACAGAAGTGGAGAGTATTCCAGCGGCTGAGGCAGCGTCAGGGGATAATATTGACTTAAACTCAGACCCGGGGGGTTCCCGAGTAAGCATGATGGGCCTTCTTCAAGCTGCAGCTTTTCCTCTAGAGGCATATCTGAAACAAAAGGCTATTTCCAATACAGGAGGAGAACAGCAAAGCAGTGATATGGTAAGCACAGAGCACGGATCGTCCTCAGCGGCACAAGAGCAGGAGAAAGACACAAACGGAGTTCATGAGCCTGTAAGCTAAACTCCATGAGTATTTTATTCTTCGTAGCCTAGGTGTGTTTATTATTTATACAAACTTGTTCGGTTTCGTCCCAAATTGGTAGAGTGGTTACGACCATTCTGCTAATTGTCAGACCGAAGAAGTGAGGAGTTTATTGTTTACTTTATGTTTTTCTTTTTCTTTTTGGGTGTGTTTTGGTTGGTGTGGTGAGGCTTGAGAGTGACAAAAAGAAAAAGGATGGGAATCTTGATGGCATTTTGGAAATTCCATAGGACAGCTAACATGATAATCATATCCTCTGGTATCGACGATTGGTAGTAATATACTATATACTGTATGTATAAGATAATAAGAAGGTGAAAGAAAGATTACAAACAATGCTATCGGAATGGATAAAGCTTCCAAGTATAGAGAGAAGGGAGCTTAAATCTGAATCTTGTGACTTTATAGCAAGCCTGATAAAGGTTTGTATATGCAATTCATGGTTTACATGAAATTAGGAAAAGGTCACGCGAGAGATCCTATAATTTTGCTTCGGTTATGTGGCTTGCGATGAAGGGGAGAGATGTAAGATGGAAACAAAATTTTAGGCATTGTTAAAGTGTTGCAGTAGTAATAAGCGTAATCACTTATCACTCGTGACACAACAAACAAACTCCTATAGAATGGAAGGAAGCAGCGATACGATATGGGCAGAGCCAGCTGTTGTCAAATACCGTATATACGAGGTCAACTAGCTTCTTGTTGTTTGGGTCTGAAATTACGAATGATATATGCATATGTCGGTCCGGTCTAAACGTAACCGAATAGAGACCCAATGACCAATCTTTTCTAAAATTACGAATAGACCCGAAATAATTAAAAAAAGAGGAGCAATCATATTCATAGTAAAATATAAAATTTATGATAATGGCCGGCCAAAGTTGATAATTTGAGTTGAGTCGGCTCGATTGACTGAATCCAATAACATGAAATAAAACACAAAACTCCACGCCATTCCTATCGCCAAATTACACGTGTCATTTAACGATTGAATATATTCATCAGACAACCGAACACGTGGACTCTGTCCTTTAATTAATGATTTATATTTATTACTCCTTTTAATATATATATTGCCCACCACACCACACCACCTCTTGGCTCTTGCTATAAAGAAAAAAACCATAAATAACTAGGCGTTATTTTTGTCTCATTTTACATTTTACTAATGGGTATAGTATGGTCTTCAACTTGCTTGTCTCGTTTTTTCATTTGTATTTGCTTGGTTTGATTTGAATGAAAACAAACCAAATTACAAGAAACTAACACAAAAATAGCCTACTCCTAAGATTTACATAATAAGATATAGAAATAGTAATGTAATTATTAGTGGCAAAGGAAGAATAAAAATGAAAGAAGACCAAAATTAAAGTAATAAAGAAACTAAATAATATATATTTTTTTGTCATCAGAAACTAAATAATATTAGGGAGAAAAAAATATCAGTGGTCAAATAAGGAAGAAGGAGTGCGTGGCAATTGTAGTAAATAGTAAGGAAGATGAAGGGTTGTGTCATAAAGGGGGATATGTTAATAATAATAGTGGAGGGGACAAATAAAATAAATAAAGATGAGATAGAGAGAAGTGGGGGTTGAGTGGGACCCAGAAACGCGTAGCTGAGGTTTCTTCTCTCTCTCTAATAATCTCTCTATCGTTTCGTTCGTCGTGGGTTCCTCTCTTGACGAAGAAGAAGAACCCTATAGAAACCACTTCTTTGTCTCTCACTCACGCGCCCTCTTTCAATTATATTAAATATTAAAAATTATTATATTAAATTGTATTGAATTAAATTATAGAAATGGTCGACCACTTCTTTCAAGAGTTGTTGTTGTCATTTTACCTATTACCCCAACACAAATATTCTACTCCACCTATTTAGACTTCTTAAGAATATCTCTTTTTTTTTTTCTTTTTTATTGGAATTGGAAGCCCACTTATTAGCTGATATGCTTGTTATTACTATTATTCTTAGCTGCTTTCACATTTCTCTGCAGGTCGTATCACTATATGTTTTATCACCCCCACAAATTATATGGTTTTTAGTACGAATCATCTTTGTCTTTCTTTTTATCATTTTTATTTTCCTTTTATGTCATACAATTAATTAGTTATGGCTGGATGTATCATGTATCATGTATTGTGTGTGAGAATCATAACGTAAAGTTTACTCAAAGGCTGAGAGGAGAGAGGATACATGCGTAATGGAGGATTATATTAGTGTTTAGCGTGTGATTATGAAAGCGACTAATCCGTAATGGAGGATCTTTTTTTGTTTTCTTTTAGATACTGTTGGGCAAAGCAGCTTTTTTTCTTTCTTTTTATAAATAAATAAAATCAATTACCTATTATTAGTGACAACTTGGCTCAATTATTTACTGTTAATCATTTTGTTTGTCAACAACTATAATAAAACCACTTACAATTGTACAAATTACTTTTTCTTATTAAACTAAATAACAAAATCTAATTTGATATCAAACTAAAATCCTCATTGTTAGAATTTTTTGGGATATTTTAGATAATAACAAATAAAAACTGTAAAATTTTCTATTATTGAATGAGATAATAATATACATTATGTCATGAAATATAATAAAAATTTATATATGCCATATATTTTTCTATTCATAGCCATATAGTATTTGATCCCATTGATTAACATATCAAGTAAAGTAAAGTTAAAGACAAATTAAAAAGAAAGAAATATATAAAAGATTTAAAAGAAACAAATAAGCGCGTGTAAGTCACTAAAGAAGAAGGCGAGAGTCGGTTAAGAAACCGTCTCTAGTTAGGCCAAGCGAGCGAGCAATCTGTGTGTATAAAACAAAGGTTTCTTCCACCTCCACATTTATTCATTCACCTTTCTTATTTATCTCTCTTCTCTTTCCTTTTCCTCGCCCCCTACTTATAATTTCCATTTTCCCCCAGAGATAGATAATTTAACTAATTTCTTCCTCCCTCTTCTGTCACCAAATCTGCCTTTTCTCCTTTAGCTATGGGCGTCGCCGTTCTAAATCCCCAAGACTGTTTGAGAGATCCCTTCTCCCACATGAGACATCATCCTCGTAACCCTAGCGCATGTCCCAACAGGCAGAAAAAGCCGGTTTCCAACAACCGTACGCGCCGGAGCCCTCCACGTAATCAATCCACCAGATCTCCTTCTCCTCCTATCGCGCCGCCTCTTCCTCCTCCTCGTGCGGCTGTCTCTGCTTTTGTTCCCAAGGGAACGGTTAAGAAGAGTCCTAAAAACACCGTCGCCGTTGGTCAGGTTAGAATCCTCAAGCGCGGTGAAGAAATTCCTAAGAAGACTTCGGATCTCGTTGTTGCAAAGTCAGATCTCGTTGTTGTGAAGCCAGATCTGGTTGTTGAGAAGTCAGATCTGGGTTCTACTCGTCGTATTGGACCAGATCCCGGTTTGATTCCGAGTCAAATCCGTTTGTCTGGCCGCAAATCAAAATCAGCACCGTTTTACGCCGGTCCGGTGACCATGACCTCGCCGCCTCCGAGCGATGTACCGCTTCCAGCTTTTTTCACGAAGAAGAGCGTCTCTTTGTTCCAAGCCGCCGATGCAACCAATGATCTGATCAGGATGCTTCGCTTAGACATCGCCTGACGGCGTTTGTCTCCGGTCATCTAGGTTTTTAAAAAAATCTACGATGATCCCAAATGGTTACCCAAGTGTTACAATTCCATTTCCAGATCGTCAGATTCCGCCTTAAAACCGGAGATCTACAAGAAAAAAATAATCTCCAGACGATGATGAATCTAGAAGATGAAGAAACACACATCTTCGTTATGAACCGTTTCGAATCTTCCCTTATTTTTTCAAGGGGCAAGATCGAAATATTTTCTTAACAGGTCTTAGTTTCTCTTCTTAGGGTTTAGTGTTTGTGTAGGAGTATATGTGCATAGCCTTTTATTACTATTCTCGTTTTCCTTTCTGTATCTCAAGGTGCTTTAATCGTCAGGTTCTCTGCGTAATTATAGGTATCGTGTCTCGAGTCTTTCTTAGGGTACTTGGTGTTATTTAGGTCGCAAGGCGTAAGTATAGAGTTGTGTTTACTGGTAAGATGAAGCTTAGGTTTCGATGTAATCTGTAGCAGTATTGCAATCCTCTGTATTACTTCTATCTTTAATGTTTCCTTAGTTTTAAGTTTAATTTGGGTTTTTCTTCTTCTATCGCGGTCTCTTGTTCTTTTCGTAAGGGTTGTTCTTCGTTTGTTTTCGTGTCGTTTAGGTTAAGGCAAACCACAGAGATAGATGTATTTACTGGTTAGATGAAGCGTAAGGCTTCCATGTGATCGTCTGTAATACAGTTCTCTGTACCTACCTTTAATATTATCGAATATATAAGTTCTATTTTGGCTTTCAGTTATGAAACACTTGATTACATCATGAGATGAAAAGAAGATGATTTTTGACCTGCATAAACGATGATACACTATGGTAAAGCCTAAGTTCATTCACGAAAACAATAAAAGGAGTAACAATTCCAATGATATAATAAACCTATTGACTCTGCATTTCTTCAAATTAACACAGAAGTTTAAAGACTTTGGTCGATATATAGCATACAGACTTTGTCAAATAAAATTCCAATTGAGAGATATGGGAAAAAAAATCTCAATTATCATGTGAGCTTAATTTTAGTAATGGATGTCATGTCATTAATGTCGAGGGTTAATATATTTTTTTTCTTATAAAGGGTGTCGTCATTGTCTCAATTGTCACCCATGCCACTTGACTTGGTTTTGGTAGGTCCAAGGTTGTAAGATATACTGTAGGTGTTCTTATAATTTAGACAGCCCATCTTGGCCTGCTTGAAGGCCCATATCTTTCGCTTGAATTCTGGCTGGACAGCTAGGGTGTTGATTTTTATAGAATTTCTTAGTCCTAATCCTGTAAGCAAAGATTCTCTATAAAAGAAACATAAGGGAAGATATTATACAGAACTCTTTGTTACTCATCCATAATTTAACAACTTGCCTTGTCGTCAATTAAACATTGGTGAAACATGACGTGTTAAACAGTGAATCAATTTATACAGTCAGCAAAAATAAACATTCAGCCACGTCACGTCAGATTTTTGTTTTTTATTGGCTTTATTTTACAAATTAACAAAGCAATATAGTTAATAGTCCACAAACATAATTGATGGGTTTGCCCTGTTGAGCTAAATATGTAGAGTTTTTCTACCTAACCAGATAATTAAGAAAACGGAACCCTAATTTATTTTTCTGACAATTTTGTTATTTAAAAAAAATAAAAAAAATTTGGGTTATTGGGAATCTTTACATAATAATTGTTTTATTTTATTTTTCACATACCCTTTGGGTCCCACAAATTTGTTTTAATAGGATTAAAAACTTTTATTTTCTTCATAAAAATTGAAATAAAAATTAAATCCAAATCTGCAATCCATCTATCTAGCCACAGACCCGATCTTGCATTTTCGCATCGACATTAAAATGGAAAAAAATATTCAATTTTTATTTTTTCGAAAAGAACAAAGGAAGAAAATAAAAAGAGGAATAATTTAGAGAATAGAGAAGGCCTCGCCTTCGTATATAACACGAATCCCATCTGCTCTCTTTTTTTCTTTCTCTCTATTTCAACTTCTTCCCTTCTCTCTCTCTCTCTCTTTCTTCGCCATCCTCTCTCTCTCTCTCTTTCTTCGCCATCCTCTCTCTCTCTCTCTCTTCTGTGACTTTCTCTTCCTTTCATCTCTCTCTCTTCTGTGACTTTCTCTTCCTTTCATCTCTCTCTCTCTTAGAGCTTCTCTTCTACATCTGATTCGACGGGAGCTATTAGAGATTTTGATTAGTGTTGCCAAGCGACGATGAAGAGGATTCCGTCGACATCAGCTAAGATTCTGGTCAAGGATGACTGGGTGGTGACGGCTATGACTGACGACGAGATGGTTGTTGAGCTTCTTTTACGGCTCAAGCATGCTGGTACTGCAGTGGCGGATAATCCGGCCGCCACGAATCTTCCTCCGTTACGATGGGGAATCCGTCAGCGACGTTCTCGGTCCTCAAGATTCGCTGGCGGCGGCGTCGGCGTTATCGTTTCAATGAAGAAGGATGTCGATTCCGTTAGAGCTAGTCCGAAGACTCCTCTCTCCTGGAGCGGCGGATCTGGAAACCGTAGCGGATCTGGTAGCCGTGGCGGATCTGGAAGCCGTGGCGGCTCTGCATCTCCTTCAGCTGATGGGTTCGAGGATACTAGTCGTCAAGCTAGCTGCTCTACGTCTACAGGATCTGGATCTAAGGTACCTTCTCTCTCCCTTTCGTGATTTTCAGCTCGTGCTTCTCGGTTTTGTCTTCTCCCTCTCTGTTTTCCTCCTCTCGATTCCGAATCCGTCATCTTCTCGCTTAATTTTCAAATTCCGATCTGGCCGGGAAATCCGGATTTCGCCGTCAGTCGTGTCTTCGTAATTTAGAAGATTCTTCGCCGTCTCTCTCTTATTTTCTTCATTTTTGTTTTCCAAAATCAACAAATCTCAAATTTAGGATGACGTTCGCATCTATATCGCACGGTTGGAAACGAACCTCACTAGTCTGTTTTCTTCACTTACTAACGAATCTGCCGGAAAATATTTCCTCCGCCGTCTTTTGCAGTTCTAACCACCCGCCGGAGTCATTTTCGTTGATCCTGTTTCTAGGTTAAACGAATCTTTCCATCTCTTTAAAAAAAAAAAGTCAAAGCCTCTTTAAGCGTTTTTTCCTTTTTTCCCCCATTTTTTCTCACTTTTGATAATTAAAAAACTTGGCTAATCGTCTACTGTAATCTTAATAGGTGTTATTACTCGTGTTTTAATAAATCTGGAGGTTGACGGTTAAAAAGTGTAACCGAACTTCCCGGTACGAATTTAACCGGATCTTCCGTGGGGAGCGTTTGGCCGGTTAGAAGGGGATTAATTAGGAACCGGTCAAATTGTTTTTATTTTGTCTATAGAGGAATAATAAACTTTGGATTAGATTATGGGAATAGTACACACACACAGCTAGTTGGTCAAACGTGCGCGTTTTGCTTTACGTTTAGAGGTCGTAAGAAGGACAAACGGTAGCGTTTTGGGAGGAAGGTGGTGAGTTGAAAAACGAGTAAATCTTGTCGGGGGGATTGGGATCACGTGATCTTAAAAGAGTGATGACGATGCCCCATGACACGGTATTGTCATGATGTGGCATCATCCTTCTTCATCCCCTCTCTCTCTCTCTCTCTATAAATATTCTTTGATATTTATGACTACTTTTCTTTGAAATTTCTATTGAGGGAAAAATAAACTTTACTACTCCCATATGTTATAAGTTAAAATTAAAAGAAGTTGGGTTTTTATTTTAAAAAGTACAAGATCTACTACAGTTGTCGTTGTTATTCGTCAGCATTTTTATGTGTATTGTTTAATACTAATAATTTTACAGATTTAGCATCTTAACTAGTAGTGCTAATCAAACTGTGTTTTTGTTTTGTTTTGCAGGTCTTTCCCACTAACGAAATCACTAGTTCCTTCTCTAAGAGATTGAGGAAAAAGAAGGTATAAGAATGTTCTCTTTCTTGGATTCCAAGTTCACCCCCACATTTCTGAATTTTATTGAGCTGATGTTTTTTTTTTTTGACAGTCATCTTCTGAGCTTAAAAACGAAGAGAACTTGAAGCTGAAAGAAAGACTAGACCTTGAAAAGGTAGACTCTACTTGCTACTTTTTGTTTTGTTTTTTTTATCATATCATGGTTTCTCTCATTCGTATTTGCATCTTCTTTTTATTCTAATAATTAAATCCAATATTTTCTACAGGAGATTGCAAGTCTCCGAGCAACGTTTGACGAACAAAACGTCAGGAATCAGAGATTGAAGAGAATTAAGGTAAAAGCAGTTTTAGAAATTTTGATTCTCCCTGAACAATGTTTTTGCGAGCATCTTAGCTGAATCAAGTTCTTCGACTCTTTGTGTTTTCTTTGTTTCAGCTTGACTTGAACTCAGGCCGTGTAAAGAAGGAGACACGGGTTGATCTCAGCCATAAACAACAAGCGGTATCAAAATCGTGCAGAGTAGATGGAAGAAATGGTGAATCAGAAAACAAAGGGAGTGTGTTCTTCAGCTTTGATCTCAACATGGTACCATCAGAGGAGGAGATGATATTGTAAGGAACTAGCTAGAAGAAAGGTGTTGCGATATGATTTTACACAAGTCAAAAGAAGGAGGGAGCTGGAGGTTTTAACAAAGAAAGTGAATTGTAATACTTCAAAAAAAAAAAAGAGAGAGAGAGAGGGTAAACATCTCCCGAGTTCACAATTCTTGTTTTCTCAGTTTCCTTCTATGTTTGGGGGGTAAAACGCTCAATTACTTAACTCTCTTCTTGATTATTATTATTTTTTCTAGAAGAAAGGTGGGAAATTAGCTTCTTTCTCATTTGTACCGATTCGTTGTAGTTAAAAAGCTTTTTCTTTTATTGGAAATTGTCGTTAAAGAGGACAAAAAAAAAAAGTAGGACAACTAATCGACTTTTTTTCCTTGTTATTTAGTATGATGCAGTATATCGTTGATGCGCCATATTAGTTTAGTTTGGTTTCCCTGCTCAACTAACCCAAAGACAAGAGAGAGATGTATTATTATTAATCTCGAGTCATGATGATGGTTTTTCTACTAAATAATTTTAAATTTTAAAAAAACTTGGGAGGTGTAATGCTATTGGTGTACTGTCGGCGTGTTCATGGATTAAAATATCCTTTTTTTTAAATGCCAAAGAAATATAATACTAAGCAATGCCAAGTTGTTATCAGCTAATTTGTTCGTTTCAGTCTTTTTCATGCATACCAAGTCTTTTTGTCCAGAGATATACAAAAATTATATTTCCTTTTGTGTAACAATTTTATATGGCATTTTGCATTTTAAAAAATGTAATACTTTATATTTTATCATATTTAATCTGGAAGGTTAGTATTTTATTAGTATATGGATATATCAAAAATATATATTCCTAAAATATGTAATAAGTTAGCTTTAAAATAAATCTAAAAGAGATAACTCTAAAGTAGTCATTGTATATAAAAAAATTAAACTACTTCACTTAATAGGGGTCATGTCATGGCAGACTCAATTCTTCGATTTATCCAGCCTTTTTTTTTTTTGAAAAAGAATTTATCCAGCCTTTTGTCCATCCTTAAAGACTAAAGTATAGATCATTCCTTGGATTGTGTGATTTAGAGGAGTGTCTTACTCAGTAATGGTGCTGCTACGTACATAATAATGCAAGGCAAGAGAACATGGACGACTGGTTAATAGGTCACAATGATTTTTAGATAGAGAATTATCTTCTCCATAGACACATATTTAACTAAATTTGTTCAAAATAACGTCCATAGAATTTGGAATGCTTACAAAATTACGGGTCAGCTTTTGCATCCCGAAGTTAATAACACCAAAAATGATATCCTCAAAACGTATGCACGACCACAGTGTGGCTCATACATACCTACAAGTACACAACCTTTTACAAGTTTTGTGAAAATTAGATAAAACAAAAATTTAAACTCACTTCCATGAATGCTCTCACTCACCAAACTTGTGATTTTCATGCTTTTGTTATTTTCTTATTTATGTTCCAATTTGGTTACAGCTCTTTATACGTCGTTGACATTAATAAAATGAAGTTGCGCCAAAAAAAAAAAGAAAAAAAAGAAAAAAAAAGAGTATTCAAGATTTTTAATTAAAGAACACAGACAGACACTTTGGTCGTCCTCACAACAAATAAACTAGGGGAAAGAGAAAAATAGTCCTCTCTCTCTCTCTCTTCTCTTCTCCGACTACCCCAAAACGCAGGAGAACAATGTCGTTTAACAGCTCTCATCTTCTTCCTCCACAAGAAGAAGACCTTCCTCTCCGACACTTCTCCGATCAACCTCCTCCCCCACAGCGTCACTTCCCTGAAACGCCTTCCCTTGTCACCACCAGTTTCCTCAACCTCCCTTCCACCCTTGCCACGGCGGATTCCGATCTCGCTCCTCCGCCCCGCAACGGAGACAATTCCGCTCCTGATGCTAACCCACGGTGGCTCTCTTTCCACACGGAGATCCAAAACACCGGAGAAGTCCGTTCTGAAGTTATCGACGGAGTCAACGCCGATGGTGAAACTGTACTTGGCGTTGTTGGAGGTGAAGATTGGCGGAGCGCTAGCTATAAGGCCGCGATTTTGAGACATCCGATGTACGAACAGCTTCTTGCGGCTCATGTGGCTTGCCTTAGGGTTGCGACTCCCGTTGACCAGATTCCGAGGATCGATGCTCAGCTCAGTCAGTTCCACACCGTCGCCGAGAAATACTCCACTCTTGGTGTCGTTGTGGACAACAAGGAACTTGATCATTTCATGGTTAGTTGATGTTTTTTTTTATTTTCGACTCCAGGTTCAAATTTGGATAGGGTTTATCATGCACAATTTTAATGTTTTCAACTGTTAACGATTCTGCATTTGAATTCTGTTTACTAGCTGAGTGTCACGTTCGGATTTTTGTGTATGTGTGTGGTTCATTGTTCATGATTTTTGTGTCTTGAAATCGATTTGATATTTGCTTCTCCTCTTTGGTTAGCTGAATTCGAATTATGAACCTTGGTCTGACTCAAATATATCGTATTTGTTGGATATTGCTTCTTTCTTGGTGGCATATAGTTTCTATGCTTCTTACTAAAAAGGGTTTTGTATGTCTTCTGAGTTTTGTCTTGGAGAAAGAAACATAATATTTATTTTCTTTATTTTTTTTTGTAACGTTCTGTTTGTATGTCTTATGAATTGGAACTTTATCTTTGTTTATGATAATGCAGTCACATTATGTTGTGTTGTTATGTTCATTCAAAGAACAACTCCAACACCACGTTTGTGTCCATGCAATGGAAGCCATTACGGCTTGTTGGGAGATCGAACAATCATTGCAATCCCTAACTGGTAACGTCCCAAATCTTTCTTTCTTTTTTTTTTTGCTGTTGCCTTCTCGCTTTAGAAGTGTCTTGATTTTAGTCGCTTTTGTCTTTCTTCTGGTTTGTAGGAGTTTCTCCAAGTGAAAGTAATGGTAAGACAATGTCGGATGATGAAGATGATAATCAAGTAGACAGCGAGGTCAACATGTTTGATGGGAGTTTGGACGGCTCAGATTGCTTGATGGGGTTTGGTCCTCTTGTTCCAACCGAACGAGAGAGATCCTTGATGGAACGTGTGAAGAAAGAACTGAAGCATGAGCTTAAACAGGTAGTTGCTTGAGCAAGTTTCAATGTTTAACATTACACCAAACAAAACACAATGTTTTTATCTTGTCGCATGGTTTTTTTCCTCTGTAGGGTTTCAAAGAGAAGATTGTGGACATAAGAGAAGAGATAATGAGGAAGAGAAGAGCGGGGAAGCTCCCGGGGGATACAACTTCTGTACTGAAAGAGTGGTGGCGTACTCACTCGAAATGGCCATACCCAACTGTAAGAACCTCAGCCAGGAAGTTTGGTACGACATTGTCTAAAGCGGGTTCTGATTCTTAATTTTGTTTTGGAATTGCAGGAGGAAGACAAGGCAAAACTGGTTCAAGAAACCGGTTTGCAGTTGAAACAAATCAACAATTGGTTCATCAACCAGAGGAAGAGAAACTGGAACAGCAATACTTCCACATCATCTACTCTCTCCAAGAACAAACGTAAAAGGTAAATCAAGATACTCTCATTTTCCCCTTGTGCAATTCCATCAAAACCGGTCAAGACATTCTTTCTTAATCAAACTCAGGACCGGCAAGTCTTAGGTGAAATGCTGGCTAACAAGAGGATGGTTCTTGACCATGTGAATTCAAGGGAACCAGATGTGAAAGAGATAGTTTCTCCTCCGGTTCCACGATCGTACAGATTGTGTTTAGCGTAGGGTGGTACCGGTGTGCCTATAAAACCGGATTCTAGAGTCTGAATTGTTGGTTTTAGCGGCTTATAATGTGTGTCTTTGTTATATGTGTACATAAAGTAGTTTATGGAAGCGATCTGTATTGTTGGTTTGCGTCTTGTACCGAACGCATAAACACGTGTGAAGCTTTATCTGTAAAGTGCCAATATGGTCCGTATGTAATGTATCAAGCAATATTCATCATTATTAAACTACACACTAGCTTGGAATATGCTACTATGATGTTGGCAGCAGATGAATATGATTAAATTGCCAAATCCTTTTGTGTTTCTTCCAAAAAAAATGTTACCAACTTTCATAATTTCCTTAATTAGGTTAATGTTAGATTATTTACACAAAAGTGAAATTAAAAAGCCCATTAATTAATATTGGCCCAAAGTCTGATTGAATAATAAAGATTTCTTCGTCGCGACGAATGAACTTTGTTGTAATTTGTAATTTTCAATTTTCTTTTTCATTCTCCCGAGTGACTTCGTCTTCTTTTGTTTACTCAGTGAGTTTGGGTGATTATGGCAGCACCACAAGAGGAACGATCTCCGTCGCTTGACGATTGCCTTAAGCTATTGAAAGGAGAGAGGGACGAGCAGAGGCTCGCCGGTCTACTTCTCGTCACTAAATTCTGCAAAAGCGATGACGTCGCTTCACTCCAGAAGGTCTATGAAGCCGTCGGTACTCATTTTCTCGACCGTCTTCTCCGGACTGGTAAACCAAACCCTCTGGATACTATACCCATCTTGGGGTTTCTACAGAGATTTAATTTTTAGTTGTTGCTCTCTAGTGTGTTGGGTTTTGACTGGTTTCGATTTTTATTTTTTTTGTTTGGCAGGGAGTGGCAGTGGTGATGGAGTTGATAATCGTGATGTGTATCTGCAGCTATCTGTAACTGTTCTTGCTGCCTTCTGCCGTGTTCCGGAGATAGCTTCTTCAGAAGAGATGGTCTCCAGAATTCCCCTTATTCTCGAAATAATGTCGAAACGGTATGTTAGATCTCCTGATTCTTTCTATCTGTGGTTTTCTATTGAAGTTTTTTTTTCTCAATTTTTGCTTCTGTGTATTACATTTTAAGTTAGGAATTTGGCTTTTGGAATTTCAGACTAACTACAAACATTCTCGAAGATTGCTATGAACTTCTGTATTTGGTGTCCACGGCTCGTGAAGCTGGCGTCATGACTTTGATAAACTCTGGAGGGTTGAGAGTGATAGCACCCCAGATGTCTGATCTACCTGATGGTAATTACTTGTTCATTTGTTTTACATTGTTTTATTGTGTATACAAGCCACATCAGATACTAGAGAATGTCTTTTGGAAAATATTAAGTTTCTCTGATGGGGAATTGATTGTAATTGGTGTTAAAGCAAATATGCCATGTTTGAGATAGATGGATTTTTGAGAATGATTTCTCCGTGAAAGCTAATGTGAGACATGTTATTCAGGTTCGCATGCCATGGAGGTTGCTATAAAGATTCTACAGTTATTGGTTACTAAGCTATCTGGTGAGAGCATGAATGTTGAACGCTTCTTAGAACTGTCTTTGGTGGTGAGTCTACTTACTTGGCTATCTTTCTCTTGTTTTTGCAATATTTACGAAACCTGCCTTAAGTTGGAGTTGAACTTAGTGTTATCTGTTATTCAGGTTGCTGCTGTCGCACGGCAATTTGCGGTGTTGCATAATGCCCTGAAGTTTGAAGCACTCCATCTACTGTCTGCAGTCTTCTCGTCAGAGTATTCTGTGAGTTATCATTTCTTAACGTTCTTCAGAAAAGTAGCTGTAGTTAAAGTGAAATTATGCTTTTAGGTATAGTCACGCACTTGATACATGTGAATTTATTGGCACCCTAAATTTTAATTTTCTCTTTTCCAGCAAAATTAAAAGAGAACTGGAGCTACATTGTCTTGATGTATGCATGATATGTTTCCAGTGTAGAAGTTCTACATTTTTTTTTGGTGTACCAATCTGTTTATATGTTTCTCATGGAACTTTTTTTTATGCCTAGGCTCTTCTTCACGACCCGCTTCGTTCCATGCCCGACAACAATTGGGCAGACTATATGCGGACTGGTGTTGTGGCAATTCTGCAGAACCGTGTGGGTAAGTTGAAAGCTATTAGCTATTTATATGGAGCACTGGAAATGGCACACCCATTTATGGCATTTCTTTCTTGCCAGGCCTTAGTTTAATCTACTTGTTGTCTGACAATAGTCCCCTCTTTTTCTCACTTATGAAACAATAGTATCAGTGTCATGGATTCCATGATCTGTACTTCACAAAAAGCACAGACTTTACGATCATTTGGGGTCATATTTTATTGATACAGTGTTACATCCTTTATGCTATTGAAGCTTTTAAGATACTTAACAAACCTGTCTTGCTCATCTGTAGCACCTTCGGAAAAGCTTCATGCGTTGATTCTGGCTGAGAATATGATGTCAATATTGGGTGATAAGTGGCTTATTGGTCGGGTGAAATTACCCAATGTTGATCTTCCAGCTGATAGGTAAACAAAACATCTTTGTTTTACACTCTCACTTAACTTACATTTTCATAATGCAGAAGGATACACATCATTCTGAATTCTTTTTTAGGTGTCTTCTGCTGGTATTAGAGTCATCACATGTTGAGATTTCCGTTTTGTTAAATGATCTCGCTTACAAGAAGTATGAAGCTCCTAAGAACAATTCAACTGTTGAAGACATTCTCCTGAAGCAACGGTATCTACCGATCATGTTTTCTTTGGTAGAAAAGATCATCAAACATATTTCATCTATTGGTGAAAATGAAGGTATAAGATAAATCTTAAATCATGTTTAATAATGTTTCCAGTCTGCTAATATATTCATCCTATACAATATTTTTTCTTTAATCATCTTTCTGTTATATTATGTTATGATTTTGTGAACCTTCTTAGAACTTTTAGTTGTCATTGCTTGAATATCTAGTAAATGTTCAGATAAATATAGAGTGGAAATATTTACGCTTGGGGTAATGCATGTTAGCCTTTTTCTTCATGAAAGAATGAACTTTACCGTTGCAGGGACTTTAAATGATGAAGCTGTCTTCCAAAAGGTGATTAAAATACTTAACGAGATAATGGGAGTGGTGCTCGAGTATCTGAAAGATGCAAAGGTACTCTATATATTTGATAAACATCAAACTTCTTTGGAGTGTCCGTTTGTGTAGAAAATGTTTTTCATGTTTGTTCTGTTTCATACAGGAACATGGAAATAAGAAAGGAGATGACCTTCTTGCGTCTGTGCGAGTGACTGGAAGGTACGGAATACAGATAATCTCTCTTTGGTCTTCTAAGAATTTACTGTCCGTTTTGTGTCTTCTTAAATCTCTCTTTCTGTTTATTTTTGTGTCAAATATGTACATACCTGATTGGCTAATTTTGTGTTTATGGAATCGTGGTTCACTGCTTCATTAAAATTTGTGTAACTAATACTTCCTATGGAAGAACATGGATTGCCTCCTTACCGCGCTGGGACACACTGAACCTTTTTGTGTGTTTTTAACAGCTACCTTGCCGAAACACCAGTTGCATGCAAAGAGCAGGTCCAAGATCTTCTGGATTATATGCTTTCAGTGGAGGGCGAAGATGAGTCCAGGTTTGAGCATATTTCCCTGAAATTTTGGTCCTTTTACAAAGCTTGTTTACGTAATGCCTCCTAGAATAACTTGGTCTGAACGTTTTTGTTTTGACAGCCCGTTTTTGTCCACGTGCTTCCTGCTCCCATTTCTTTGCCAAACAACAATGAAGACAGAAGGATGTAAACTCTTGGCTTCCTCAAGAGGCTATATAGCTGTGAGTTACTGGGGTTTCTACCTCCCGTACACCAATGACATTATGCTTGAACAAATCTCATATACATCTTTTGCTTAATATATATACTAGGCCAAAATATGTTCAAGTGGGTGTTTATCATCTGTATAATCTTAAAGGAGTTGTCTGTTTTCAATACAGGTTGTTGAAGGCCTAATAAAATTGATCGAGCACTGTGGTGAGAATACTGATGATGATGGTAGCATATTCTTGGCTTGTGATACAGTTATGAATATTCTTTTGAAGGTAGTCTCTTCTCCTTGATAAGACTTGCATAAATGTGTGTCATTGCTCTATTCCAATCATGACCGTACATTTTTAAATGTTAATAACAGAGGGAACAAATAAGCTTGAAGCCTGAAATTTCAACATTTTCCAGACTATTAAAAGCTTTGGCATATTGGACAGGTGAAAATGATATATATTTTTCATACTGATCTGCCTGCTAATTTCCTGACAAAAAATCGAAGACTTTGTAAGATATGTCAATTTATTATTTTCTTTTGTCATAGATCATACTAATGACCCATCGGTGGTAATGATGGCTGCAAGCATCTGCTCTCTGATCTATGATTTCACATCAGAAGAGGCTTTACTCAAGCAACCTAATTTCGACGGTAGCTCCTTGGATAGTGTGGCCCGGCTCATAGCAAGAAGCTTGTCCTCATGGGGCCAGGTATAAATCTGCAACTTGGATAATGTGTTTGTCAGAGATTAGTGTCTTGTCCTCAATTTAGTCAGTTCTTGTTCAAATTCCAGTTTCTTGGTAGAGGAACTAGTGAGATAACTGTCGCCTAACTGACATCATTGCAGGATACCTCTGATTCTGCGGATCTTCTTGAAATCATAACAGCAGGTCTGGTTTCAACATCTTCTCTCATTTTTCACATCACTTTTTTTTTCCTCAGCTTCTCGATCGTTATCCTGTGATTGTGCTGTCTGATATTTTGAACAGGATACTCTCGATGGAGAGGTCGATTCCCAACCATCGGGAAACATTGCCGTTGAGCAATGACTCGAAGTAAATTCATCTACAACTACAAGGGGTCCAAATATATATATGAAGTGTTTTCATGATCAGTTGAAGCTATTATGTTTTGCTCAGGCTGCTTTCTACGGGAGACAATAGTATTATTAGACTATTAGCCTATAGTTTCCAAAAAAAAAAAAAGACTACTAGCCTATTAGGCAGAGAAATTATTTTTTTGATCAGCTTCACGTTGTTGTAGTATTATTTTATTTATATATATATATATATATATATATATATATTTATTAAATTTGGCAATAGCTCACTAATTGCATAAAGTTTTATTTATAACTTCAACAGAAAAAAAGAAATCGAAATTTAGATAGTGTTTTTTTTATCAGTCTAAAATTTGACCTGGTTATATTGAGGAAATCTAAAAAATAAAGATAAGGATTGACAGGATTTAGAATCTCTAAAACGGCGTCGTGTTCAGCAAACAACAAGAGTAAACAGAAACAAACGCGTTTTGCGTAGTTTGGATAAAAATCCTTTATAAATATAAAAGCATTAAGGAAAGGTTAGTTTGCGCAAAAGAATCTGCGAAAAAGAAGAGAGAAGAAGAATAGAATCATTATGCCCGCCTTATCTCACTACAGATCAGTATCATCTCTACCGTCGGTTGACCGATCTTTCGCTCTCATCCAACGACGCAGGATCCACGGGAGCTCCTCTTCCTTCCCGGAATCTTCTCCCTCCTCGGCTCTTCTTCCCCGCGCCGATCCTTTGAAGCGCACTGTATCTGGCGGATCTCTTGCTAAATGGATCTCCGGGATTACTGCTGGCTCCGGCTTAGGGTTTCTGTATTGGTCCTCCTCTGATTCTGACTCGACCTCTGGTTTGTTTGGTGGGAGTAGTTTATTCTCATTCGCTGATAGCTCATCGCCTTCTGTTTGTGGAGCTAAAGTCGGCGATCTGAAAGCGAGATCGTTTATTCCGAAATTGTCGTTGCCTGGTTACAGCTCTGGATTCATCTTTGGAGGTTCGGCGATCCTTGCTCTTTTTTTTTCTTATTTCATTGATTTTTGTTTCTTTTTTCTCTATCTCGATGAGCTAATCTATGTTGGATTTGAAAATAAACAGATGCGTATAGAAGGAAGATCTTCTTTAATTACGAGAAACGTTTGAGATTACAAAGCCCTCCTGAAAAGGTGCATTTGAAATTCTATTTTTCCTTCAGCTTTCTATTTTGATCTCTTTTGTTCTTAAATAAGATTGGAAAGTTTTACCATAGATGTTGATTGATTGTTCTCTGTGTCAGTATTGAATTCGTTTTGTTCTAAATTGTATTTAGGTGTTCGAGTACTTTGCATCGGTTCGGACAGAAAAAGGAGAATTACTAATGAAGCCGGCAGATTTGATGCGGGCAATAGTGCCGGTGTTTCCTCCATCAGAGTCTCATCTAGTAAGAGAAGGTTACCTGACTGGGGAAAGAAACCCTGGTGAACTTAGATGCTCTCCTTCCGAGTTCTTCATGCTGTTTGATGTTGATAACGATGGTCTTATATCCTTCAAAGAGTGAGTTACTGAAACCAAGTCATTACCTATTGTCTGTCCAGCTTTCTTTTTCTTTCTTTTTGAAGATTGAATTTTTACTTGGTATATTTTTGTATGGGGACAGGTATATATTCTTTGTGACATTACTCAGCATTCCTGAATCAAGCTTTGCCGTGGCTTTCAAAATGTTTGATACTGACAACAACGGGTGAGTAGTCGTTCAAATGTCTACATATTTGAATCCTGCTTTTGGTAACTATCATTTTTTCTGGTCCGTATTCCCATATTGTGATCCTCCAAACGGACGGGTTGTGGGAATCACTGGAGTCTCTTTTGAGTTTTCGCTGAGTCATGTAAATCTGGTCAGTGCTTCTATCCTTTGTAACTTATATTTCTTCGAGATGCTTCTGACGAAATATAATTTTAGGGAGGTTGACAAGGAAGAGTTTAAGACAGTGATGAGCCTGATGCGATCTCAGCATAGACAAGGCATAGGCCACAGAGATGGCCGTCGAACAGGATTACATATGACCGGCTCTGTCGAGGATGGAGGCTTGGTAGAATACTTCTTTGGAAAAGATGGCAGCGAAAAACTGAAACATGATAAATTCATTAAGTTTATGAAGGATCTAACGGAAGAGGTAAGTTACTCTTAACCCTTCAATTCATCTCCTTACTCATGTGACTACTAGATGCTCCGGCTGAAAGAGAATTATCTTATGTTGTATGTAGATGCTGAGACTGGAGTTTGCACATTATGACTATAAGCGAAGAGGAAGTATATCAGCCAAAGATTTTGCGTTGTCGATGGTGGCAGCGGCTGATGCAAACCATTTGAGTAAGCTGCTTGATCGAGTTGATGGTCTGAGCGAGCACCCGCATCTCAGGGACATACGTATCTCACTAAAGGAATTTAAACAGTTTGATGAGCTACGCAGTAAACTTGGACCATTTTCTCTAGCGCTTTTTGCTTATGGCAAAGCCAATGGTTTACTTACAATGAAGGACTTCAAACGAGCAGCTTCTCAGGTATGTGGAATAACACTGTCAGACAATGTGATAGAGATTGCGTTTCATGTGTTTGATTCGAATCGAGATGGGAGTTTGAGTGTGGATGAGTTTTTGCGGGTTCTGCATCGAAGAGAGAGGGATGTGGCACAGCCAATTGCAAAGGGTCTGTCACGGTACTTCTCAGATGGATGGAATGGTTCTAAGAACTGTTCCTAGTCGTGAAGACTCTTTTTCCTCTTTAGGGCTTACCGATGAAACTCAAAGACTGTTTTTTTGGGCTCTTGGGTTCATACGAGTGAGCCCAGAGATTGATGATTACTCCACGCTTGCATTGTAAGAAAGAAATCTGAATCGGTCTGTGTATATAGTTTGATGGATCTATGAACCTTTTTTTTCTCTGTTATCTAATGATAAATGGTAATTGCCTAACGAATCCATGTCAAGTTTCTTTTTCCTCACCTCGCCTTTCCTTTCGTTCTTCTCTTTCTTATTTTTTCCCGACGCTGCCGTTTAAGTTCTTCCTCTTCTTCTTGCTGTTCTGAATGCGTTCATCAAAGATCTTGTTCCTAGTGTTTCCACTTCTTTAAAACCTCAAACCCCTCCTGGACTTGTTCAAGTGACGATCTCTCCACCCACATCAACGATATTCCCAATGCCCTTTGATGTTTTACCTGACAGAACCTGATCGTTCTTGGACTTAAAGCCACTACCGGTGTAAACAACCTGTGTCTGCCCAGACGAAATTCAAAGTCTATGATAATCTCTATGCATCAAAGTGGATCTTCGTATAGGACTCCTATTGTCGAGTAAAATAAGCCTTTTAAGAGAGAGAGAGATGAATATGGTGATGATAGCTGGTCTATTGAGTTTTACGATTAGGTATGACATCGAAGAAATTAAAATAAAGTCTGAATCTCTTTCAAGCGACGCAGATATTCACACAACAATCACGAATAGAATATAAACTAATCCAACTGAACAACAAAGAATACAGAGCTATGGTATAGAACCAAACAAAACAAAGAACAACAAATAACCAATATTGAATCAATCTGAAGAGAAGAGGATTAGCCCTTCTAACCTTCTTCTCTTGACTGAATCTCAATCAGTCTCGGCCACCACATCAAAACCGCAGAGGCCAAGAGTATATATCCCCGTGGAAATCCCAAAAAGAATATTGCTTTGGAAAAATGACAAAACCATACCAATAGTGAGGAGAAAAAATGCACACCCCACCCCCAATAACAAACAAAGTGCCTGCAATAGTATATACAAATGATTAGCTTCCCAGCAAACGAGCCACAAACACCTAGACATATACAGAATTGTAAAGGATAAAATAACTTGATAGCGGCAAGAAATCTCTTAAAAGTTTTTACCATTATTTAAAGGCAATAAATCTAACTAAAACCCCCCTTATTCACGCTCCACAACATGAATGATTTGTCCATAGCATTCAACCAATGAAAAACTAACAACCCAGGACCTATGAATGAGTTACTACTTACCTAGTGATACACAAAATCTGATGGCAGCTGATATCTGTGTGTGTACATGAGAACAATATTTTGGTCAAGCAGGCCCTGAAAATACATTCTCTAAGATATCATGCAGTTTCGGGGATCGTCTTCGGAACATCGGTTCTAGCCGGAAAGATGGTACACCCATCTGCCATCTCTTGGCATCATACATCTCGTTCCATGCCTGTACTATTTCGTCAATCTTGAATCCCATACCTGCATTTGTTACAAGATTGTTATATCACACCTCATATCAGCACAGCAAAAAGAAAACTAACAGAGGGCCATTATTGGATTGTAACGTCTCTAGAGTTTGGTATTCATGCCAAAAATGGATTACCTTCAAGGGCACCCTCGCTTGAACAATGATTCTTTACCATCACAGCTATATCAGTTGCAGAAGCTCCAGCTAGTTCAAATTTCTCCACTGCAACCTCCAAACATTCATCCCATGTTGGTAATCCGAGCTTGTACTCCACAATAGACCGTTCATATAGCAACGAACCCCACAAGAGGTTAATCTGAGAACTCATATTAGCTGTCTGCTCCACAGTTTCTTCTTCTGAAGCTTCGCTAAACAATTCATCCAACTCCATCTTCCGCAACATGTTTTTATGTTTATCTAGCTTGGAGATTCCATTTAGACGACGTTCTTCCATCTCTTCCCAAATCTGCATACCCCTCTCCATACTATCTTCAGCTTTGTTATAGAGCTTCAGGACCTCCTGGGAGGCCTCACTTTCTAAGTCTACCTTGGTTTTGAGTGCATGATACCAGCAAAGCTTGGCCTGTTCAAACTGCTCTTGCCCAAGTGCTAGAAGAGCTTCGTAAAAATCAGGTTTAACCTTAATCGCTTCTTCGTATTTCTCAGCAGCTTTGTTGTACTCGTTCTGTGTCCACACAAATGCAGCCTCAACCGCTTCTATTATAGCTTCTCTCGAGGCATCCTCAGGAAAACAGACCTGCTTTCTTGCCTTGGACATGTGAACGTTACCCCAGTTAAACAAAGCTAGTGCACCCATTTCTTGGAACTTATCAGCAGCGATTTCAAAGAGTCCTTGCGCATCTTCACCAGTGACAGCATCCTCCATTGCTTCTGTATACAACTTCATCCCAAGGTCATGAAGGTCCAAGTACGAATCAGAATCAAACCCAACATGGTTCTTGAACAATTGCGCAAACTGGAAAATCCAGTTCTCAAAGCACGTAGATGCTTTGTCAGACTCCATGTATACTCCGACACTTCCATTGTCCGCAAGGCTGCTCAATCTCTTGGCAACCTTGTCAGTTGATTCAGTATTGCTCATGACGTCATAGGTTGGTTCTTGGTCGGGGTTAACCTCTGCTATATATAACCTAAGGGAGCCAAGTTTATCATGAGTAGAAGCAGCTAGTCTCAGCTCATCTGTCGTGGTAATGGTTACCAAATCACCTTCTGTATCCTTATATTTAATGAGGAAACTCCTAAGAGCAGGAAAGCGATCCCTGATTACATCTCTTACAAGTCTAACACTAGAATCCAGTGGCAACTGTGCCCACCTTATATCATCTCCGTGTACCAGCTTGACAGTCCTAGTAACTTTTGCCGCCTCTTCTTTTGTGTTTCCTCCGCCTTCAACAATCTCAGAGGCAATGACCTCTTTGTCCATGACAACAACCTTATCCTCCAGCTTCCTCTCTTCCCCTGCCTTATTACCACCATTTTTCTTTTTCTGTCCTTTATCACCCTTGAAACTTGTTTTCTTATATTCTCTATCGCCATTAATCTTCCCATCAATCTCGAACCTATCGTTCTTTTCCTCCTTCAGCTTATTTCTGCTCTCCGCTTGGTCTCCCTTGTCAACAACCTTTGGACTCTCAACCTTGCTCTTCAAAAGTTGCTCATCCTTTCCAGCGCTCTTCTTCTTCTTCCTCTTATTCCTCAACCTCTCCTTAACAATCTTCTTCAAACGAGCAGCGCCAACAGGCTGAACATTAACGAAGTTCTTCTCCATTTCATCCACATCAACACCTTTATCTACCAACACTTTCTTCACCCTATCAAAGATTTCGTTGGCAGAGACATTTTCGGGCTCCATATTCAAAACAATACGAGCATCCCTAAACGCGTAGTCCAACTTATTCAAAGCCTCGTAACACCGAGAACGCCTCAGCAAGGCCTTACTGTACCTAGGAGAAGCCTCCAATGCCAGATTACATTCGCTAATAGCATTGGGATACTCGCCTAATCCCATTTGCATATAACAAGAAGCCATGCTCGTTCTGAGATAAGCTACATCGATATGATCCTTAGGCAAGAGCTTCAAGGCCTTGTCGAAACTCAGCATCGCTCCTTCGTGGTCGCGTTTCTGGAAGAGCTTGTTGCCTTCTTCTTTGAGCTCAAGTGCTCTGCCGATGAAAATCTCCATATCTTCGTCAAAGGCCCTCGAAGTAGTAGAACGATGGTAAGTCTTCCCTGACTTGGCTCCGCCGCCGCCGGAAGCATCTTTGGGAGTCTCCGGATGTTTCTTCTTCGCCGTCGGCTTTCCCATTTAATCAGAGCATATACAATAAAAGTCTAATGAATTAAAATCGAAGTTCAAATGAGACGGAGCAGAGAGGAATGAAACAGAGGATTATATTATTCGAAATCTATTTGATTGACCGATCGTGAGAAGGGGAAGAAACGTTTCCGTACACTAAATGGTTTGGTGGAAATGCCAGAGTAGCACCACACGACTTTATCTCTCTCTAGGTGGAGTGAACCCTAATCCACTTTATATATAATATATATATATATATATATATATATATATTTAAAATATAAAAACACAGATTGATTGTTCAAATTAGCAAACAATAACACCGACCACGAAAAGTCATTTTGGTTTTGTTTTGCTGGAAAGATGGAATATTTATTTTTCCAGCTTTTTAATCAAATTAAAAGAGTTGAGCTTAGTTGTTGACCAAAAAAAAAAAAAAAAAAAAAGAGTTGAGCTTAGCTTGCTACATAAATTATTAGAGTTTTTTCCCCCACAAACAAAATAATTAAAGTTTTTGTCTTTCTACAATAGTGGTGATTACGATATGTAAAAATTCAACTGAAAAAGACATATTAATTGTTCTTTTTGGTTGACATCTGAAAAAAAACAAAAATCGAATTAAATCAAGCAAAACAAAAGGAAAAAATCATCTTTGTACGTAGTAACTTCAAAAAGTTTAGATTGTGTCAACTATTGTCCCTTATTGGTTAAAAAGCTGTAACTTTAGAGCAGGTGCCATTTACGTTTTACTTCTCGATTTGCATATGTTCAGCTTCACTGTTATATAAAAAAAAAGATTTACCGGCTAATGCACGATTTCGAACCAATGATGATGGGCTTATTTTAAGGCCTAACCTAAATTGCCGCTGGCCCAATACGGTTCTGAACATAAATTTTAAGGCCTAACCTAAATTTTCCCCACAACAACTAACCAGAAAGGGCCGCGTGTTTCCCGTCCGAAAACAAACGTTCAGTCTTAATTACGTTCGTAATTTGCATCAAATTCTATACAATATTTCTACTGATTTGAACTGATAGGGGATTATATATTTAGGTATCATGATGTTGCTTTGTTTATTTGGAATGTGCTCTGTTTTCATCTCATTGATCTCACATGGCTTTGGAATTATTTTTATCTTTATATATTTGTGCAGAGAGGTACTTTGCATGATAGGTTCTCTAGTGAACTTCACACAAACGCAAGGTTTTTGTGAATCATTGGTATCGGTCTCTTTTAGAAAGGTTTTTTTTTTGTTGGGGTCTCTTTTAGGTTCACAATCCCTTCTTCTACTCCATGCTTTGAAGAAAGACGCGAGTAGATGGCGGGAAGATGTTGAAGACAATGAAGAAGGCGAGGAAGCAAACAACGAAGATGATTAAATAAGTTAGTGAGGAATAACAAGAGGGTTGCAGAAGATGAAGTTGATGGATGCCAATAATGTACGTAGATGGTGCATTAAAAGTGTAAATATTGATGATAGTGTATATAATGGTGATCATGATGATGAATTGATGATAAATATCATAATGAAGGCGTAGATGAAAACACAATACTCATCCACCGACTAATAAAAAGGACATGATATCAAACATTATTCTTTGACGATGCTTAATCTATGTATGTGTAACGCAAGTTTCACAAAAAGAACCACAACTCAGTTTCTTGGACAAACAAGAAAACTTCGGTTTTACTTGAGACAAAAGAAACCATATCATCCTATCGAGTTTTATAAGTTTTTATTCTCATAATTCTTGCAACTTCGGTCGACGGAGGAACCGATGGGTCTGAAGATGTAAGGCTCGCCGGCGTAACTGAACTTAGCTGAGGCGCCAGCTGGCAAAGCCTCCCCTTTGATCATGAGACAGGTCCTTCCTTGTGGGAGCAGTAGCCATGGCTCGACACGCTTCACAGGAGCAAAACCTCCGCATGACAGAGTCACGTGCTTTTGAAGACAATTGCACGTGTTGATCACCGTCACTTCCCACTCCGGTTGTCCGGCGATTTCTCTCCCGGTTCTTACCGTTCCGATCTGGATCTTACTGAAATTGCAGTGGCACAGTCCTGTGGGTTATATAGTTTAATTAAGACACACTCCTTTCATCAGCCGCTCCAAAAATGTTTCATAAATAATCAAAAAATCGAAAAGTCAAACCTAGTCCTAACAGAATTAATTGAATTAGCTAGACATTGACAACAGATATTTTATATATATATGTACCGAAAAGTATGACAATTCTGGGATACAAACACAACGTTACGCTGTTAGAGATTCGGTTACATTACCTTGAGAAACCATAGAGAGAAGAAGAACAACAATATAATATCTAAGAGCAAGCGCCATTGTTATTATTGTTAAACGTATGTGTCTTTAAATTCGTGGAGATGAGAAATTATCAACCGGTCTAATTTATATTCATAATTGCATATTGCATATGTTTAAATCTTTCTTACTGCCTTAACTAATATACAGAGATACGATTCTTGATTTCACAAGAATATATAAACAAAATATACTACTTGACAAAAGAAGAAACAATGAATTCAAAGTGAATTTTGGAGAATTAAGGTATCAAATATAGTTGGTATTAGTCAAAATTTCATATTATTAATGAAAAAGATCATACTAATTTTTTTTGGTAAATATTAAATTACACATCTAAGAATAACATATTTTGTTCCTTAACGAAATCATTAAACTAAATTCAATCAAGATATTTACTTACACAAGATCCTAAAAGAAAAAAAAAATCTAATTTCACTAGCTCATTGTACATCTACCAACAGGTTTTGAAAGCATTCCGCACCACAAATATGAATTTGGACTTTTCTTACATATTAAACTTTAAACAAAACATTGAAATTTTGATGTGGCAATGGATCAAACCTTTGAGAAATGAGTGTTCAATCTCAAAGTTGACAAAATCTATGTGAGAAAAGTCTAAATCCTTTTGAATAAATATTTTACTTTCCAAGTCAAAGAATACACGTCTAATTATTGGGAAAAAAGAAGAAAGAAATGGAAAGTTGAAAACGGGTGGAAGAAAACATTTTAGGGGGAATTAATGAGAAATGTTCTGAACAATTTGATAATTTTGACTGGACGTTGGTTCGGGCACTGTTCACATCACCTACAGTCCATTCTTTGACGAAAGTGAAAGATGATAATAAAGACGCAAGTGAGGACTGAGGAATATTAAAGATAATGAAGAACAGAAGAAGGCGATCGAGTGCACAAACAAAGAATATGATCAAGAATTCAAGATGATGCAGAATATGAAGCGAAGTAACGTCGGGAGATGATGAGAGAGGCGTTGGTGTTGAGGAAGAAAGTGAAGATGAAGAGATTATTCCTCAGATGATCATATATATGCATAATCGTCTAACATCTAATTCTGTATGTAAAACTCAAGTTTCACACAAGAATTCATAAATCCAGTTTCTTGGACAATAAGAAACATCCTCGTCCTTGAGTAGCAAGAAATATATGATAACCACAAATGTTTTTTAATTAATAAGAATTCGTAACAGAGGGAAGAAGTCAGTTCTTGCAACGTGGGTCGACTGTGGAACCTACGGGTCTGAAGATGTAAGGCTGGCCGGCGTAAGCGAACTGAGCGGTTGCGCCAGCTGGCAGAGCTGCTCCTTTAATCAGAAGACACGTGTTTCCTTGTGGGCGAAGCAGCGATGGCTTGACAGGCTTCGCAGGAGCAAACCCTCCGCAAGACAGAGTCACGTGCTTCTGAAAACATTTGCACGTGTTGCTTACCGTCACTTTCCACTCTGGTTGTCCAGCGATTTCTCTCCCGGTTCTCACCGTTCCGATCTGGATCTTACCGAAAGTGCAATGGCACAGTCCTGTTGTGTAGGTTATTGTTTTATCATCCTTTCATTAGTTTTGTATCTTATGATTATAAAAATAAAAAACAAACGTCGATAATAATAATTGATTGCATATGGAAAATCTATAACGGTGTTTTCCGACAACAAGTCACTTTTTAGGATTTTAATTTTATTGAATCACTATGATATAGTATACTAGTATCCAAAGGAAAAAAAAAACGATCTGAAGACCAAATTAATATAAAACAAATGTAACTGAATGAAAATAAACGTAACTGAAAGATAAATAAATCGATCAAAGGATTAAAGTGAAAACCTCAGTTTTACTGAAAACATGTGATAATGCAAGATAAATTTGCTTTAAAAAAAAACAAAAACAAAAAAATGAATCTGAGCGGAGACCGTAAACGCTTCACAACGAACCAAGGTGAGATTCGATCTTAGTTCATATTATATATATGATCCAAAAATCTAGAGATCAAACTGATAAGTCCTAATTAGACACTCAAGATGATAAATAAAAGAAGGCATGGAACTACGTACGTACATACAAAAAGGTTGTTCGAGAGATTCGATCAAAATTACCTTGAGAGACCATAGAGAGAACCAAAAAAACAAGAAAACATTTACGGGCAAATGCCATTGTCAATTGTTATTGGATTGTTACTTGTGTGTTGAGAGAGAGAGAGAGAGAGAGAGAGAGAGAGAGAGATGAACCCAATTTATATTCATTGCATAGGTTTAAGTTTAATTGATCTGTTGCTGCCTTAAATTATTTAGAAACGAGTATTGGTTTCACAAAGAACCGAGAAACATATTTTCGACAAAAAAGGAAAATAGAAAGAAGAAAAGTAAAGAGAGAAAAAAAAGAAAAAGAAAATTAATAATTGTAAATTATATACTATAATCAAGTAAATAGTTTAAAGTTGTTAAAAATATATATAAATCATTAATTTGCCAGTGTCTTTACTTCATTATACTTAATATGAGACAAATAAAAGCAACTAATATATACTTTGCTAAGTTAATAGTATAGTCTAAATTTCAGTCCTAAATTAAAAGTTAAATGATAAATCCCAAATTAAAAAAAGTAAAAGTTTAAATATGAAATATTAAATCCCAACTCCAAAACATTAATTTTAAGTTTGAACACTCAATACATTAAACAAAAAGTAGTGTATTTATTATTTCTTTGGTTTAAACCGCTTTAAAGATTTATTTTCTTAATATATTTTTTTGGTAGGATTATTTTCTTAAGATTGGAAACCGACACATGGCATCGTTGAGTTAGGGCAATAATTCATCACTTTCACTTCCCACTCCGGTTTGCTCTTTACCACTTTTCCGGTCTTCGATTGTTTCATTCCCTAATAATCATTATTTTCCAAAGAAAATAAACAAATCCTTGTTTAATAATTAACAAATCCTTGTTTAGATCATTTATCATATTATTAATAAGATATATAATCCGCGCACGTGTTCACTATATATACCTTGGCTGACAAAGGCAAAGAAGAGGACTACTCGACGAGGCAAAGGAATTTGCAAGCGTTTGTTGCCATTAGTCTAAGAGTTTTTAGAAAATGTCTAGTAATTTGTCAAATATGAGAGTATCATATTGGGCGTTGACCAAAAAAAACAAAAAAGAGAGTATCATATTGGGAACACATAGGGAACCATGCATTGGGCCGTATAATATCATGAGATTATATATCTTATTGAAGGAGATATATCAGAGATTCAAAGGCAAATATGTTCATCTTCATGTTAGCCAAGGTATATATATAGTGAAAGACCTATTTTAAACTACTATCTCCAGTCTTGGAATTTGGTCAACATAATGTAAAACTAAACAAATAACAGAATAGATAAGCAATAGTATATAAAAAAGAGTATCTTTATTAATCCTTTTTTGCTATAATTGAATCTGTATTAATCCTTACATACTAACGATTAGGTAAATATCATCAGTTTCATGCGCTAAATTAAGGAAGAACAAAATTAAACAAACATGAAACCAAACCAAAACAAAGACGGGTAGAAGGAATTAAATATATTTTAAGGGCAAACGATAACGCCGTCGATGACCTTGAGGTCGAAGCTGGTGTCCCATACGTATCTGAAAACGAGGGGGACGTGCGGGAATATGAAATTACCGGCGTTGAGTAGACAGATGTCGCCGGATTTAGACAACGACCGGGTAGGCACGGGTGTGACCGACTCGAAACCGACACATAGCAATTTTGTGTACTGGAATTTGCACCTAATACAAGGGTTCGTCACTCTCACTTCCCACTCCGGTTTGTTCTGTACCATTCTCCCCGTCTTCGATTGTTTCACTGATAGGTCATGTAGATGACAATCTCCATACCCTTCCAAAGGAACCAAGAGAATAAATTGTTAATCAAACAAACAAAACATAATTAATAACGTACGTGTTGTCTTGGAGATATGTTATATATATAACTTTAAGCTTTAATCTAATATTTAGATCTGGTCTTATGGGATATAGAGACCATATATAGGGTTATATAGCGATTATGAATACTTCGCGAATGCGAATTTGTTACTAACACAATGACTAAATAAATATGCATGGGACAAAAATGAAAACTATAATGTAACTGTTGTATATAAAATATAATACCTTGGTTGATGAATGCAAAGACGAGAACAAGGCAAAGGAGTTTGCAAGCGTTTGATGCCATTCTCTGATCGATCTTTGGGTTTTAGTTTTTTTTTTTTTTTCTCAAAAGAATTTTGCAAAACGTAGTAACTAATGAGTATGGGTGTGCCTACTCAGATGTGTATTTGTGGTATTTATAGGGATAGTCATGATAATTTTCTTTCCTTACCAAGTCACAGCAAGTTCAGTAAAAAAAGAGAGAATCTGTTGACTTTCATTTACTTGTTGCAATTTGGTCACAACTTAAGCTAGGTATTATATATGTATAGGAAACCTAGGTATGGAGAATAATTAACGGGGTGTTATTAGTTAGTGATTTATAGAGAGTTTTAAAAGACTTCAAATGTTATGTTAAATCAGTTGTTATTCAATCAAAATTTTATTAAACTCTTTTAAAGTTTGGTGTTATTGGTTGCTGATTTTTAGAAACTCATTTAAAATCTTTACAAATATGGGGTTATTGGATTCAGAATTATATAAAGTCATTAAAGTTTTGAGTTATTCAAATAAAACAAAAGAATCTTTGATTGTTAATGAATTAAATTATTATGTTATTGGTTTATGATTTTAAACACATTTCTTTACAAATTAAAGTCATGGAAAGTATTATCAAAATAGAGAGATTGTTGGAAAGACTTTACAAGATTATAGAATTAAGTCAACAAGATTATTAAAAAACTCTCTAACAATCTTGTAGATGATTTCATTTACCTGCAATCTATGATTTTATTAAAGCCATCTGAATTTTTTATAAGTCACAAACCAATACAACCCCCTAATTTTTTTCAAGGTTTGTCCATTTACTAAATTAAGGTTATTAGTGTCTTTGTTTTGTTAAAAGGTTGGAGCTACTTCGTTGACCGCAATGTTGATTTGAGTCAAAAACTATTTTTGGTAGGATAATAAATCTGAATTTGAGAACAAAATGAATTTACTGGGGTCAAAGAGAAAGAATTAGTTATAGAGTGGAGATGTACGTCTAAGAGGTTCAACGCATGAAAAGATGTACTTTGATATGACAAATGACGGGGGACAAAAATTATACTTCATTCACAACTATAACATTTTCTGATTCCCCTCATTTTCTTACTGCAAAAGCTCAAGGGATATATCCTAATCACAAACTGTAATGAATTGGCTAATCATACTCTCATTCTAACAAAACGAATTACAAATCTGGTATCGGGTCCAAGAATTTGCCTCAAGGAGTAACTAACCACCACGAATGCGATGAGAAACCTCCGTCTTTGCTCGAGCACAAGAGGATCAGCTATGCATCTATCATGCCATGGAACATACTTTTTCTGCAAAATTAACATATTTACATTGCTTGTAAATTCAACCAGCTGCTGCTAAGACAAAATGATTTGTGGTCTAATAGCACAAAACCTAAGCTTTCTTTAGTTAACCATGAGAACAATTTTTGTGAGAGAGTAGTATTCACACCTTGTCTCGTGCTACTGCAGCAAAGGCGATTGTCGTCTATATATGTTGCCTGGACGCCAATCATCCATGATCCAATGGTGGTATCATCAAACGCATATGTCTTCAACAATCCACTATATTTATAAATATATTACACCGGGCAGAATAAAAACCATGGTTATGAACGTAGCTTTGTGTGACATATATACTCTATGTGAGACTAAATCTTCTGCCAAATTGCGAAACCTAACCTGTTTATATTGATATACTGAGCCAGATTTTTGGAGAGTATTACAAGCGAACCAGTTGCATGACGAAAGTACCTAAATAGATCGAATAAATAAACTGAGTACACAACACAGGTCACGAGGGATTAACAAAATTTAGAAGACTTTTGAGGTACAAGACACTTACGATTTGTCGTCCCCAAATTTCCACCACTCAGGCTCATACCATTGACTTCCCCTGTATACCACCAAGAAACAACCCATAGAATATGAGAATTAGAATGTTTATTATGAAATGTTTGGTAACTGTTACAGCTCAGAAGTCTCAATTATGTGAACTCAAGATAGTAGAGAATATACGAACTCTTCGGTAATCACATCTCCAGACTTCATGCACCCAATGTAAGCACCATCTTGACCACGTCGGCTTTCAAGAAGCCCAATCATCCCCTCTGTTAGACCGAAAACATGAGTCATTCAAAGATATCGTTGATACCCTGATTGGACCAAACATAGCTTCGCAAGACAAATACATGAAAGAGGAAGTATTACCAAGATCTAGGTCAACGTTGTCATCAACTTTAACATAAAACTCTGCATCCCAATTCTGAACAGCAGCACTGTAGAAGAATTTCACTTTCTTTGGTAACTCTTCTTGGGCTTCCTCGTGATTCTCCTAATAATCCATCATATTTCGAGACAAAATGTGAATTTGGAAGCCACATCAGTGAGTATAAATTCAAATAAGCAGGCAATGAAAAGAAGCAAAAGAGTTATCCTTGCTTACAAGAATCAAAAAGTCTTTAGTTGCACGATTTTCTTCGTCAATTTTCCTATCTAGGCTATCACCTCGGTTAGCACTGGCAATTTATACAGCATATTAACATTAGACAGTGAAAACCTTTGCAACTGAAAAAAGAGTCTAAAGAAATGAAGTTATAGTAAGTAGGAAAACCTCCGACCAATCACAAAACGTATGACAACTCCTCTTTCCTCAAGTTTTTTCAGAGCATCATCTAAAGAGAAGAAAGTTTCATAAGAGAAAACTTATCTATTAAACCATAATTATTGTACCAAACGAAGCAGGTGATAATTCTACCTCGTGGCATCCAAGAGCCTCTAAACTTATTGCGCTTCAAGTGACTTCCAAAGCCTGTGTAAACTCCAATAACAGCAAGCATCTTCTTCCCTGAAGAAGAGAGACTTTTCTGGTTTTTAAGATAGCCTTCACTCTTTGCCTGTGCCAAATCCATTTCAGTTTCAACAATTCTCCTCTCGAGATCTCTATTAAACAGTTACATTGTGTGTTAGTACATGCAGAAGAGAAAAACATACTATCAGCAAAAAGGAATCAGCTTACTTGCATCCAAGAACCACAAGCTTGTCCTCCACCGTAAGAACCTTAGGCCTCTACACTCCACAAGAACATGATCAACAATAAAGACAAGAACATTAACCTTAGGCCATTAGTGAAAATGACACGCCTGAAGGGATACTAGTTTCTAACTTTCTATTCAAAAGAGGCACAATAAAAACCAACCTGATCATAATTATTCTTAAGCACAGTATTGAGTGCTGCTCTGTACTGCGCATCTTGCCATAACCTAAACGTAAGAAACAAACACCATAATAGACATCAGAATCAACTGATACCGATCCAGGGATTGGATTTGAGCTTGTGACTGATGATAGATTGTAATGGAACTCAAACCCGAAAAACACAATGTATCTGAAACTAAAGAAATCTAGACTGGAAACAAATCGGCAAAAAAAAAATAGAAAACGGAAAAATCTAGCATATGGGATGTGAGATCTACGAATCTATCAACAACAAACGAAAACAGTGTTCTATCACGATCACGATTCTTAAAACTAATATAAATTCAATTTCGTTATGCATTTCGATTTCGAAGAACAAATCTAGAATTTACTGAGATTTGATCACTCCCGGGAAACAAATTAATCGGAAAGAAAACGCGACGTACCGGCCAGCGACGTAAAGCCAAGCAAGGCAAGAGAAGAAGGCTAAGATAAGAGAGGGCTTGGAGTTATTCTGAGACTTGGAAGACCTACCTCGCCGGTCTGGTTTAGCTGAGACCGTCGTTGGTAAGCTCTCCATCTCAATCCACGACGAGAGGGAGAGAGAGATAGACACAAATTCTCAGATGCAAAATCGAGAAAGGGAAAAGGAAAGCAAAATATAAGAAGTGACAGATAATGAAGCTTTGGATTTATGTTTCCTTGTTCGAATTACTTTTTTTTGGGTTTTCTAAGTTTTTTTTGGTTTGCCGATGGAACCGTTTCTTTGTGGTCGTCGGCGGTCCGTTATCTATCCCGACATCATCATTCCGATTTGTGTTGACAATGAAACAGTTTCGAACACTCTGATCTACTCAGCAGGTTAAGACTTTCAGATCATCACAATAAACAACTCAACCTGCATTATACATCAAAAGTTTTATAAAAATTGTTGGAACATGTAACTTTATTTATGATCTGAATATTCGTGTAGTTTTTCTAAATGGATTTCAAAATTCTAAACCAAAAAATAATGGAAGACAGAAAGAGCAATTCATTCAACATGAATAGAAAAAAAAAAAAAAATGCACACTTAATTGAGGTCAGTTTGAGAGTCACTTCACAACATCAGTCTCTACACTAACCAATCTTGTAAACCCAATGTTAGATCGCTTTAGGAATTTGCTGTCGCTCATTTCTTTGAAGCCTATCCTGGAAGCTCTTTAACTGTTTTACAAGTTAAAAGTCCCTTTGTCTTGGACTGTTTCTTGGTTAACGCTGCTGAAGAACTATCAGCGGCTAGCTGGCAACAAGCTAGAGAGTGAAGGCACTCCTTGGCTTCTCATCTGCTCTTGTGCGCTCTTCATTTCTTCTGGATCTGTTTATCACACATACCAACATTTCTCAGCAAACCATTTAAATCTTCATCGCTAGGTTTCTGTTCATTAATGATTTGAAGAGCTCTAAGAGATTTTAGATATGGTGAAAACTGATTATCCATATATAAAGGAAAGCATTGCTAACATTTCATCAGAAGATTAGGTACACTGTGAACTGCTTAGGTTTGTTACTGTCGCATCAAATGCTACTAAACAGAGCAAGACCCTCGAACCGGATCAATAATTCAAACTTACCAACACATGGATACAAGCGAAGGGTTAGAGAGTGTACCTATGTTTTCCATCAGCTTAGGCATTAAGAACACAACAACGACCATGAATCCCACCATAAGACCCATTGGACTTTTTGCAATTGACATAACGTTAAAAGGCTCTCGCATCTGCAAATCGTACATGATTGATCAGAAAAGAGGAGGAAGAAGCAGATAACTAAAACTAAAGAGCTACAAAAAGAAGAAGACACAGTATGAAGTACGCACCTCATAGTATTGCTCTGCTCGCAGTGGCTCCAAAACCAGCTCAGAAAGACTTCTCCTGGTTTCTGTTAGTGTTGCTTGAACCTTGCCACGATGCCGAGCACTAACATCAACTCTCACCTAATTAAAATCATTGATTGACGAATGAGTAGTGAGTTTTATAAAAAAGATGTCGTTCAGGCAATCATAGAATATTACAAATAAAAAAATCTTACTGGAGAAAAGAAGTAGCCCATCGCATTAACTTCAATCAGATGAGTCCCAGCTGGCACTTTGTGGCTTTGAAATTACAGAAGTGAAGGAAAACAAACTCTTGTTTTCACACCACAATACAGTATAGAGTTTTCTCAATTTACATCTAGCAATATTAATACCAAAAGCTACTTGACATATATGAAAGATATCTAAGCAACCAATTACTAGATATCAATATATCATATGAGTAAATAACCTGATATATAAATTTTTAAAGATACTACAAGAGATATTATCTGAAGAATGAAAAGTAGGATACAATGTGAAATATCCATCTGGCCTGAGGAAAGTAATATTCTGTCCACCATTGAGTATAACTTTGATATTCGAGAACTTTGCTGCATGACCAATCACAGTGCCTGCCATAATAGCTTCTAGATTAGTTTGAACAATGCCATGAAACAGAGGGCTAAGATAATCAGATAAACCCAAAAAACAGCAAATTGAATAATCTAAAATGAGTTCTTAATGAATAACTATAAGGCAACGAAAGAAAAAGGTAAAAGGCTGAAACTTACTTGCTGGGATCCTTACTCTACCCGTGATTGTGTAGCTATCCTCAGACCTGAAAAAAAAATCAAACAATATGAAAAAGAAAGAAGGAATTGAACAGCTGAATTCAAAGACAGGAAAAGCTGATTAAGTTACTAATATCCTTAAATATTAAATTCGTTACATGAAATTGAAATCAAAGTTGCAAAAATTATCAACCATTCAACCCCAAAACTTAAAGGTATCACGATCACTAAACAACGAATAAAAGAACTTAAGAGGGTAATGGTAAAAGGATATAGCAGCAGCTACGAAAGCAACGGTTGAACGAAAATTAAAAGCTCTACATCAACAGATGTGACACACGAAAATAAAAAATCTAGATGATTTGTGGAGATGGAGGAAGATTAAAAATATTGATTACCCAGATGAGATCGGAAGACTGGAAGAAAATAGGAAAAAGAGAGAAATCTGGCAGACGAACAACACGAGAAGGGAATTGGATCTAAAAATCGGCGCCATGGTCGTCGTCCGCAGATCGTCGAAAGCCAAAACGACCAGTTTATAATATCGTCCGATTGATTTCAGGAGAGAAAGGAACAAAACAGAATAATACAATGCGAAGGAAACCTTCTGACTTTGCAAGAAGGTTTGCGCTTAACCAAACGTTCAATGTTAAGCTAACAAACCGGGTTTTTAACTTCTACGGATTAAGCTAACAAACCGGGTTTTTAACTTCTAGCCATCGGTACTATTTTTTTCTCAAACCGGAGTGGTCCGATCATGGCAATCGGTTCGTATTTTCATTCTTTATTATTCGATCTTGGCTCAAGAAATCTCTCGTCTCCCTCGTTTAATAGTGCTTGTCAGCTTGTCTATTTCGGTTGGGAATCAAAAACGTTGGTAATCACATTTTTATCTTTCATTCATTAAACAGGGAAAATCCCTTTTAGCTTTCAGTTCCAACCAAGAATCTATGACACATTTTCTTCTACCGACAAATAACCACACAAACAAAAAAAAAGAACAAAGAATCATCCTGCTACAAACCAAGCTTCTTTGAGAACAAGTCCGATATGTTAGCTATTACGAATCCAGCAAACACCTGCAAAAAACACAAACGTTGATTCTTGAGCATCAGCGAATTATGATATTGATAGACTATGAGTGCTTTTTTGTTACCTGAGTAGAGCCAAGAATGTAAATGGCGGAATAATGACGTCCATGAATCATCATGTCAGCAACCATGGCAAGTGGAATTGTGAGGGACATGCCCAGAGTCGCTACCAGCGGAGTCGTCCACACCACTGAAAGTGCCCTTTTGATTACAAAAGTACGAAAACAGATCAAAGTTATTCTCTAAACATTTACACACCTCTTTCGAGTTTCGAGGAGCTATCCTATCAATAAACTAGAGACTTGTACGTAGCAAGCTGACACCTAGAATCATTGAAACGTACCAAAAATAGTCAGAGAGAACACTTCCAACGAAACCATTGGCTAAGACAACTTCATCAACTTTCGCAGAGTGTGGTATGGTGAACTTGGGTTCAATCCCTAATGCTGTCAATGGCCACACTGAAACACACAACCAAAAAACACAAACATTTGAATAAGAGACGAACAGTTCCCTATCTCATATGTTATGTTTCGGATGATACACTTGCAAAATTGAATAACATGGAAGATATTAGTATACCAAGCCACCAGAGAGCAACAAGTGTGAACAATCCAATGTATCCAAAGAGCTTTTGTACATCAACCCCTTCCCCTTCTTCACCGGCAAACTTCTTAAGAAGCACTGTATTGTCAATAACAGAAAGGTTATCCTCCCCAACACACAAAATCTTTTAATCATTAAGGATTATATACAGAAAGATTTTCTAACCTGTAAATAGTCCATAAGAGACTGCAGAGAGAAGCCCAAAGAGATCTCCCATAAGGGACCGTTGCCCGTTGCTAAACACAAATATCAACTGTACGTTAAAAGAATATGGTTGATGAAATTTGGAAAACTCATGAAATCAAGAAATTCTCTAAGAATGAGACAATTTTGTGCTATCAATTCATAATACAGTCCAGGGTTAGCTTCTGAACTTTACATACACATTGTATCACTTTCGAAGAAAAAATGTCAGAAAGAAATGCATGATAAACTAGTTAGGATGAAAAACTTACAGTGACGAATTTAATTGCGACTCATCAGCAGCCCAAGTCTTCCCAAGCGTTGTCATGACGACACCAGCCATGCTGACAAATACAGCAACTACTTTTGAAAGGTTCAAAGTATCTTGGCCCAAAAAGACACCAATGAAAAGAGTAAACAGTCCCGAGGTTGAAGACAATACAGTGGTGCTTGCCACACTCGTACGCGCAAGAGCAGCATTGGAAAGATACTGTATCATCAAAAATAGCAAGCAGATATCATTACCATGAGTTAAAAGAAGACACTTTGGGGCACATCAAAACTATAGAAACAGGATAGGAAAGAAAACACACCTCTGTTACAAACCAAATTGGTGCGAGGTAAAGGCCATACATTGCAATCTGCTTTGTTGTAATCTGTTTGCCATGCTTCAGAGTCTGCACTTCTTCTTTAGCTCTACCAATCAACGGCCTCTCATCTTCTTCATGGGATGAAAGGTGTTCCTCACTATCTTTCTTAGTCAAAGTTCCTTGAAGTCCCATTTCAATGATTTTGTGCCGCAAAGGGGAACCGAGCTCAACCGACGAATCATTGGTCAAAGCGGGAGCTTTGTTGCTTTTGGAAGAACGTCGATCTAGATATCGACAAAACCAGTCTTTGAGGAATGCAATGGGAAGGTAAACAATCATAAGAGAAGCTCCAAGGTATGTGACAGCAAATGGCTGCTTATAGGCTGTAAAGATATCCTGGTCAATTGAAGTCAAAATCATTCAAATAAATTATCCAAAGCTGAGCCATTTAAACAGAGATCTGAACTCGCATTTTGCGCATGATTCATCTATTCTTAAAATAGAGTCAAACTCAAACCACGGATTTGGAGCTCGAAGAACAGGATTGAAATAAGCCTAGTTGAATTGGATCCAAACATTGACAACCTCAAAATCAACACATTCACGACATCAAAAGAATCAGGGAATTAAAAGAGAGGGAGAGAGATAGATGATACCTGAGTAACTTCAGCAGAGGTGACCCATATGATGACAACAGTGCCAATCAAGAAGAGACCAGCTTTGTACCTCCAACCCATCAAAAAAGGATGTAAATTGAAACCCAGAGAGGAAGATCCAGGTATTATGAGTGGCTCAATACGAAGAGATCTGTCCTTGTAAATGATTTGACTTCAAAACTGAAGAAGACGAGGGAGAGGGAGATTGGATTAGAACAGGGGGAGGAGGACGTGAATCGAAGAAGGCGGTGGAGTGAAGAAGACAAAAAGGGGAAATCCAGAGACGACGAGAAAATTGACCATCTCTCAGGCCAAAAAAACAAATACTATTAAAAACGGAAGGAAGGAAGTAAGAGTAACCGCGAGGGAAGGGGACGCTGAGGCCTGAGGGAAAGCGTTAGACAAGGAAGACAAAACACATTTATTTATTTTTGTGTGTAAGAAACAGAAAATTCACGTTTATACAAAATTTTTGTATTTTGTGATGAATTTAATTGGACAGTAGAATTTTCGGAGACGTGATCTCGCCGTCTTTTTATTTTTTCCTTCTGTTTTGTAACGATATTTAAACCGTAAAGTGTACGTATGTCTAGGCTATATAGCTTTAATTAAAACCAAAGATAGAAAGTTATTTAATAATATGTCACACATATTATTACATTCATTGTTCTAATTAATAAGTTCTAACTACCGTAACTTAATCGTATTTTGCTATTATTAGGTGGCATGACAAGATGTCAAGTTGGCGACTCAGGTGCGTCTGGCCTCAACAAGTGGTGGTGACTGGTGTGCTACCTATATTTTATTTTATCTTATCTTATTCTCCTCTCTTTCTTTTCTAATAATTTACTTACATTCGATTCTGATCAACTTGTGGCTTCAACTTATGAGACTATTTTGCATCTTCTGGTTCAATGGAAAATGAACATAACATATCTTTAGGGTCAAAGAAGATGTATAAAATCTTTCAACCACCCGCAGAGAAGCAAAGTGGCTGATGAAACTGCTTGACATGCCATGACCCATGTCGTTTACTTCTTTTGATTGAGGTCATTTAACAGAAGTTGAATAGCCTCCATACATTAATTAGATCGTAACAGGAAGAAACCAGAAAAAGATTTTCAAGTAGTCATGGTCTTCTGATTATCTGCACCAGATTCAGAACCTTACTTTTCTAACCTTTTTAAAATAATCTCACATTTCAAAAGTTACAGTTTTTGTGCTTTTCACAAAAGTGTGTACGCCACCGCAGTTTGTAACGAAATTTCTCGAATGCAAAAATAGTTGGAAGAGGAGAAACCACTATTTTAACATGTATGAACATATCAAGACAAAACAAGCCTTTTCACTTTCCACTATGTATATAATTTATAGAACGTGATGACAACAAAAATTCACACAGCTTGCAAAGCAATGAGCTTTTACATTGCTCTATATATAAGAATACTTCATATAAGTGAGTTGCAAACATAAGCTTTTCAAGCCACATGAAAAAGCTCGGGGAAACAGGAGGTTTATAATCACATGAAGAGAAATTCTTTTTGGCAACACACAGAACCGGGATGGACTCCTTCCTTAAGAGACAGATGCACTTAAATGCAAGATGGTAGTGTAGGTCCATGGCAGAGAAAGGCCACGCCTATGTATATGATCACCAGTAGTAGTAGTATTAAGAGAACCCTGCAAGACACAAACACAGGGTTAGGAAATTGTTCGATTCTTGAAATATTCCCACTTGAGATCTTGTTCATCAAAGCACAACAAATTATCGAATGCCAAAATCCTTATGTTACGTTTCAGAGTATAAGTTTACGCAAAGGATAACTTTTAATCCATTTCTTTAATACTTGACATTTCAAATGTGGAACTTGGGGGTTACTAAAGCAGTTCACTTGCCATTTCAAATGTAAAACTTGGAGGTTCTTAAAGCACTTCACATGCACTTGCAAATGTGAAACCTCGGGGGTGAGTAAAGCAGTTCACTTGCCATAGTTTAATGGGTTGTTACTTGTTAGGCCATAACAAGTTTGAATATACAGTCTTGCAATCACAATACTGCATATTTTGTTCAATTTTTATGGATAAACCTAGAAACATGTTAAGGTTTTAGGATACATACGTGAGCTTGCAATTTCTCCACCAGACGTTGCTTCTGAAACGACGAGCTTGCTTTCTGAAACGGAATGTATTTCCCTGCATATTGGCGGTTTTATCGACAAGAAGCTCCAAGCGTTCACCTCTATCTAGAACTTTGTCAATGTTCTCTATCATGACACCCCGCACCTGTCCAGAACCAAATAGAATGTGTCAACAGTAAAGCCAATACTTGGAACCAAGCCTCTATACAAAACAACAAAGAGAAACTCAGACCTGATTCATTTCCCCCTTAATCCGATTGATCCTATCTGCATTAGGATCATTAGAGTAATACTCAATCTGCTGACTGAGAACTCTTGAGAATTCCTCATTCATGGCATAAGCTTGTGCTGTGTGAACAGCCCTGCCATAAGTCCTTACAAACCTCTGGTGAATATCCTCAAGAAAGGCAAAAGGAATCCTTCCTGAGAAATAACATCTCAAATGTAAGAACTTTGGAAGATCAAACAATTCATTCACACATGGAATACATCAGGAAACAATATCAAAACTTCACACCAGAGAAAAAAAAAGGATTAGGCTTTGAATTCCAGAGTCAGCAAAAGATTAAAACTTGATTCGAGAAACAAATCGAAAATATAAGGGGGTGAAAGGGAAGGAGATGGAGGACGTACTTCCGGCGGTTTCTTCAGCCATACAGAGAACGGTGAGGCCATCGGTGCGCTTAACGTGGAAGACGTAGCGATCCTGAGAGTAGGAGACGTTGCTGTCGTTGTTTCCAGGGACCTTCTCGAGGATCTGTTTGGCGATGGCGCTGGCATTCGTAGTCGTGGCGGTGAACTCCGAGAGAACCACCGTACCACGAGCGACGAGTGCGTAGAGAATCGCCATATCCGTGGATCCCTTGCCGAATCGAACAAGGTCAACGAAGAAGAAGGGGTTCCCGCGGAAACAGAGCCAGCAAGACGAATGAATGGATCGCTGGATCAATCAGGGAGAAAGAGAAAGAGAACCAATTAGCTCTTTTCACCTTTCTGCATATAATTGAATCTCTCTCTCTCTCTCTCTCCTCTTGGAGTTTAGCTGGAGCTGTGGTGACCTTTTCACCTCCTGCAGATTTAAACATTATATTTTTGGATAGCTACGGAGATTTATTAAATTTTACAAATCAGTTTTTTTTTTTGTGTTTTTCATTTTTGAAAAATATGTTTATGAAACCAAACCAAAAAATGGTTCAGTACCAATTGGTTTGGAACAATTACGGTATAAATTCGGTTTCGGTTTGGAGATAAGATATGAATTTTTGGAAAAAAGAAAAGAGATAAAAAGCAAAGTTTAATGGCAGAAAAAATGAAAATGACATGAATAATGGCGAATGAGGCTGAGCCCATATATAAAGATGAGCTCAGTCAGAGAAACCCAACTCAAAACCAAAACGTGGTTCACGAGTCACACACAGACCCAAACCGAATCTTACGGGGAAGAAGATGGTGGCACATATACATACACACACAATATATACACGGTAAGCTTCGCGCCTCCGTCAAATCACGTGTTGTTGTTTTTCTCGGCTTTTCCGTTAAAGTAGACGTCACAACACCGCCGTTAATCGCCGTGGTCCGTGAGAATTCAACCCAGAGGAAGAGAAGACCCTGAGAGACGCCATCTGTTCCTTCTTTTGGCCTCCATCTGTGTCCTCTCTCTTCGATCCGACGACCATTCTCATTCATAAACCCTACTCTTCGATCTTTATGCTCAGATTTCTGTTTGAAATTGCGTGATTTGAGGTTTTTCCCGATCGGGAAATTACTGGCTCGATCGCGTTTCCGATTGATTCTGATCGGATTTCAGATTCGGATTCCGTAGAGCTGGAGAGATAGGCAAAGTTAGGTGGTGATGCAGAGACGGAGTCCGCCGAAGCACAGGCATGATGGAACATCGCCGCTTCCATTGGGAATGGACTGGAGTCCTCCCCCGCGCAAATGGGTTAGTTCTTAAGTTGCCATAATTCCAACTTTAATATGTTTATTTGGAAGTGCCGAATTCTGCAGTTACTGCAGCTTGTTGTTGGTATATATGTAAAGCTGGAGAGTTCAAGGCATTGAGTTTCTTTTTTTGTGCAGAATGGTAGAGATACTGTATGGCCTCATGATCCTCGAACCGGATGGAGTTATTGTGTCACAATACCTTCGTGGATTGTCCTTCCAAAGTCAAGAAATTCAGACCCTGTAGTGGTAATCTAATTAACCGATTTTTCAAGTGTTTATCTTTTGCAAGGGCTAGTCCGAGTTCTTTTAGCAAATTTACATGTCTTGTATGTATGTGGAAATCAACAAACTTAAACATGAACTATGGAATAGTTTGCTCTTTTGTTTCCCTTTTGCAGCTGAAGATTTTTGTTGCTTACATATATAACAATTTAGTGGAACAGTTTTACAGGGTTCAGGTAAGTTTGCAATCCCCTGAAGGGGTTACCACAATGCGAGGAGTGTTGAGAAGATTTAACGATTTTCTAAAGCTATTAACGGATGTAAGAGTTTGTTCTCCTTGAATATAAGGGCAATACAACTCTCTGTTTTTTCTTATTGATTAAATGTAATGTGGTTGATGGCATATATGTTTTCCTTGCAGCTTAAAAGAACATTTCCTAGAAAAAGTTTTCCATCAGCCCCTCCCAAAGGGCTGTTGCGTATGAAAAGCAGAGCAGTGTTAGAAGAGGTATGCATTTTTTCCTGGGGAAAACTGAATGAGTCACTTGTGTAACTGCTAGTACTCTCAATATCTTTTCTGTTTAGTGCTATTTTTTTCCCTTCCTCCAATCTTCCCAACCAAGATTAAGTATGAATAATGCAGATTAATAGGAGAATGCATGTATATATAAGGAAAGCCATGTCCCAACAAAAAATGTTATAATTTTTCGTGCAAACTATTTGTTTTACAAGTGACAGCTGTGACCTTGTTGCAGCGAAGGTGCTCTCTTGAGGAGTGGATAACAAAGCTATTATCTGATATAGAATTGGCAAGAAGTGTTGTAGTTGCATCCTTTCTTGAACTAGAAGCTGCTGCTAGGTCTGGTATGAGCTATTACAGTATGCACTTAACTCGTGCATTGGTCAATGCTGTAATGTGTGATTAGAGTCTAACATGATCTTGCTTTTCAGCATGCCAAGATGTAGATCAGAATGCTTCTGATGCCAATAATGATAGAAATAGCACAAGTTCGTCACCTATGGTTCACCCAAATCTGAGCTTGTTTCATGCTGGTGGCAGTTCTCTCACATCTGACTATGGCAGTGATACTGCTTATGAAACATCTGAGCTTGGATCACCAAGTTTAGGACATGATGATATTTCTGAAATTGGCACAGAAGATCTAACTCTGGATGAAGATATAACAAATCCAATAGAGAAACTTGTTAACTTTAGCATGTCCAACATTGACGAGGGACTTTCAATGAGCCAAACTATTCTAGAGCAACTGGAAGACTTTCCCAAGCATAAAGCCCGCTCAAGATATGTCAATAATATCCTAGGGAAGGATGCATATAATGGAAATGCTTCTAAAGGTGTATTTTTTGCTAACAGTGGCTCAAGACTTCTCTCTGCACCAGAATCATCTCTCTCAGTAATGCATGATAGAAAGCTTTCTGTTGAGAGTGCTGATGGGTTTGCTCTACACACTGGTGAAACATCAACATCTGGTCTCCTAAGCTCAAGCAGTGATATCTACCTAGATCTACCCCGAGGTCCTGCTGTATCGCTTGGAACTGGGCTTGGTGGTAACTCGGAAAGGCAGGGTAGTGCACAAATAGTTCTTCCACTGGAGCTGCGTAATAAATTGAACAGAATTTTGTTAGCCACAAATGAGAGACTTGTCAATGCAAAAACAGATATGGAGGATCTTATAGCAAGACTAAATCAAGAGATTGCGGTGAAAGATTACCTGAACAAAAAGGTATAATAAGAAAAGTAACAATGAACGCCATTTTTGTTTTTCAGTTTTAGTTTTAAACATCCGTATCTTATTAATTCTTCTTTGGAGGGAATAGTAGTATTGTAATGCTGTTTTTACTGCTTAGGTTGATGATTTAGAAGGGGAACTTGAGACTACTAAGCAGAGAAGCAAAGAGAACTTGGAGCAAGCTATTATGAGCGAGAGGGAAAGATTGAATCAGATGCAGTGGGATATGGAAGAACTTAGACAAAAATCTTACGAGATGGAAATGAAGTTAAAAAAAGAAGAGGTATGATTTGAAATAGTTCCATGTCTATAAAATTATTTTCGCAACCAAACTGGCTCACATAGATCGTACATAATTTACCTCTTCTTGAGAAATACGCTGATGCAATTATTACAATAGGTTGGGAGCTCTCTTGCAGAACCCACTGAACAGTCAACTATTTCTGAAAGTCATGTTTTTTCGAAAGAGTTGGATGCCAAGAAACAACAACTAGAGGACCTCTCTAGGCGATATGAAGAATTAGAGGCAAAATCAAAAGCAGATATTAAAGTTCTTGTCAAAGAGGTCAAAGCACTGAGGCGTTCTCATGTGGAACTAGAGAAAGAGCTGACTCAATCTTTGATGGATAAAACTGAGGCCGAGGTAATTTCTTCCTTGTACAGTATTAAATATATTACTAATTTGGCAGCACCATGTGTGTGTGGCCTTGCGGGTTATGATTATGCATGTATTAGACCAAGAGAGACATCACAACTAAGACTGGAACATGTTGCACTTTTCAGAAATTACTCCAACAGGAAAGAAAACTACTTGAGAACACAGTAGCGTCTAGAAAAAAGCTTCTTAGTGACTGCAGAATTCTCCACGACCGGCTTAAAGACTACAACTTGAATTTTTCAATTGATGGAAACGGTAACTTCACAGAGGACTCAACTACAGTATCAGACGCTTTGCGTTTGCTGTCAATATCTGATGATCAAATTGAGGAGGTATTGCTGAACCTCTGCTTTTTTTCTCATTGAAAATTCATAAGGTTTCCCAACTTAGTGCATCCAAGGTTTCCTCTAGGGATACTCTCAACTGCGTCTTGGTATATGCATCAGCATAAAGTTTTTTATTAGTATAGTATATTTAGGTTAACGCTGCATTAGTGAAGCATTAAAAGAATGTCACAGTGTGCATTTTACAAGTTTTAACCATGTTGACCATTTTCAGGCTCAGCTACTTGCTGGGTTTGATGAAAATGCTGCTGCTCAAGACATCGATAAATCTCTCAGCATCGATGCCGAAACAAGAATTATGGAGGATGAGCTGAGGAAGATACTGGCAAACATCTTTGTTCAGAACGCGAAATTGAGAAAACAGGTGAACTCTGCAATGCTACGTGCTCTCCAGAAAGACATAAAGACCAACGAAGATGTGAATGAGGTAAATGGTGATGAGAAAGAAGTGGCATCAACAGAGACATTAAAGAGATAGGTATAACAATAGTCGCTTTGACCTGAGGATAGACTGCCATTTTTTTCTCTCTTTAATCAAAGGACTGGTCGCTTTATAATACAAAACGGTTGGTCTCTTGGAGAAGCAAATTAGTTGAAGCTGAGTGATATGTAGTCGATATATGTGTACACACATGTGGCCACCCCTTTTGACGAGTACATAAGGCAAAAAGATGTGTATTGAGTATGCTTTGTTGTATAATTGTATTGCACTATCATCTTTTGCATATATCTTGTGTTCTGAACTCAGTTGTTGCTAGTATTCGCAACTTTGATTAGGCAAACAAAGTTTGAACTTTTAAGTATTTAGGGTATATGAATGTATTCGTCATCGTCAATCATCATCCATGCCTCTTGAAGGTTTGAGAGAGAATGTAAGTCATTATTGACAGAAGGCATCTCCTACTAACGTTAATTCAGAAATTTAATTTACATAATTAAAACGGAAACTGGTAGAAAAATATTAAATGCTGAAAAACATTCATCATCGTTGGACAGAGATGAAGAAGTTAATGAACTTCCTTAAGCGCTCATAGCTCAGTAAGTCTGTGCGTGAATCCAGCTCGTTCTCTAATTTCTTCAATAAGCTTAACTAGTTGATAAAGTTACAAACAGCCAACGGGAAATAATGACAATTTTCAAATTATTGAAATAGTTAGGTGTATTGTCACAAAAATAAAGAAGTTAGGTGTAATGACAAATTTAATAAAAGTTTCTAATTTGATACTATAGATGCATCATTGCTCGTGCCTTACAGTTTATGCATAACAAGACTTATTAATGTGTTTTAAAAACATTTTTCTTAATTGTCCCCTGAAGTGTGTGCATATAAATACTGTTCTCCTTGTGGCAGAGCAAAGTATCCATCACAGAGGTCTCTGAGTGTTTTAAAATCAAGCGCCTTACTCCAATGGCTTCAATAAGTCTACTCCAAGTTTCTGTAGCCATCCTTGGCTTTCTCACCCTCCATTACTTTCTCTTCAAGAAACCTCACGGCCGGTTCCGAAGAAACTGGCCGGTCCTCCGGATGCTCCCTGCTCTGCACATGGCACTTCACCGAATCTATGACTACAGTGTTAAGATTCTCGAAATTTCTAACATGACGTTTCCATTCAAAGGACCGCGGTTTGCTGGAATGGATATGCTGATCACGGTTGATCCAGCAAACATTCATCATATCATGACCTCAAATTTCTCAAATTACATCAAAGGACCGGCGTTCCAAGATGTTTTTGATGTTTTCGGAGACGGGATCATCACCACGGACTCGGAGCTATGGAAGAATTTGAGGAAGTCTTATCAAGCCATGATCCATCGTCAAGAGTTTCAAAGGTTTTCAATGAGTACCATGACACGTAAACTCAAGGACGGGATTGTTCCCCTTCTTGATCATTTTGCAGAGAAAGGAACGAGTGTGGACTTGCAAGACGTGTTCGGCAGGTTCACTTTCGATACAATCTTAATCCTTATAACCGGTTATGACCCTAGATCTCTCTCCATTGAAATGCCTGAAGACGAATTAGCTAAAGCTCTCGACGATGTTGGAGAAGGGATTTTGTATAGGCATGTCAAACCAAGATTCTTGTGGAAGCTGCAAAACTGGGTGGGATTCGGAGAAGAGAAGAAGATGACTAGAGCTAATGCAACTTTTGACCGTGTGTGTGCGAAATACATATCAGCCAAGAGAGAAGAGATAAAAAGATCACAAGTGGTCACTGATATTTCCGTTGCGGAGAGTGGGGACCTTTTAACTTCCTTCATAAAGCTAAATACAACCAAGTACAAGCTCTTGAATCCGAGTGACGACAAATTCCTCAGAGACACCATCTTAACTCTCATTCTAGCCGGAAGAGACACAACAGCCTCCGCTCTCTCTTGGTTCTTCTGGCTTCTCTCTGAAAATCCAAAAGTGGTAGCCAAGATTCGCCAAGAGGCCATCAACACGGATATATCAAGAACCGGAAATGGCCAAGAGCATTTGGACAAGTTGGTGTATTTACATGGGGCGTTGTGTGAGGCAGTGAGACTCTATCCACCAGTTTGCTTCGGGCGCAAGTCTCCTATCAAATCAGATGTGCTACCAAGTGGTCATAAAGTCGATGCAAACTCCAAGATTATTATCTGTCTTTATGCATTGGGGAGGATGCGAGCGGTTTGGGGAGAAGACGCATTGCAATTCAAGCCAGAGAGATGGATTACTGAGAATGGAGGCATAAAACATGAACCTTCCTTCAAGTTCTTATCGTTTAACGCTGGTCCAAGAACTTGTCTAGGTAAGCATATAGCTATGGCTCAAATGAAGATAGTGGCAGTGGAGATATTACAAAACTATGACATTAAGGTTGTCCAAGGGCAGAAGATTGAGCCAGCTCTTGGTATTATATTGTCGATGAAGCACGGACTCAGAATCACAGTTACTAAGAGATGTTAAGCTTATTTTATTGACGTATTAATCAAATCATCATGTTCAGTTTGTACCAAATCTAACGCAGAATTAATCATGGTAGAAAATTTATCATGTTAATGATTTGACGAATTGAATCATGATGTGTTGATTGTGTTCTGTTACTGCATCGGTACGAAGTGCATTTACCTTATTTTCACTTTTTTGGATTTTACCAACAACAATTATGAGCCAACAAGATAGAAACAACAATCGAATGAGAGAAAGATCAAAGATGGCAACGATCAAAATCCGACCTTTGGGTGGGTTGGTTGTTCCTGCGGCCTGAGATTCACAAATCCCTAACATAGATTCCGTTTATGTCCCAAAAATAAAATAAAAATTAAAAGGAAGTTGGGTTTTGTCCTAAATCAATGCAAACAAATAAAATACTTTTGCGACCAAAACTAAAGGAGATTGCAGAGGGACTAGTGTTGTTTCAGGGGATCGCATCATCTTCAACCCAAGGAAGAAATTTTAACAGGGAATTAGGTTTTTTTTATTTATATTGGAGATGGATGCCAAAGCTGCTTCTGTCTTGCCATCAAGCCTCATAGATCAGATTGTCGTACGTATTTCCATCTGCCCACTACAATAAATATTACCCTTTTTTTTTTTTTAATGGTTCGATTTGGTTACAGTGAAACATGGGTTGTGTTTTTCATTGGTTTCAGGTTCCAGGTGATGTTGTTCTTGATTTGTCAAACAGACAATCAAGCTCGGCAGTGGCCTCCGTCAGGTTTCTTCTTCTCTTTTCCTTCTTGTCTTTGTTTGCATCTAATCAAAATTATTCCAGTGGGCACTTGATTTGTGATTTGAGTTGCAACGCAAAAGGGATTAGAGTATTTTTTTGAAATGTGTTGTTTGTTTTGGCTTCTTTTTTCAGGATAGTGATGCTATCTCTGCCATGAGAGCTGGCAAATTAAGTTACTCCAAGCCTAATAAGTATTGGGTCGAAAGTTCTCATAAACGGGTGAGCTCAGTGTGTTTACTACCACATTTCATTATCATATGAATCAATCTTGCCTTTCTAGTTTTGCATCTTTATTCTGCTTGTTGTGGATTATTCGTCTGTGTCGTCTGCTCAGATTCTTCTACCATATTAGTTTCGAGAACTCTCGCACGATTCTAATTTGTTGATTTATCTGTTAACTCTCAATTCCGAGTTGCTGTTAACTCCGCTATTATGGTTTTTGCAGTACATACCTCGCCCTGAGGATCATGTTCTTGGAATTGTGGTAGATTCTAAACCAGATGTAAGTTCTTTGAGATCTTGGTTGTATTTCTTTATACCCTTTTAAGATTGGTCATCCCTGAAGGCATTTTATTATAGTTAGTTGTCAAACACATAATCTCAATTTCTGTGACTTCAATTCTCATGTCTCTGACTGAAAAAAACAATAAGTTGGAAACTTGTTTATTGAGTGGTCTTGGATCAGTAGATAACTAGGCGTGAGTATTGATTTTAGGGTCTAATATCAGTAGAAAACTGACAAACGAAAGTTGATTGACTTTTAAATTCTCAGCTGCAGTTTAAGTTAGCTTGGCGTATTCACTTTGGTTAGTATTGAAGTGTTTCTTTTACTAATCATGGCATTGCAGAATTTTTGGGTGGACATAAAAGGACCCCAATTAGCGCTTTTGCCAGTTCTTTCATTCGAAGGAGGAACACGAAGAAATATTCCCAAGTTTGAGGCAAGTACATTCTGATGAATCAGGAAGCTATCTTGATTCTCATTTGGAATATGACATTCTCTATGAATTGCTTGTTTCCGGATTTTTCAAATATTTGTGAACTAAACAGGTCGGCACTTTGCTTTATCTTCGGGTTGTCAAGACAAATACAGGAATGAATCCCGAGGTGTGTTGTACAGACGGTAAGTTTAAAGCTTTGGAGGCTTAACAATGCTGTTTTTCCTTGCGTACTCTAAATGCTTTCAAAACTGATTGTCTCTGGTTTCTATGTATTAGCAAGTGGGAAAGCTGCATTATTTGGACCCTTGAGAGATGGTTTCATGTTTGAAACTTCAACTGGTCTTTCAAGAATGTGTGGAGATATTTCCTCTTAAAACTGTGTCTCTAATACTTTATCTATCTTCTTTTGACTTTTAAAATTTACTTTCTCATCTCTTGTAGGCTGTTGAGTTCACCAACGTGCCCGGTCCTCGAGGCTCTTGGAAAGAAACTCTCATTCGAGATAGCTGTGGGCTTAAATGGCCGAGTTTGGGTAAATGCAGTTGATCCACGTACAGTCATTATCGTGGCCAATGCAATGATGAACTCAGAATTTCTAAGTGGGACTCAGCAGAGAATCATGGTTGAAAAATTGCTCGCTAAAATTTCAGACTAATACGTTATTATATCTTGAAATGTAGTTGAACCTTAATGATGCTCTTTAGCAAGTGATTTCTATTTAATGACAAAAAAAAGCAAGTGATTTCTATTCATTCAAATATAATTTTATACGATGACAAAAAATATATATATATATATATATATATATATATATATATATAATTTTATACAGTAAAAGTTTTAGTCTAAATAAAAATACATCTGCCACTTGACGAATGCTTAATTTGTATACAACAGTGAGAGCCAATAAACTATTGGGGCAAAGTGGTCTAAAAGTTGAAGCAATGATACATTACATTGTTAAAGAGAGGGAGGCTCGTATCTGCATACACAATCATATATGTTTCCTTTTATCAACTTCTCAGCCAATCTCTGGTTTTTCACCATTGCAAGCTGCCAAAATGGAAGAGAGAGGTTTCAGTCAAAAGTTTTAATACCAGTTCTAGAGTTGGAATTTTCTGTCAAGTGAGGTTAGAAAACCTTGAGAGCCTCGCATTTGAATTGAGCGTTGAAGTTGGTGTGAAGTGCTCTTCCCATACCTTCTAAGATAACCTGCAACATCATTAAACATCAAAAAATGAACAAAGCTTCTCTCTTTTTGTGTATTTTAATGTTTGTCAGGTAAAAACAGAGAAATTTTGTAGATACAAGATCAGCGTCTTTGGCAGCGGCTGCAAGCTCAGAGCTGACTTGTCTGAGGTCAATGCAAGGACTTCCACATCCATTTTCAACAACCATCAATGGTACTGAAACTGAATCCTTCTTTGACCCATCTCCCGGATTTACCATCGCATCCACAAGTAAGCCTCCCATTTCTGCTGCCCTCCTCAAGATGTCACAATGCTTAAAGAGTAATGACCAGACAAAGAGTTATTTACCTGGAAAAAAATAATAACCACTATATAGAATCAAAAGTTAAACTGAAAAAACCTTAGCAGCCCCGGCGACTATATCAGGGAGTTCCATAGCAGTCACGTCATTAAGAGCAGGAAGAGAGTTTGCCACTAGAACAACCTGGAGAATCATAATGACCATTTGTTTAGTGGTTCCCCAACTTATTCACAAAGAAACCGTTTTGCCTGTGCATTTAGGTTTGTGAAGAGTAGGAAGAAATTTAATTACTTATAGGAAGAGCTCAAGAAAGATACGTACTTCAGTCCCACGACGGAGAAACTCTCGGGCAAGAGGAAGCATCCCAAGAATGACGTCTGCTCCCGAGTTATCAACAAAAAGTAACGCTCTTTTATGTCGATGAGGCTGCTTACCTCCAGATCCAAGCATCCTTTCTTTGAAAGCATCAAAATCATCTACCTGGTTTTACGGATAAGAGAAGATTTCCAGGTTAAGATTAAGAGTTAGCAAACAGTAACCTCAGAGAAAGAAAAGGAAAGTGGTCTTGTTTCTTACTCTCCATGGTCTCTGCATCTTGTTGCGACTCATTCTGTATATTTCAATAATGGTTCCTTTGTGATATAGATCCACACATGCTCGAGATCCCCAGTCGAATATGTTTGCAGCAAGAACACCTTCTATAAGGGTAAGCAACCTTGCCTCCTGAAAATCAGAGAAAACATTTTAAACAGTAATGAGCGAAGTTGTCTCACGTACAGCAGTAAGACTTCTATCAGCAAATTATATACCTACAGAGAAAAGGAAGTTTAAATATCACAGACCTCGCTCATCGAATCAAGCTCCTCCAGTAAATCAGGTAAAACAGTAAGTGATGCCTCGTTCTCCCTATCATTTTCGAAGAAAGAGAGAGCATAAGAAAAACTCTAAGTAGAAGAGATATAAGACCATGATTTACCTTTGCTTGATGCTTCTATATGCATCAACAAACTGAAATTCCCTTAAGCATTCTTCCCTAAGTTCCAAGAGATTTGCTAGCCCCAGCTTTCCATATGCAGCTGGCTCTTCCATTAATCTTCAACCAAACTAAATTGTCAGAAAAAGGCAAAAGCACGAAAAACAAAAAAGATTTTTTGAAGCGTTTAACTATGAATTCTTAATTTGACTTATTCAGATCAAAGTTGCATAAGCTTGACTGGACAGAGGGGAATCTGTTGTAATGAACCAAACCTTGCCAAATGAGCTGAAAAAGCACGAGCAAAAGCATCACCACGTCTTTTCGCATCCTCAGTTCCTCCTTCACTTGCCACAGCCTATAATCATGTCCACGGAATCAAAGTAAGTACCAGGTCATGAAGGTTGAATAGAATCCCTATGTATTAACTTTAGCAGTCACCGTATCAACAAGGTCTGGCAAATGCTCGGACAAAACTTTGAGCCAGTACCTATACACCAAACAAAATAAGCAATTTAAGAAAAAGTGATTTCATCAAATAAAACCACTGTTTTAGAAGATCAGTATTGACTTATTACTCACTCTCGTTCGCCTTGATCTGAGAGATCAATTGTGTTAGGCTCATACCTGGTGTAAAAGAAATCGATTAAAACAGGTACATAAAGTCTCCAAAATCATGAACAAGCGACAAACCAGGAGATATATGTACAAGCTCAATACATTACTCAGGGACATGCCACTTACGTTTTCGGGTCAGCCAGCAATGGGAAGACCTCCAGTGTGGGGACAAGATGGAGGACACCAACATTTAAAGCACTGGCGTCGGATCTAAGAGCACTACCTCTGGATGAGGGAACTTCAAACCCTCCAAGCCCAGTTGTTTTCGACGGAGCCATCGGTACAGGAGCAGTTATTTCGGTTCCTCTACGCACAAACTTTTCCATCCACGAAATCTGATAGCAAACAGAAAAGTCCCTTTTAAACTCCAAAACTTATCCAGACCAAGACAAATCCAAAACTCAAGACACAAAACGCTTACAACTAGTTGAAGTGATATCTATTTACCATTAGCAAAAGAAAAGTTGAAATAGGGAAGAGCACCTGATTCCATCTAGTATTTGACATATATCTATCAACTAAAAAGAGAATATAACAGTGACAAAGATTTTAAAAACAATGTTTTCTTTTGTTAAGAAGTTTACAAAAAGAAATCAATAGTCTGTATGCTATATCTGATCTCTCTTAAGTTATATGATATTAACAAAGTTGGTTGCTATAGGAGAGAAATTATGATTCTTAGTCTTGCTTTCTATTATTCTTTTATGTCATGTAAATGATACCTTTGTATGAAAAAAAATAAAGAACCAGCATACTTCAAAGCGAATAATATCCATACAAGCATAAGCACATGTTTATTCTTACTGATACGAGGACAAGTTAAAATAAAGAAATATAAATTCGAATTGTACAGTACATACTTGATTTGTTAGATAACGTATGAAGTTACAAAAAAACGTATATATAACAAATACCAAAATGTATATATTTTCTATGAGAAAGCTCTAGACCAGACTCTAAAAGATATTCTAGTGACTTATCTACATGGAAAATGATCAAGTATCGATCCAATCAAATCAGTCAGCACACAACCATGGAAAGGAATAAGTAATAGTGCACTTCAATAGTATCAAAGTATCCGACCATAATATTCTGTAAATCCATGGATAATCAAACATTTGCCAAAAAAACTCCATTTTCAAGAGCAGCATATTCTATAATGATATTGCCTAAAGAATACTTTAATGGTACACAGCACACACTTTACCCAGCACAAAGTATAAACGGTATCATATTCCCGCACTTTAATATTTTGAGCAGTACCATGTCACTACAGAAAGCATTGGCTGTCAGTTTCAAAGTATCAACTAGAACAATCTGAGACTTCGGTAAAATGTAAGCTAAAATTATTACCTTTTCGTTTAAATCACCGAGTGGTGGTCCGTGAATATTTCCTCCAGTATATGGTGCACCCATTGGAAACCTCTCAACCAACTGATGGGACATTAAATCATCCAATCCATGCTTCTCATAGCTCATGAACGCACCCAGAGCACCCAGAAAGCCTTCATGCCTCAAGAACATAGCTTTCATCTCTCCTTTCGACCTAGTGTGACCAAACAATACATTGATGAGTTGAGTGATGAAAGTGGAGTGCACATATTACATCTAGGTCCAAGTTTACTAGTGAAGTTACCAGAAATGTACAGCAAACGAAATTGTGTCCATGGTATATGCATGACCCCTAATGAAAAATCCTCCAAAAAATATTCGCTTTAATCCAAAGCGCAGGGCGTTCAAATATGATATCTACACAGAAATGAACAAATCAGAAACTCAGAATATTCTCAAGCACTTTCACTGATCAAATGAAAAGTATAATTGTTCAAGAATTTTTCCTCGAATCCTTTGGACTCACAAACGCATACCTGCCCAATATTGTATGAAATCATCCTCAATAGAGACAAGGAAATATCTTCGGGTCTGTAATCATCAAGTTCCTTATTTTCAGAGATCGCCTTGCCAAAACTAGAAGCTATTGTTGAAGCAGAGAGACCAATCTGTATAATTGGTTACTGAGAATTACTAGAACAGTAGTAACAAAACATTTTTAAGTTTTAACAAAAGAGCCGTCACATCCTACAATGAATAAGATCAGATGTCGTCCGATGCAAAGTAGACTCATACCTTGGAGTAATCCATGCCCCCATAAATATCACCAACAAGCATATCAATGGTGCTATTATCTCCCTTTTGGCTGAGTTCTAGCAATTCATCAAAACTAAAAACAGAAGAAAACAACGTAAGGTATAGGAAACAACGATATAAAGAAGAAATGAAAGATCAGATCTATTGTAACCTCTTGCACTTCGTTAGAAGTCTTCCTAAGCCCCAATAGGTACCACCACCAACATTAGTCCCACTCACACGTTCAAACTTTCCTTCTCCATCAACCTATATTTTGAAAAGCCTATTGCATAATTATATAGGTCCATGCAAATTTCTGACCTCCCGACTTTTCAAGAAGACACAACACAAACAGTTTGTGAAAGAAGTAGCAAAAGTAAGCAAATACCTTGATTATGCTAACACCAGATCCAACGTTCACAAGAAGATAGGGATACAAGTCATTGGGATCTATCTGTACAAATTCTTTCTCACCCTCCATGTGCGTGAAGGCTTCATGTCGAATAGCCTGCAGAAATAGCATGAAACTAAAAACAAATTCCAAACGGACACATGTAGATCAGGAAAAAAACATATAAACTAATAGAAAATTTCAGTAGTCTTAAAAGAACTATATGTAGAGGAAAACACAGCAGGCCACACATAATGTGACCCTGTCTTCACGTTTCTGCTTTGCAAGTGCTAGTAATAAAGGCATAACTACATATGAAGACACAACGTAAAAGGAATGCTGAAAGGTCTTACTTTGAGCAAAAAATTTGCTCCAGAAACAAGGCAATGCATTTCATCTTCTTTATCAATGCTAACGCCCAGCCGTTCCTTGAACAAGTCTGCAAATTTATAGGCTCCGCCACCAGTGACCTGCAAGATATGCATACGCCTAACTCATGTGTTTAAAAAAGTAATCATCAACTAATCAAGGCTAAACCAGCGAGACATATGAAGACATAAGATAACGCCTCACGGTGAGGCCCTCACCTAAAAAAAAAATCATGAACGTCTTAAAATAATTTTTGGTACATCAAATGACAGAACGAGCTAATTATATCCAAAAGGAGCCACAAAAGGTGATAAAGATAAAAACAACCAAGTCATCAAAATGTCATTACCTTGATAACACCAGTCCCCAAAGGCAAGGTCTTCGAACTCCAAGGATAAGGATCTAATCATTGATGTAAAAGGAGAATTGGTTGAAAACAAAATGGAGAAGAAGACGAATTAAGCAGTCAATCACCAGTGACCATTTAGACATGGCAGAGTAGTTTGAGCCTACTTAATTACATAAAATCTCCAGTCTACTCACAGAAATTAGGGAAGTCAAAATCTGACAAAAGCACATCAACTTAGCATAATCATTATGTAAGCACATCATTCTAGCGTTCATTAGAAGAGTTTCTAGACATTGAGTGTGAGGTAAAAAAATGACCAATACCTCGGCGATGAAGCTGCTTGGAATGAATAAAATCCAAGCACTCGTTTATTTTGTGAGTTTCAAACTTGACAAAATGAAGTCTCCCACCAAGAACAGGATAGCTTCTCAAGTTGCCATTAGTTATACCCAACCTCTCCTTGATGGTCCTCTTCCGCTTATCATCATCATTAGAGTAGTCCTCATGCCGTGAAAAGTACAGCAACTTTATCAAAGATCCTAACAAATAAACATTTACATTTCTCAAACACAGCACTTGAAAAAAGCATGGAAATTTATCCCAAAAATAAAGATGTTCAAAGCCACCAAAATACTAGAGAAATGAAACAAAGGTGAAAAGAGAGATATGAACCTCCGATATCAAGAGCCAAGTGAGAGATATCATCAGACTGATTAGGCAACAAAATGGTGGGATCCCTCTCCTCGAGATTGCCCTGAATCTCAGCTTTGCTAAGATCAAGCTGAGGCCTAGAGCCTGATCTGTGGATTGAAGTCCCTGAAGCAGAAGGAGCCATATCTTTCTCACCAACACCAACACAAACCTGAGAAGATTTTGCTTCAGCTTCTTTTTTATCCTCGAGAATTATTGGATCATGCTCATCTCCTGGAGGACCCGCCATTTTTATTAAAATTGAAAAAAAGAGAGAAAAAAAAACACCAACCCAGAAAGATCGGATCACCAACAACTTCCTAATTCTCAAACACCACAACAAAAAAACCCTTCTTCTTCCTGTTTCGATTTCCCAAACCAAAATAAAAAAAGGACACGAACTGATAAGAAGACTTTGTTTAGTTTAATGAAGTAACACCTGTTTGAGATTTTGGTAATAGAATCGATCGATAAAGCTGTGGCTGAAGCGGACCTACCTACCTCAACAAAATCCTCACTTTAACATTAACGTCTTTAATTATTGAGGTATTGTGATTAACTAATCAGTAATTAACTACCACACAAAATTTGTTTTGTTTATCAGTTTGTAAGTGGGGATTAGGTTTTGTGTTTGACAAATAATAATTGACTTAAACTCGAACTTTCACTTGCGACTTATGCTACTACGAAGATATCTTAATTATGTTACTACGAATGGGTTTATTTAGATCAATCTGTTAGAATTATGTTTTATGATTGCCAAAGTTTAAGATAATCTCATTCACCACCTAAATAACGATGTCCTTATGTTTTTGCGGACTGAGTTAGATAATGTTGAAAAAACTTGGTTGATGGATTTGGTTGTTGTTATCTTAGTGGGTCTATTGGGCCTGAGTGAGTGCCATGTTAGTCGACGAGAATATGACCTCTTTTTTAAGTAGTGGCAAATTCATTCATTCATACATACTAGAAAAGCATATCCACGTCATTAAAAATCCCTATCCATTATTGACAAATAGATCCCTTGGCCGTGTATTTGGACATGCCGACATGCATCTTGTTAAATAAGGGCAAAAACGTCTTTGGCTTTCAATTGCGATCGCAACTCGCAAATCAACGCGAGCCTCTATTTTTTTAGTTTCGTCTCCTCCTTGACTCATTCCTTAAAAAACTCGACAAGTAGAAATACGAAACAAAATAATTAATTTCAATTTATAATATCCACTCCCTCTCTCTCTCTCTCTCTTCCCCCATAGATTATTCTTCTTCTTCTCCTCTTCTTCCTTCGATTTGGGTTTGCTCTCGTTAATAAGCTTTCCCCAAACGCCACTTGTTCTGTGTTGGAGGCTTTGTAATGGGGATTGTATAATATGCTCTCAGGATGAGTTTCTCTCAGTCTCAGGCCATTCGCCTCAATCTTGCTTCCTACTCCTCTCTCTCTCCCTCCGAGGTTTGCTTACTCTTTATATTCATATTTGTGTCGCTGCTGATTCACAAGACTTTACTTCTCATCACTTTGTGAAACTTTGTTTTTTTTTCTTTTTCAAATCTCTGGTTTTTCTAGATTTTTTGCTGGCTTTGTTTCTTGGGTTTTGTTCCCATCTGATTGTTCCTTCAAATGATCGTTAGCTTAAATATTGCAAATTTCAAGACTGTTCCATTTGCTCTCTCTCTCTCTCTCTCTTGGGAGAGACACCCTTGTATGTCAAATGATCAAGTTATTTTTTTGTTTTTTCTCTCAAAAGAAATGATCGAAGTTGATTTTTGATGTCGGCTGTATTGATTTTCTTATGCAGTATTGGTTGACGAGAGTAAACCAGAAGCAGAAGAGTCTTGTCGCGTTCCCGAGCAGTACAATTGGAAAGAGACATGCTTTACTGAGTGTTCAATCAGTCCTGAACAATACAAGACCTAACATCAGCGATAATGGAACAGCTGACTCTGCAAATGCTCTTGTCGAGAAATTATTCGCTCGGACACAGAGATTGGGGAGACAAACCAATCAACACTCGGTTTATCCTGACGATGATCTGAACTATTCAAACCTTGGAGTGCTCGAGCCTGACCTCGAGGCTGCTCTAGTGGCCTTGTTGAGAAGGGAAGAGGACTTACATGATGCTGAGAGGAAGCTTCTCTCTGAGAAAAAGAAGCTTAACCAGGCAAAGGAGGAGTTAGAAAAACGTGAGAAAATAATCGGCGAAGCTTCTTTGAAACATGAAAGTCTACAAGAGGAGCTGAAGCGGGCAAATGCAGAGATAGCTTTACAAGCCAGAGAGATAGAAGAATTAAAGCATAAGCTTAGGGAAAGGGACGAGGAACGTGTTGCTATGCAATCGTCCTTGACTTTGAAAGAAAGAGAACTAGATCAAATGCGTGAAGAGATTGCAATCAGAAGCAAGGAGGTTTCTGTGGCTATTTCTGAATTTGAAAGCAAGTCACAACTCTTAAGCAAAGCCAACGAAGTTGTCAAGAGACAAGAAGGTGAAATACATGCACTTAAGAGAGCCCTAGAGGAGCGGGAAGAAGAACTAGAGATTTCTAAGGCTGCGAAGAAACTTGAACAAGAAAAGCTCAGCGAAACAGAAGCCAACCTGAAAATGCAGACAGAAGAGTGGCTGATTGCCCAGGATGAAGTGAATAAGCTTAAGGAGGAAACCATGAAACGCTTAGGAGAAGCCAATGAAACCATGGAGGACTTCAAGAGAGTGAAAAAGCTTCTGACTGATGTGAGATTCGAGCTTGTTTCTTCTCGGGAAGCTTTGGTATCTTCCAAGGAGAAATGGGAAGAAAAGGAGCTACTATTAGAAAAACAAGTGTATGAGCTCGAGGAACAGAGGAAAAGTGTGTTGTCATATATGCAAAGCTTGAGGGATGCTCACACTGAAGTAGAAAGTGAGAGAGTAAAGCTCAGAGTTGCTGAGGCTAAGAACTTTGCACTTGAGCGGGAATTATCAGTCCACAAAGAACTGCTGGAGGAATTACGAGAAGAGTTGCAGAAAGAGAAACCATTGCTGGAGCAAGCTATGAATGATATATCCGTTATTCAAGATGAGCTTCAGAAAAAAGCTAACGCGTTTCAGGTATCACAGAATCTACTTCAGGAGAAAGAGTCAAGCTTGGTAGAGGCCAAACTAGAGATTCAGCATTTGAAGTCTGAACAGGCTTCTCTAGAACTATTACTGCAGGAAAAGGATGAAGAACTCACAGAAGCTAGAAATAAATTGGAAGAGGTGAACCGGGAGGTAACACAGCTAAAGGCGCTTATGACCAGTAGAGAAGATCAGCTTATGCAGGCAACTGCAATGCTGAAGGAGAAAGATGTCTACCTTCACAGAGTAGAAGATGAGTTGGGCAGTTCCAAGCTGAAGGTCTCGGAAGCTGAAATGGTGGTGGAAAGAATTGCAGAATTGACGAGTCGACTGCTTCTGTCAACCACTAATGGTCAAAATCAGAACACAGTGAGGATTAACAATGAGATTAGTTTTGGCTCGATTCAGCAACCACTAGATAATGATTACGGAATGGAGAACAAACGGCTAGTGATGGAGTTAAACTTCACCAGAGAAAGTCTACGGATGAAAGAAATGGAAGTTCTAGCTGTGCAAAGGGCTTTGACATTCAAAGATGAGGAGATCGACGTGGTCAAGGGCAGATTAGAAGCCAAGGAGCGGGAACTCAAGAAATTGAAAGAAGAAACGACTAATGACAGTGAAGAGTTGAAAATGCTATATGCCTTGGCACAAGAGAGAATCGGAGAGAAAACAATGGGTGATCTGGCCATAGAGAAACTTCAGCTTGAGGCAGCTCAACTTGAAGTTGAAGCTGCGACCAGTGCTTTACAGAAGCTTGCAGAAATGAGCACAGAACTTTTGACTCAAGCTGACATGAGCATTGAGGCGGAGCCAACTTTCATTGTTACGCCAGCAAACAGGTTTCAACAGGAAATATATTCAGAAGAAAGTAATGACTGTCTTGCTGAGGTAAAAGCAGAAGTTGGCAAGCTCTGGTCCTTAACAGAGAAACTCCTGGAGAATGCAGGAATCGTCGCTGGTACATCCACAGGCATGTAAGGTGTGACATAGTGAAGCTTGATTTTGCAGATTAACTTCATAAGCGTGATCTGTATGATTCTTTTGTGGATATGTAGAATTACCTGAGGTTAAATATATCGTCACTACTTGTCACTTGTCACTAAGCGTTCTAAAAACTGAGATTGTTCAACATACAAGGTTTGTAACATCAGTTCTTGAAAAGGTTAGATTTGTAACAAAAGATTTGTACCCTCTTTGTTCTCGTTAACAGAATAGAACTTTTGTGACGCCCAATAGAATTGTTGCTATGGTTATAATAACGTATACAAAGTCGGACCTGACCAGTAATATGCAAGGAACACTTCATAAAACAAGTCTTAAAACAAGTCTTAGTCCCATCAAATATAATAAAAGAAAGTCTTTTGCTACGTTCAAATAGGAAAAAAATGTTATTATGTACACGTACTATTTGTGAAACCATGTATCCAGGACTAGAACAGTGCGATATTTAGACCAGACCAAACCAGGTTGGACACAAACCTAAGCAAACACAAGCCATTTAGATTTGCCAGACTTCTGACTATCCCGAATCTGACATTCACCTTGTCCACTCGAGCCATCACGTTGCTTCCCATCCTTTGACCTCCCTATTTTCTTCCCAACAAAGAACCCTAACTTCATTGCTGTCAATAGACCCATAGCAATCAATAAAGGTCTCACAGCCCAATGAAAATCCTCCAGATGTTGATATTTTTTCACAACTCCTTGACATGTATTAAAATTCACAATCTCTACTTCAGCCGGATCTGCAAGACAGCTTCCGTGTTCCTCTCCAAAAGGTAACACTCCAGGGAAGTCCACCTCGAGGCAACCGTTGGGTAAAACCTGAGAGATCCTGCCAGTTGCCCATATCCCTCTATTTTTTCGCATCCATTTGAATCTCGGGATGACAACATTGGCTTTGAGCTTCACAAATTGACCCACACTGTATGCTTTAGCCATCTGAAGCTGCGATGAGGTCCCTTTCCAGAGAGTTGGCAACCCAATAAACCCAACAGCTACTTTTCCCTCACGGTCAATTGAATGGAGAACACCAACCGGAGAGTGCCTCTTGTTTCCTCCGTTCTTCAGACGCACCCAATCTCCAGAAGCTAATCCGTTGGTTTCCCGTTCAAGAACAGATACATGAACCCTTACTGGATCATGAACACCATGGACTTTAACTAGCGCAAATCCATCTGGGTCAGTGGTGTCACATTCTAAACCAACCATCATTCCTTCTGGCACATCCATGTTCTCATGCTTACATGAATTGGCAGGCTTTCTTGAACGCACCCTGTCGCCCACTTGCAGTTGATCCTTTGAAAGAAACCATTCTGTATAACCAAGAGTAACCGAGCTCTTCCTGATTTCTCTACTATCAATGCCTCTCCAGATCTCTTCCTCCTCTGAGTTCTGCAAGCTGCAAAATCAGTTCCACTTAATATGACAATTCAAGGTAGGGAAAAGTGCCAACTAATATGTGCATCAACAGTAACGAAATTTAATGCCAGAAATATTTTAGAAAATAAGACCGACACTGAAGAAGTTGGTCATTACTTTCCGAGAACTTATAATTTTTCGGAAGGTACTATGACCATATATAGTGATAAAATAAACACTTTTTCATTAATCTCGTTTATACTGAATATAGAATGATAAACATGCATAAGTTACCTCTTGAAGACGTGTAAGATGTCCGTCATTGAAGGTCGGCTTCGAAGATCATACATAAAGCAACCCCGAAGTAGGTTCTCCAGAGGAGGCGGTATGCCACTGGGAATTTTAAGCTTTTCTTGCTTTCTCACCACTAAATCATATATTTCATCAGCAGATCTCCCAGACCAAGGGTGTACACCAGTCAGCATTTCTACAATGCTGCATCCAAATCCCCAAGAATCAGTCTCAAAGGACATGGGACCTCTTACTTCAGGTTGCCACTGTTCTGGAGCCATATAGTTTGGAGTTCCAAGTCTCACAGTCATATCAGAACTTGGCAAAGGGATAGTAAGAAGGAGATAAGGGATCCCAACATCCCCAAGGATGGCCTTGTCATTATCACTGATAAGAAAGTTAGACGGCTTAAGATTGAGAATCAGAAACCCTTTTGAGTGTAACTCCAGGATCCCTGTAACCAGATCAACCCCGTATCTGTAAACCGTGGTTCAACATAGATGTGAGGAAGTTAGTATTATAAATCAAAATATAAAGAAGATGCTACTACAGTGAGCTGCTTGTGTAATGCAAAATTACCTCAATACATCAGGCAGTAAAAGCTTTCCTCCTTTAAGCCGAGCCATCTTGTCACCAAGAGAGCCCTCGTAGAATTTCATGATGATGCATAACTACAGGATACAAATCATCTGTTAAACAAATACTGAAGATATGGGAGAAATTAGAGAAACACAAATGTTTGTTTAAATTACCTTTCCACTGATACTAGAGACTCCTCGGAGGAGACAGACATTCTCTAATCCTTGACACTTGGAGAACAGATCTTCAAACTTATCAACCACAACCCTTTTTTGATCCTCCTTGATAGGATGAAGCATTTTGATGGCGACTTCATGATGCTCATCATAGTCATGAGTTGACTGATGATGAGTAGCCAGCCAAACATCACCGAAGGGACCTCTTCCAATTCGATGCCGGAGCTTCAACGTAGAAGAATTCATCCAAGGGCTTGTCCCGGCTGCTAAAGCGCTCTCAGACTCACCTTCAATGATTTCATACTCAGAATCATCCGGTTTGCCAGCAATAATCTTCGAAGCCATTTATCTTTGCCTGAACCAGCAAACATAGTTACACCAGTTAGGACATGACATAAATGCAACAACAAAAAGCAAATGATTTAAGCAACTAAGCAAGAATCAGATCACATAAGTCAGGAATTGATCCACAGAGGGAAGAAAAGTTATAAAAGGAGCAACCTTTTGTTAACTATTCGTACAAGCATATAGAGAGGTAGCCAGAAACGTGAAACTATAAATCATGGAAATAAGAATATATGCAAAAGAAGAGAAAATTCAGAGAAATTAGAGACGTGTACGAATCTCTAATTTGAGAATAGGTAAGCGATACATTCACACAAGGCAAAGAGACAGTATCGTGGAGAAGTTGAAGAACAAGCGACAGTAACCAAATACAATGAAGAGTCAATTACTGCAAGATAGAATCAATCATGAGTAAATTATAGTTAACCACCCAGTGCTTCGTTTATTTCTCTAAATCAGAAGTGAACAACAACAACAAAAAGTCAGATTTCATACATCGAAATTTCTAAGCGAAGATATCAAAACTAAAATTGAACTAGAGCAAACCAATGGAAACCAGAAAAAAAAATATATATATAAATAAATCACAGCTAGCGAAGCAAAAAAGCAAGGGAAAGGAGAGAAACGGACAATGAGGGAGAGAAAAAAGAGCAATTTCGACGGATTAAGAAGGAGAAAGCTTTGAAAAATCCCTAACAGCAGTGAAGATTATATGACAAAACTCCAAAGTCCTGATGATAGAGAAACAACAAAAGAAGTAAGAAACGAGCATCGGAAAGTGAAACAAGTAACTTGAGAAGCTGAAAAAGACAGAGAAGAGAGAGAGAACCGTGAGCAGAAGCAGAAGGCGTGGAGGCCCCGTAAGTTGCTTGCTCTGTATAAATCAAACACCGTACCGGTTTCTTAAATAGTTAATACCTCTGCTACAAGCCCTTTTCATTTTTTTGTTCAACTGGCCCAATTCACTTTTTATTCTTTCTCTTCATTACGATTTTGACTTTCTTAATAACAAGGGCACACGAGACGAGATTATCAAACTTGATAATTTTTCCAATGGTAGTATGTAATTTCTTTTCCATAAAATCTGTAGCTTGATCATATATATAAGTGAACCATCTATAATAAATAAATAAATAGTGTTTGATTCAAGGTTGGGCTTTGTTATTGAACATGAGGCCCGTTATGGAAGAGCCCACTTTGTTATTTTAAGTGAATCCTGTCCGGCAGAGGTAGATGGTGTTCTAGCTCTGAAATCTCAACTTGTCTTACACATAAACGAACTCCTGCGTGCCATTCACCTTTTTTTTTTGCTCAATCGATGGAAATGTAGTGACGACGGTAAAGACACAGATGAAGATTTTATACGCAACAACTGATCCCTAATATGTAACATACTTACTTGTGTAGTTAAAACGAAAGAGGAGAGCTAAATTATACTTATAAACTTACAAATAAAAATGCTTCATCTTGAACGGCGAACAATCCAAGACACAGAGAGAAGAAGACGAAAGAGAGATTTACAGTAATTTTCTTGTAAATAAGTTTTGAGAGAGAAAGAAAGAGGCAGAGAGAGAGAGGATTACAAAGTCAACAAAAAAAGGGTTTATTTATTTAATTTTAAGAAGGAAGAACCTTCTTGACAATGTCTTCGCTGAGAGCAGCAATCTGAGAATCCAAAGCTTTAATGGTTTCTTCCTTCTGCTTCTCCAAGCTCGCCAATGCTTCTTGTAGCTCCTCTTCCACCTTCTTCCTTCCTTCCGCTAGCTTCTCTTCAACCTCAACCTGCAACATTCAAACACACACCCAATCGAATCCATTTCCGGTTTCTTCAATCTGAGATGCATACGGAGTGCATTGTTGCTCATGTTCATACCTGAGTCTCCTTCTTCATCTTGTTAAGAGCGGCGGCGATCTCGGCTCTAGCAGCTCTCATCACAGCGGCTGCTTTCTCGTCGAGCTCCTTCACCTCAGTCGAAGTGTCCTTAACACTCGCGAGCTTCTCTTTAATGGAAGCGTCCCTCTGGTCCATGAAGTTACCGAGCGGAGAGTAATAGACCTTGTCGAGAGCGAACATCAGGAAGAGGAACTCAACGACGATGATCGGAAGCGTGAGATTGAAATCGAAGAGCTGAGCCTTCTCCATCGCCTCCGCCATCGAGGGAGGAGCGAAAGCGGCGATTAGAGCTAGGGATTTGGCGGTGGCGGAAGAGAGTGATAGAGCTTTGCTACGGAGGTCGGAGGAGGAAGCGAGGGATTTCGGAATTTGGGGGAGTTTGGCGAATTTGGGAATCTGGACTCGGCTTGGTTGCTGGTTGGAGGAGAGGGAGATTAAGGGTTTGGAGGATGCCATAATGGAATTAGCAGCCATGGCCACACACACAGACACAGAGCTTCAAGAGATGAGAATGCTCAAAGTGATCTCTTTGGAGACGAAGGGAGAGAGAGAAGAGAGAAGAGAAGAGATTTGCTTACGAATGTTATCTCTTCTCTTCGCCACACAAATAAGCAGAGGCTGTGGTGGTCTGATTTAATTGAAAGGAGCGCAAAATAAAATAGCAATATTAATATGTTAAGAAACGATGCGTTTTGGCCTCTGACGCAAACGCGATTGTTTCAATTGTGAAAGAATATACACTAGCAGAGTACAAACAAACGCAAACACATATAATCAATGCATTATTGTTTTTGGCACACACACAACACCCAAGTTGGTATATAAACGTTGAAGATTAGGAAATCAAAATCTCTACAAGAATCAAATGAGGAAAGTTTCATGGGAGCAGATTCTTTTTCTTTTATGTTTCCGAGATGAGTTTTTTTCTGTTCCACACATCCTTCTCCGAGTAACACTTGAAACGAAACCTTGCGATGAGGTTATTAAAAACTCTACTTGCGGTCATGTTTCTGTGTTTACTACCTCGTTGACTTGGGGTCGACTTGTGAGATAGCCAACCTCCTAATACAGTCGCTACAAAGCTTGGTTGGTGGATCCGAGGGATGGAATCAACACCATCTTCTTGACCTTCCCTCACCTTAGTTTTCCGGGTTTCGGGTTTAGTTGAGAACCTGATTGGTCCAAAAACATGTATCACCCACGGAGATTCCGGGTAATGAAATGCAACAAACAAACATTTAGCACCAAAGATCCTTACAGTTTGAGTTGTTTCAAAGAAGAAACACGTGGTGTCTTGCTCTTCTGCTTCACCATCAACATGCAGTAGTTTGAGATATGGCGGATGAATCGAAGCTGAATGATGGCGGATAAAAACCCATTAGACCATTACAACAAAGCGCAATCTAGTCGAAACTAAACGTAACTATAACAATCTACATCATCCAGTTTAGAGTATCTAGCATAGTTATACCAGCTCTATTCTACGACATCAAATGTAAAGATGAAACAACATCATAAGCATAAACTGATCGGCTCATTCCAGAGATAAAGACTAGGAACCTGATCTCCGTCTTTGATGCCGAATTCAATGAGGTACTCAGCCTCGTTAATTAATCTTTTATCTTCATAACATAAGCAGAATTGTCCCCAAACATGCGGCCTTGATATCACAGGGTAAGGAAGAGTAGGATCATCAAGAATCATTTAGCAGTTGCTTATTATTCTCATATAGACACAAATTTGGAATCTTTAACATTCTAAACTCAAATCAAGAATCAAAATGGTACCATGAGATCTTGCCAGGGCCTGTGATGGGCAAGTGAGAAAACGCAGCTTCTACAGCCATCTTGAGCTCCCCTACTGTGGCTGTTTTCAACACTTGAATACCTTACAAATCGAAACTACACTTCAGATGAATTGTATACTTAAACCACAAATATAAAATTTTCACGGCTACATCAGAAAAATCAACAAAGGAGAACTTAAAAATACGTTGTAATAAACTAAAAACGACAACTTTAATAGTAAAAGTTAATCTTAAAAAAACAAGCTGGAGATGAGAGTATTGTACCAAAGGAAGATCCATCAAGTTTGAGAACGGTGAGTTTGATGGGCTCTTCAGGCATTTGATTATAATTGAAACTCCTCCGACGCGGGAGTCCATCTATCAGCCGGAGAGGCGAGAGAGACGCAGCAAAAGAGCGGCGTGGAACGTCCATAGATTTAGAAAATTTTGAATTTTTTTTCGGGCTAAGACATCTATTTCCAAGTTGTTGGCGCCAGGGTTGGAGAAATCAGAACTGTAGTTGGGTCCGAGTGAAAGATTGATACCATGGGTAGAGGATGAGGAAGAGGAAAGATACTTTGAAGGGAATCATGGTTAAGGGATCTCTGCTTTTTCCAAGCCTCCTTTTTACCGGCGAGAATGTTTTGCTTTTGAAGATTGCAACATCAAAATAACAATATCGAATATATAGTATAAATCACAGAACATAGCAAGAAGCACCCATGGCCTAATGGATAAGGCGCTTGACTTCTAATCAAGCGATTGTGGGTTCGAGTCCCACTGGGTGTGTAGTTTTGTTTTTTCTCATATGCTTTTCTAACCGTCCCAGTAAAGTATTTTAGTTCCGACCAAACTCTTCCGTTCGTTTACCGTTAATTTTTGGCGCAGAATCCTTGCAAATATCACTGTTATTATTGAACTTTTTCCATATTGGCGAAAAGCGAGCCACCATGTTCTAATATGTATATGTACATAGAAAAGAAGCAGTAGTTTAATCTGAGTATATATATAACCCCAAAAGTACAAAAATCAGTTTTGTCTACAATTCAATTATGTTTCGCCTTGTTGAAAACTGAAGAAGAACAAGACACAAGTTCAAAAAATTAGGCCTCTCTTTATTAATACTACTCTAAAGTCACCTCCAAATACCACTATATCACCCTCCACTTGAACATTACTGGTCAACATCTTTTCCTTAAACTAAGTAGCCTTTATGATCACTAGGCCACTCATTTTCTTTATTGGACTTTATTTGTTTTGGAGTTGTTACCTCCCGATGATCTTATAATATGCATATAAACCAGACCCAAAGAAACCAAGAAGCTGTCCAATCACATTCATCTGCGTGAAAGAACCAACAAAAAAAGGTATTGAGATGTAGCAAAGTAGATGGCGATTGTAAATCTAAACTAAATGGAACATTACCATGTCAAATGGGAGTCCTCCAAAGACCATCCAGCCTAGTCCAACCGTGAATAGATCCTGCAACGATGATATAGAGTTCAAAGTTTTTGCTTGCAGTTGTCAAATCTTCAGCCATAAAAGACCTCAAAACAGAAATTTACAAGTCCCATCATTCCTAAAATGCATGATGTATCTACTATCTCCCAGGAGTCATTAGTCCAGGGGTTCTCTCTCCTTGGCAGATTAGATTTATACTTTCTTTTGTCAGGAGATATTATAAAGTGAAACTTACCTTCATATTGCCACAAATTGTCTGTGTGAGAGCCGAGTTGAGAGTGGTGTTAAGAAAAATGCTGTAGTTTAAGAAGAAAGCCAGCACGCACGAGCAGAGTAACACAACCTGGGTGACAACATAACAGGAAAAGAAATCATCAGTATCACAAACGCAATAGTGGACAGTTATAAAGCAAATACTGATTTACGGTACCATGAAACCAGGAGATAAAAGGTGAGGAAAGTTAATTGTCTTCTCCAAGTCACCGCAAACAAATGTCCAGATCATCAATATAGGTCCGCATATAATTCCTATAATTGAAAAAATCTCACAAATTCAAAGGCAGTCTTGGGAGAATAGGTCAATTTTGTTATCTGTTCAGATTACCATTGCACCACATAAGGCCAAAGCTATTCAAGCCACTTGACTTTCCTGGAGAACCAGAGATTAGACTAAAGTAAGAGAGGTTTTAAACTGGCAGGAGGAAACGTAGTAAAACAATTAATGCAGAAAGCAGGTGACTAGTGTACCAGTCCGGGCAATGGTTGCTAGATATACCGCTGTTGCTATGTTAGCTAAGAAAACAACACCATATCCATAAAAGTCAAAGGACAAGTCTCTAGCTCCAGCAAACAATGCACCAAGTATGATGACGCCGACACTGACATCAAATTTACAAGAACTTAGTAGTGCATAATAAAGTATACTTTTTTATGGAGAGACTAAAAATATCATATCACGTAAGTGCATCAGCTGAGGGTCACATATGCCTCTGGGGAATCTAACATACAGAATAAGCATAGGGAAACCATTATCTCTCACATACTCCCCAATCCTAAGTCTTGTCTATTTTGATCAAACACAAGGATTTACTTCTTCCTAAAGGATACTATTAAACTTAGAATCTAAATAATTCAGGAAACTGTTTAATTTGAATAGTCAATAGCTAGCATGAGAAAACTGTGATTCACCTTCCAATGATAGACCGAGTATATCTCTGACCTGTGAGCATGTACTCAATCACCATAGTAAATGCCACTGTAGTACGTCTAAGCGTGGTATACATGGGAACATTTACCCCTCTAACAGATGCCATAGAAGCTAGCTTTCAGGAGATATACATCAAACAAAATTGTGATCAGTTACTACATGCAAAACCCAAACGACAGATAAATTATTGCCAAGATTATTCAGTAAACTGGTTACCATGTAGAGAAGATAGGAAATTGCTAGAGGAAGGGTGTGAAACAATGTATTCAATGGCACAAAAGTTGAGGCATTATCAATAGAAAAAGAATCAGCAGCTGTGAAAGAGATGATCCTCCTGCGTCTCAAGGCATATAGAAACAAGCTAGAGGAAATCATCTGTGGAAAAAAGAAAGTGTCAGGCTGATTTAGACATTGCCGTTATCTATAGAGCATAAGTGAAACTGCAGAAGAGAATCTCTTTACTAAACCTGAAATAACGTGATAACGTTTACACAAGGGAACTCATAGGAAGATAGCGCTGCTTTATTGAACAGCACCAGCATAACTGTGAATTAACACCCCAAAAAAAAAAAAAAAAAAATCAAATGTCAATGCCAATATATAAATTTCAAGACACATCAGCATCAAAACAGTCAACCATATTCATATTTGCCACAGTACAATAACAACTACACAATGAGATTCCCCTAGCCAACTAAATAACGCGAGATGGTGTATGTGAGATCACTAAATTACATAGATATGGATAACATTCTAATCTAGTACGGATGTACAAACGTAGAACGAAGAAATTCGAAATGAATGAACATTAACAGAGCAAACAAATCTCAATCTTCGTCACGGAAAATTGCATCAATCTCAGCAGAAATCAGAAATTGAATTTTAACCACGGACTACGAAATCAAAGGAATCGAATCCGAGAAAACACTAGAAACTCAACTTGACCGTACTCCAAAAACACGTGAAATCGAGGAAATTACCAGCACAGGCCATATAAGAAAGAGCAGCGTAAGCGCCACGTTTGGTCATGGCGGATCCTTTAAAAAGCCGATCGTCGACACCTTTACCGTCGCTATCATTATCGCCGGCGAGAGGAGGATCGGAAACGGGAAGAACAGGATTATTCCTCATCGTCGAGAGAGGTAGACTCTCTCCACGCTCTTCGTCTTCTCCTTCGTTCGCCGTCTCTCTGAGTCCTTGAGTTCTCCCTCACCCACCGGAGAAATTTGCGCCACCGAAATGAATGATACTGACCGTAGAAGACACGGGAAATGTTTTGAGTTAAAAAAAAAAAAACACATCTCTGTTTTTGGCAATCATTATCAAAGTGGGAAAGTCACGTGATTTTTCTTTTCGTGGCTCAAGGCCCAATTATATTAAAGCCCATTTAAAATTATGTCCTAAGCCTGATTGGATCCAACTATTGTCTTCTATGCCTCTCTAGTCTCTCTCTACTATAGTCTATACTAATACATTCCCAACGTGAACTCCGGATAATGTAAAGCAAACTGTATGACTTCAATTTGAATCATGTTACAAACGACTTCTAAAGCACTATATTAATTTGAAGTCATAGCGCTTTTTCAAATATGGTACAAACCTGATCTTAGTTTAGTGCTTTAATAGTGGTGAGGTATGATCGAAAATTTTAGTGAAATGATCTGAACCCTAGTATTGACTGTTGATATTCAACAAAGATCAATCTCATATTCCAAGTCGGATGGATGGATGAATGAATGAACGAATGGGGGAAGATTTGTGGTACGATTCGTAAAACAGTAGTTGAGGAGACAAAGAAGAAACATGATAAGACTTTGGTATTTACAACTTGATGGAGACAAGGCAAAGCTGTCCAGAACAGCACTCAAACTCTATTCTGCAGTGTCTTTTTATGAGTTTAAAAGAGAGAGAGAGGAGGAGGAGGACTATCTCATCTCATTCACTTCCCCTTTTCATAACACTTGTTTGTCCCCTCAAACAAACACTTTCTATCCTTTACCGTTTCCTCCCACGTGCATCTTCTTTAAATCTCAAAGACTTTTCTATTTTTATAGATCTTGAATTTTCATGTCTTTTAGGTTTGCTGTCGGTAGATTAGGTGACTATATATTATTATTATATTTCTTCTTCTTTTTTTTCATTACTAGGAGATTGCAGAATATATAACACATACTAATCGTCATGACATTACTATATCATAATTTTACAAAACACATACTAATTATTTATTTATTGTTTGTCGAGCTTTGCTATTTTTCCAATATATAGGAAAAAATAAAAACAAAACCAGATCGATCCAACGAGCTAGAGAACTAAGTGTAAAGTGGTTCCCACAAGAGCCAGCCATATGGTAATGGTCCTTCAACTTTTTAAGGCCCATTACTTCAGTGGTCGACCCGACACTAGGGCACGAGTAGTCACGCACGCACGACTCATGTTCACGTGACATTCACGTTGATACTTCCCCCTCTCCTTAGTTGATCTAAAGAACATGAAGAGACCAACCAAATTTATGATTTAATATGTGATATAGACTTCATACTCAAGAGTCACTTTCGTAAATCCAATTTCATATCTTACACAATTATTTCTTAAAAGAGGCTGTGGGTTAAGTTATCTAATACTGTGTTAGGCCTAGCATATATATCCTTTTACCAACAGTGTTTATCCTTAAACAGAAACAAGCATATGTCAATGTCAAAGCACACAACTGAAACATACATCTATATATATAAAGTTAGCTTTTTCTCTCTTCTTATGATGCCAACTAAACATCCACCTAAGCCACATTTTTGTTTAAACATTAAAATAAATTAAAACATTTAATTAATACATATTTATGTTACTTATTTAATTGATAGAAAGTTTATATAAATAAAAATAAATTATGTAAAAAAATAAAATGTTAAAATAAGAAAAACAATACTTTAATTTTTTATTAGTGGTAATAATATAATGCAACTTTCATTTTAAATTGATCATAATTTAATATTTTAAATATGTTACTGAGTTTTAGAATGGAAGTAAAATTTAAATTTATGGTAGACTAAAACAACATTTATGTAATTGTATATATAAAATTATAAAGAGGAAAAAAATGAAAGTGAAATATTAGTTTATAACATGATAAAAAGGAAAAAAAAATGATATTTCATAAATTGAATCAAGTGCTTTTAATCCAAATTTGAGTATTGAAAGATAATAATTAAATAAAAAATAATTATAATATTTTTTGAAAATTAATTAAAAAAATAATAAAATATCACAATATGAATAAAAAATCAAAGAAACAAAATTATAAACCGCGCGGAGCGCGGGTCAACTGCTAGTATACTGTAATATTAGAGTAAAACAAATATAAAACGATTTAAAAGTTTAACCAATACAATATCTTTCTAACCTTTGTTTACTGTAACTTTATAGTCTGTATGGTACTTTTGTTTCTGTTTTAGTATATACTACTAGTTTGGTTCGACCAATTAGTAAACTGTTCCCTTGGTCCCAATTAAGGTAGTGAACTCATGCTCTGTGGGATAAACAGACACTGCACGTATTCATAAGTCGATCAAACTCTTTCCCAAATATTTGCATATATATGTATAGTGAATCAAGCTAGAAGTGTCTAGTGATAGTTGTCTCATAAAAGGTTAACAAAACTTATGACAAGCTGAAGAAAAATCAGAGTTTGCTAGTATTAAAAAGAAGGTATCACAATTATATTGGATAAAAAAGATTCTTAAAATCCCCCACTTTTTCCGTGCGAAAACCAAAATTTTAAAAATTAGAAACATAGAATGTAAACAAAAATATGGGACGTTGTCCGTTCCAACATTAACCAAACTTGTCTATTACTAATATTCATGTTGGTTTGATGTTGGATGCTAAATTCGTTGAATCATGTGACCTTTGACAACTCTTCTTCTTTTTCCTTAGTATACAATGTACTTTATTATGTTTTTTAGTACTTGCTTCCATTTTTTTTATAAGTACCGTTGAATATTGGATTATTGGGACAAATATTGAATTAGTGACGCCAATATAGCAAGTTAGCAACAAATTAATGGTCAATTATCTCTTCTGGTGATCTTTAAAATTCCAATACGAGTAATTATATAGTGATCGACTGGTGTTTTATAGTATTGTCGTTTGTAATTATGTTGTTGGTCATGTTGCAATCCAAATCTTCTTAAAATCGATTAGTGTGTGAATTGTGAAGTGTGAACTGTAAAAAAAGAAAAGTTATCTTAGTTAAAGATAAGATTGATGTTGGATATAAAAGTAACAATTTATTAAAGATATGTTTAAAATAATAAAAAAGCATTAAGAATTTTAGATAAAATAATGTGCAAATATGTTAGCATCAATGTTGGGATATTGGCCGACCCAAACTTAATCGATGTCGGAAGTCATTTACTTCTCTCTCAAAATACTTCTTTCTCTTTTTTTCCTTTAGGAGAAGTAGCAAACTTCCTCACTGCCTTTCGCTTAACGTAGAAGCCATCAAATCTTTAGTATATGAGAGGGATAAAAAAGAACAATTTAAATACATCTCTTTTGATTTAGTGAATTTGGTTAAACTTAAACTTTAATTTGGAACGACTATTAGACTATTTTCAATAGGAACCTCTTAAGCTAAGATTTTGCAAAGAAAATATCTTATATTCTCTTTGTAAAATCTTAGCCTAAAAAATTGCCATTGAGGATAGTCTTAAAGCGTTAATTAAGAAATTAAAAAATGGTTGAGATAAATACATCTTTTATACTTGATTCATTAGTTATGTGAATGTGTCTTTAAATTTGTTGAATTTTTTTGTGTAGACACGATGAAACTGATCACGAATATAAGATTTTTTTCTAGTCAACTGTATGTTCAAGATTTTGGTCCACGAAAATTTGTGAACTGAAATGTCGACAAAAAATTTATTGGCATTCTAATATTTGATTGGTTACTTAGTTTAGTTCTGTAGTTTATAATTTTTGATTGGTTACTTAGTTTAGTTCTTTAGTTTATATAGGATCGTGTTTGGTTAATATACCATAAAGACAAATACATCGACATCTATGTATATGTGTGAGTTACATATTATATTATATGTATATTTTATGACATAAAGCCATGGATCCCTCCTTGACTTATGTCCCCATTCCTTTTACTATAAATAGGGAGTACTCATGATCCTCTAATTAAGCACCAACCTTCTCCAAAGCCAATAACAAAAGGACACAAGAGCTTCTCTTTTTCATCAAATCAAAGACGAAGCTGCATTAAGAAATGGAGTTGGATCTTGGTCTCTCTCTTTCGCCTCATACTAACTCTTCAAAGTTAGGGTTTGACTTCGACCTCAACAAGCATTGTGCCATCGACGGTGGTACTGCGTCGTGTTTGGATAACGGAAACCTGTGTTTTGAGTCGACGTTTCAATTTAATACCGAAGAAGATTGTTGTTATGTGCCAAAACAACGCGTGTTTGCCTTGAATGGCCAGCCCAACGAGGAAGACGAAGATCCTTTGGAATCCGAGTCTTCAATTATTTACGAGTGAGTAACTAAACTATATTATAAGTATTTGACAATATACATTAGGTTATAGTAGTTGGTAGTTACACACTTACATCTACCAATACTATGTATGACAAATTCACTTAATTAAAAGTTTCTCAAAAAATCTTAAGATGCTGTTATCAAAAGAAACAGAAAACAAAAAAAAAAAAAAAAAAAAAAAAAAAAAAAAAAAAAAAAAAAACTAAAAGATGTTAAGTTAACTTAATGGGGGAGGCATGATTTGTAAAATTTTGTAACATTTTAAATAATTTTGATAATATAGAGAGGAGGAAAATAGCGAAGTCGTGGGATGGCCACCAGTAAAAACATGTATGATAAAGTATCGTAGTTATCATCAACGTCATAGTCATCGTAATCACCATCATTACCCATATCATCATCATGGTAGGAGGAACACGGTGATGAACAATAGAATGGCCGCAATAGAAAGCGTTGGATCATCATCGACAATAACATCGAGATCATCAATGTATGTAAAGGTTAAGATGGATGGTGTGGCAATAACAAGAAAGGTGGATATCAAGCTTTTCAACTCTTACGAGTCCCTCACTGACTCCTTGATCGCCATGTTTACCCAATGTGAGTACTTACTACTATTTAAGTTTGTAAGAAAATGTTAAAATAAACTATAACTGTTTTGAAAAAAAAAAAAAAGATCATAACTTGTAAAGATTAATCTTTCGTACAATTGAATATAATTTATCAGATGAAGATTGTGATAGAGAAGATACAAACTATGCATTCACCTTCCAAGGGAAAGATGGTGACTGGCTACTACCAGGGGATGTTCCATGGAGGTACGTACGTCTACTTCTTTAATTTTATTGCTTCAGTTTTCTTAAGATATATAAATCTAATGTAACTAAAAACTTTTATTGTTGGTATTTGTAGGATATTTGCGGAATCGGTAAATCGAATATCAATAATTAGGGATCGTCCGTGTGCATATACAAGACTTTTGTTCTAAAGATAGAGAAGTTGGAAGCGGACAATCATTAGTTACTTTGTAATTAAATTGTTTATCAGTTTTATGAATCCTCTATATTACCTATTCTTATAGATGTAGTATCCAGTGCCAATGGTTTATAAGCTATATTGGCTATCAATGATCATGCCTAAACATGGACGAAAAAAACCTAAAGAAGTATGTCAAAAGCCTGATAAGAATTCATGAGGTGTCAGTGACTAAACACCGATGTACCGGAATTGAAGATTTTTTTGAGACTTGTTTGATTGAGAAAACAAAAAAAAAACATAAGAATGTCATGGTTTAGGCATAAACCATGAATATGATCACTGATTTCCGGGTCTTACATAAGAGGTATGCAGAAACCATGATATTCTAAATTTTCAAAGTCTTAAATTTTAATTTAAGAAGCCTTAAGTTTTTTAAAAAAATATATACATAATTTTGATCTTAGCTTAAGCTAGATTAATAACAAATTGAAATATTCAACTTTTTATAGTTAAGATATCATTAAATGAACAAAAAAAAATTTATGATAAATGTGGTATTTTTTTCTAAAGAGATTTAATACTGAAATTTATAAAAACACATCATCTATAAAGAAGATCCAATAATAACTTCCACTAAAAATTGAAAAATGGTTTTAATGACCACGAAAAAAACAAAAAAGAAAGACAGATTCTCACCGATACGATCAGGAACAGTGTTCAGACTTGAGAGTTGAGAGAGTCGAGTCGAGTGTCTCGGACAAAAGGGGTTCCCGTCAATCCCGGTCACAAACCAAACCTTCGCATCTCCTTCCTATTCAGATCGACGGTTCTAATCAGTCCACGTCACCTTGGACTCCTCTTAAATTGTCGCTCTGTCTTTAGACACTTCATTTTGACTGGTTCGGCGAATCTGACACCTTCGCCCGCCTTTGAAAAGATCTCCATAGATCTCAGATCCCGACTCCGTCTCTTCCGCCTCAATACCACCATATCCGACGCCGGCGACTACTTCATTCCACCCCCTACCCTATCAATCTCTCTCTCCCCACCGCAGATCTAGCGAATCGGTATATTATTCATTAAAACAAAAAAATTGAACATTTCAATTCATTTTTTTTTCTCGTTGGACTCTCCATTTATTTCTCAACCAAATTGGCTCCCTTTTTTTTTTGATTAATTTGTATGTGTGGAGTTTTTTTTGAAGAATCCGAATCCCGAAGTAGTGAATCATGGCGCTGAGCATGCGTAAAGCGATCGGAGTTGTTAAGGATCAGACTAGCATCGGCATAGCGAAGGTAGCTAGCAACTTGGCTCCAGATCTGGAAGTTGCGATCGTTAAAGCTACGAGCCACGACGACGATCAATCTAGTGAGAAGTATATCCGCGAGATCCTCAGCCTAACTTCACTCTCTCGTGGTTACGTCCATGCCTGTGTCACCTCTGTCTCTCGCCGTCTTAAGAAGACACGTGACTGGATCGTTGCTCTCAAGGCTCTTATGCTTGTCCACCGTCTTCTTAATGAAGGGGATCCATTGTTTCAGGAAGAGATCCTTTACGCCACCAGACGAGGTACGAGGATTCTTAATATGTCTGATTTTCGAGACGAGGCTCATTCTAGCTCTTGGGATCACTCTGCTTTCGTTAGGACATATGCTAGCTACTTGGATCAGAGGCTTGAATTAGCTCTTTTTGAGAGAAAGGGCAAAAATGGTGGTGGTGGTAGTAGTAGTAGTCACCAGAGCAATGGGGATGATGGATATGGTCGGTCTAGGGATGATTTTAGGTCTCCGCCTCCTAGAGCTTATGATTATGAGACTGGTAATGGTTTTGGTATGCCTAAGAGGTCTCGGTCTTTTGGAGATATGAATGAGATTGGAGGAGGCAGAGACGATAAGAAATCGGTTACTCCTTTGAGAGAGATGACACCTGAGAGGATTTTTGGAAAGATGGGTCATTTGCAGAGGCTGCTTGATCGCTTTTTATCCTGCCGGCCTACTGGTTTAGCCAAAAACAGCCGGATGATCTTGATTGCTATGTACCCAGTTGTGAAAGAAAGCTTTAGGCTTTACGCTGACATCTGTGAGGTCTTGGCTGTTCTGCTTGACAAGTTTTTTGATATGGAGTATACTGACTGCGTCAAGGCCTTTGATGCTTATGCTAGTGCCGCCAAACAGATCGATGAGCTCATTGCATTTTATCATTGGTGTAAGGACACGGGCGTGGCGAGATCTTCTGAGTACCCTGAGGTTCAGAGGATCACGAGCAAGCTGTTGGAGACTCTAGAAGAGTTTGTGAGAGACAGAGCCAAGAGGGCCAAAAGTCCCGAGCGGAAAGAAATAGAAGCTCCTCCTCCTGCTCCTCCGGTGGAAGAGCCTGAGGTTGATATGAATGAGATCAAAGCGCTTCCTCCTCCAGAGAATCACACCCCTCCACCTCCGCCTGCACCAGAACCTAAACCGCAGCAACCACAAGTAACCGATGATCTAGTCAACTTGAGAGAAGATGGTGTCACTGGTGATGACCAAGGGAACAAGTTTGCTCTAGCACTTTTTGCGGGGCCTCCAGGTAATAACGGTAAATGGGAAGCTTTCCCTTCTGATAACGGTGTGACATCGGCTTGGCAGAATCCAGCCGCTGAGCTTGGTAAGGCTGATTGGGAACTGGCGTTGGTCGAGACAGCTAGTAATCTCGAAAATCAGAAAGCCGCAATGGGTGGTGGTTTAGATCCGTTATTACTCAATGGGATGTACGATCAAGGAGCAGTTAGACAACACGTGAGCACCTCAGAGTTAACCGGTGGAAGTTCAAGCAGTGTAGCGCTCCCATTACCGAGTAAAATCAACAGCCATATACTAGCACTCCCGGCACCTGATGGAACCGTTCAGAAAGTGAACCAAGACCCATTCGCTGCATCCCTGACCATTCCGCCTCCTTCGTACGTGCAAATGGCTGAGATGGATAAAAAGCAATACCTATTGACTCAGGAGCAGCAGTTATGGCAGCAATATCAGCAAGAAGGAATGAGAGGTCAAGCTAGTTTGGCTAAGATGAGTCCAGCCCCAACCGCAATGCCTTATGGGATGCCGCCGGTTAATGGGACGGGACAGCCTCCTATGGGGTATTACTACAACAATCCTTACTGATTTCATTCATTTTGTTTGTTTTTTTTTTTTTTGTATTACATATATTTTTCGACCAATGTAGATGTGTTATAATCCGGTTTCTTCTTGTATTTTTCATGATCTTGCCTCCTGTTATTGAACTTGTGAGACTTTGCCTCTTTTGAGTATTGATTAATAATGCATTTATACATTTGTTGTTTCTTTGAAGTTATTTCTACAACTTAGCTTGGTTAGGTTTGGTTTTAGTTGGGTGAAAAGCTAATGATAGGTAAAAATAACACCAAACAGAAGATCATATCGTTGCATCATCGTCAGGTGAATTGTCGGAACTCGGAACTATGGAAACATTAAACACAAGATCAATCAATGATTGGTTCTCTAGTCTCTACTCATCAGCTCGTCGTTTTCACTGTCCTCTCTCTTCGTTATATCATCTTTCCCACAGCCGCAACGTTTCGGTTGATCGTGTGCCATTAGAGAAGACTAGACCGGAGATCAAACACACGATCAGATGAAGATGTAGTCACACAATTAACAACAGATCAATCACGAAAAGAAATGCTATTCTCCGCTCCGATCAAACTATTGGAAAAAGTGGCTGCAGAGTTTGTTTCTGATTTCTCAAAGCAGAAGGAAGAGAGAATAAATGATTTTATAACGTTTGCTCAAATAAGACAAAAAAGGAAAGTTTCGATTGTTTCCTTTTCTTATTTGGTTTGCAACAAAAAGGAAAAAAAAAAAAATTAAGATAAAGAGTAACAGGAAATTAAAGGTCTCAACTCTGAGTCTCTGACTGATCCTTATAATGTTGCACGTACGAATCTACTAATTTTGGTTAGAACCAGAGCAATCATGTATAATGGGCACATTTAATTATCCTCAATCTTTGGTTCTCTTACCACTAGGTACCTTTACAAGTTACAACTCCATGGCATTGAAGTGGCAAAACAGAATCTGTTCTGTTCAGTTCCCTCAGAATACAGTTTACGAGTTTTATATTACAGTTGGACGAGCAAAACTCAACAAAGGAAAGCCATAGTGGAGGTAATTGGACTACCTAATTAAAAGTTGTAATGAGTTATCGACATTTGACAATTTAGATAGTCCCCATATCGTCAAAATAATTAAAGCATATTCTCAATTTAGAATAGATATTGTTTTTAGTGAAGATATATAATGGAGTTAATTGACTCGTTAATATCACACTTGGTCCCCAAAAACCTTTTTTTTGAAAACTCCAATAGTATTTGATAACAACATGCATAGATATAGCACGATAAATTACTAATCTATATATTCTATTCACAAGAAAACAAATAAATTGACTTGGACTTTTGAGCTAGTGTTTTTATGAACTGTCGTTGATATTAGATCTCATCAACTGGATTTTAACTTGCAAAGTATAAAGTTTGAAATGGACCTTCCTTATCGATGTTGTTGTATGCATTAAAAGTTTTGGAAATGTAACCAAAGGATCTGGTAGCATTTTGTAACAATGAAATTTTACATGCATTTAACTATCAAAGAAAGCTCAGAAGAAAGAAAGAAAAAAAAAAAAAAAAAACAAAAGGGAATCCGGCCCCTATTGCAAAAGATCTGGTAGCGTTTTCTTATATGCAACAATGCAATAACTTCATTACAGCTTGCTCCATACAAAAACTGAGGAAGGCAATGAAGAACATGATCCATTCTTTCCAAGTATCTCTCCTATATATTTGATCCTTTCTCTTGAAATAGAGATCGATTATATTAGTGAATTGTCGAATCTACGGTTTTCTGAACACAAGATTTTGAGGAACTCGGCACGTTTACGTGTGTTCTCAGCAGAATCGTAACCTAAACACAAAATCATGAGATTAAAATCATCAATATTAATTGACGAAAGAGAAAGACACCTATATATATAATTTTGTCATTAAACAAGTCACTCTTTAACTGTCTATCACGCGATTCAGGGCTTGTAGTTGTAGACTTGTAGTTGTAAGTTCTTTGAAAATTAAAAAGGTAAAAAAAAAGGAGAAAAAGAGCACGAGGCAAAGACGATGATTATGGGTGTGTGGTCTTTAAGCGACAGCCAAACTCAAGTGTTGACGAATCTAAGCCCCATCTTCGCTAACTTATTCCCCCCCATCTCAACTAAATCTTTTAAGATAAATACATTTTGTAAGTGATATATCTTTAAACTCTGCACATTTATCCAATTTCATTTTCCTAGTTTCTCTCTTGCATAAAATCCAGTGTAAAGTCAAAACACACATCATTTTCAAGTCCCATTAACTATCTCTCTTTTCTTTGTCAACTGTTCCATTCAATATCGTCGTCCGATAGGATGAGATTCGAGTTGTACGAGTATGCTTTTACTCACGATAATGGAACGTAGACTTGGGTTTTTTTTTTTGTTATTTCCCAGCTACCTAAGTATTTTAAATTACAATTATAACTAAAACTGAATTTACAACAATGCCATTAGAAACAAAAAAAAACCATTCGACTCTCACTCACAACACAGCTCCAGCTGAGTCATTGAACAAGACGGTTCGAGCCATATCCAACAATGGCTCTAGTGCATCCGAAGAAAACTTCCTAGCAAACAGAAACGGATCCATCCGCTCAACCGCAGACCATTCTGAACCGTTGATTCCATCCTCGCCGTATCTTGGTCGAGTCTCTCTGAGCCGCACGATCAGCTCAGGCACGACCTCATCGGCCTCGTACAACCGCGGGTGACCATCGACGTTAATGGTCCAATCCACGTGAGTCAGCGTGGCCGGGACACATCCACGTGGATCCCGCATATTTAGAAGGGTAGGAAAGTAATTTTCTTCAGGATAGCACGTGTCTTCCCGCACGCACGTCTGGTTAAACTTCGCCCATATACGCCGATCACGCGCCACCACACGCGCATGTCTCCGCTTCAGAACCCAGAACTGAGACCCGATACGGAACTCCTCGAGCGCCACTTCCGGGAGCATCGCTTCTTCCCCACGCGCCGCCCATCTGTCGAACTTCCACGGCTCGTCCTTGAGTATCTCGATGAAGCTCTTACGAGACGAGACCAGTGTCTTGTAGGCGAAGCCAAAGGAGCGAATCGGTACGCACGAAGGCGAGATAAGGGCAAACATGTAGTTCAACGGATCGTCGAGAAGCGCGTGTGCTATCAACCGACGCGCCGCCGCGGCTAGAGTGGGTGAGAGTCTACTCGAGGGTTTAGAGTGAATGACCCGGTTCTTGAACACGCCGGAGAAAGGCGGGTCGTAATCTCCGGTCGGATCCGCGTGAACGTAGACATTGTAAAGATCTTTAGAGCTCCCACTGAAGTACATCTCCCAAAGTGGCGCGAACGGAAGAGGCGACGTCGTTAAATACATAAAAGCCACTTTCCTGGTCGAACCGGGAGGCAGATTCGGGTTAACCCGAGATGCTAGCCGGAGAAGTGCCTCGTCGTCTTTAGGTATCGGCTGTCGAATCCGAACCGCCGGAGAAGAAGACTCTGGGACATTTCGAGAGTAGAGAGAGAAGACGGAGAGAGAGCGGAAACCAAACTGCGGCGAAACAAAGCCGGTAAGTTCTCGCTGAACCGTGAAGATGACAGCAACGGGAAGACAAAGAAGCAAAGCGCAGAAGAGAGGAAACAACGTCGGAGATAGCATCTCTTACTCACCGGACGATTAGGAAAATAATACTATTAACTCAGTGACTGCTTTTGCTTTTTAGAGAGAGAAACAACGACATTTGTTGGGATTTCTAGAGTGAGAGAGAGTGGGATTTGGTGCAACTTGTATCTTACATTAGGCAAAATTATATTTAAAATTTTGGACTACTAATTATAGATAAATATTCAATTTCAATGGCATTTCATATTTGGACATTACATCTTTTTTATACAGAAACATATAGTATTTCTTTTTTCTCTCCTACTCTTCTTGTGAGTTTCTCATTTAATTAAACGATCTTAAATTTTGTTTGGCCACTAATTCGCCTAATTTGATCCGTGTACTATATAGTATATTTTATCTAAAGTATGAATTGAATTCTTTTTCTTGGTTGTCATTTCTTGTACTTTGATTAGTTCGTTATAAATGAATCGACGAGAGATCATAGCCCACACATAATAATCTTTGATTTGTAAATACGAATTTGATTCGTTGATTAGTGTTAAAGTTACATTAAAGAGAGAGTCATAATAAGTAATTCGATTTAATTAATGGACAGGTCTTTAGTTATGTACACGTGGAAAGATTGAAACCGTTGGATGACGGGGTAGCTGCTTGTAAATGACATCACGTGGCTGCTGCGTGAATTTTCGTAATCGTATCCGTTTTAGGAAACGATTTTGTCTCACACAGCTTTTGTTTGTTGGATACGAGTTTCTCTGTACGGTGGTCCACGTGGCCGACATGCATTATACTTGGGCCTTAAAATCTGACTTTTTGGGCCTTTCACTAACGACGAGGCACATTTAGTTAAGGGGGGTTTTAGGATGATGGGTCTTCTATGATGTTTTCAGACCTTCTTTACTTTATTTGTTGTACTTGTTTTTGTCAATTCATATAATTCTTTTTTGTTATTTTTTTTGTGTGGACATCATCGTGAATGTTTCAATGTCAGAGATCAGAAGATTATGGTAAAAGGTTAGAGAAGTGGTACGAAAGCAAATCTCAAGATTCTTACTTCAACGAAACGATTTAATAGCTTGATGTGTAAAAACGAAACTTTAGGCATTAAGTCGTTAGCTTTTTTACTTTTCATTTAGAGATGCTTAAAGAAGAAGGGTTGAGAGTTGAGACCAATGAAAATGTGAAAGCCGGATCAATCATCTTTAATAGTACATGATTGCAACATCTTCTATCCTCTCAAGTTAGACCGAGAGACCGAAGATTTCCGCAACTTTTTTTTATGGGTTGCTTTGACGCAAGTTGTCGTTTTTAAATAGACCAGTCACAGTCCAAAATTATTCTCAAACAGTTACATAGTAAGATAATTTGGTAAATGCTATAGTTTTATTTTCTTGTTGCTGCTAGTAAATTATTGAGCGGACTGCAACCCTATACAGACTAGGCCGGACCATAAAATTAAAATAAAGTTATAGGCGGACTAAACCGGACTAGACCGGACCAATTTGACAGGACTAATCTCTCTCCCCCACACCACACTCAAATTATTGAGAGAAGAAGTGGAACTGAGGGGAAGACAAACAATCTTACTTTGTGTCTTTTTCTCTCTCTCTCATTGAAAAAAAAAGAAAGAAAAAAGAAAGTGGTGGAAGATGCCGAGGCCAGGGCCAAGACCGTACGACTGCATCAGAAGAGCTTGGCATAGTGACAGACACCAACCCATGAGGGGTTTGCTCATCCAAGAGATTTTCAGGTCATCATCTTCTCTCTCTCTCCCTCACTCCCTTTGTATCTATATATGTATGTATGTATAGGTGTGTGCATGTCTTTCTTTGTGTGTTTCTTCAGCTCAATTCTTCTTTCAACGTTTTGTTTATAGGATTGTATGTGAGATTCACAGCCAATCCACCAAGAAGAACACAGAATGGCAAGAGAAGCTCCCTGTTGTTGTCTTGAGAGCTGAAGAAATCATGTATTCCAAAGCCAATTCTGAGGTTTTCCTTCTTTACATTTTTTCTTAATTTCTCCATTTGGGTTTTGTTTGAATTCTCAATGAAAAGATTGTTTCTCATTGGTATTCCAATTTTTATGTATTGCTTTTTTATTGCCCTCTTTGAACAGTGAGATTTATTTAATGTCATTATTTATGGAGTTGATTTAGAGAATTTTGGATGTGTTCATTTTGAGAAACCTTTTGATATATATATAGTGGCTTTTATGTTAGGCTGAGTATATGGACATGACGACCCTTTTAGACCGTACAAACGAAGCCATCAACACCATCATACGACTTGATGAGACCACCGAAAGTGGTGAATTTCTTCAGCCTTGTATAGAAGGTATACAAATACAATATTCTCTATACTCGAGTTCTTGGGGATCACTGGCTAAGGTCAATGAGCAAGTCTTGTTTATTTTGTAGCTGCATTGCATTTGGGGTGCACGCCAAGGAAAACTTCAAGGAGCCAACGTAACATAAACCCCAGATGTTATCTTAGCCAAGGCTCAACTAACTTGGACAACATTTTGTCCCAAGTTTTCATGAAACCGAACAACTTTGTTCCAAAGAATCTTGCAGTAGCACAAGAGAAGCGGGTCGAGAAATGCACTGTTTCCAAGTACTCAGCCTACCCTTTATTCTATACGTTCCGACCAATCACTGACTCGTGCAAGTCCAAGAACAGCAGACCGGCGAGTGTCAAAGATGCAACAAATGGCATTACCTTTGGTGGATGTGAATGTGATCTATCTCTGCGCTTAGGTCCTAGTAAGCCTACGCAAAAACGAAGTAAGATAAGCAGCAGCAACATCAGCAGCTGAAAAAAAGAGGGCAAGATTGAGTTTTGTTTGGCGAGTCTTGTGTTAGAAGGAATGAGCGAGTCTTTAGTCTCCTCTCTAGGTTTAGGTGTTTGTGAACATGTAAATAGAGAGATGAAGTAAAACTAAAACATTCAATGAAGTCTTCTTCTTCTCCTTCTCTTGCATCAGTCTCGAGTCACCAGACTTAATTTTACATTGCACAGTTCGAGAAATGCCCATTCTGCATCTCTGTTTTCACAAATGACAACAAGCATAGTAAATGACATACATTGGATTCTCCACCGAAGAACGTTAGATAGAATACTCTGTCTGATCCTTTTCTCTGGGAAACCAATTGATGACACTAGCAGGCTCTTCTGCAATGGGCTTTTCTGAGCTGAAGAACATTGTTTTATAGGCCTATTTAGTTGCTAGTGGGCTGAAGAACATCTTTGTCATATGGTTGATGCCTTTCGTGTCTCAAATGACAAAGTTGGACAAACTATATCTATCTACATATATATGGTCTTATATGCTGATGGTTCTAATGGAAACGTTAAAAAATCATTCTATAGCTTCCCATGCATATATGTAGAAAACTATTTCATACCGTAGCTAAATACACTGTTATGTATTTAATAATGTTCATGGTAAGTAATCGAGCGTAAAGATCCGTTGGCATTCTGACTCACATGTTACAAATTTTGAGAGAGATTTTGTTAAATTGTTTGTTCGACAAAAAATCCCAGTGGAGTTGCAATTCACATGAGATTCAAAGTACACATTAATTTAGGTATATAATTGTAGATTTGTTCTATGATTTTAAAACCATCATCCAGCTGTACTACATATTTAGACTTCCTATTTGAATCAAAGAAGAAAAATCTCAGATGCAAAAGCTATCTCACCAACCAAATCTTTTGTATAAGCTGAGCTAAAGTAATGCAATTGCACATATTATAACTTAAGAGAAGGGAAGATATTTCTCGCTTTATATTAACGTTAAAAACCATTGAACCGAATACGATTAATCCAGAAGCATAACTTTACTCATTCCATGTGACAACCTGAAAGACCTCGTCAATTTTTAAATTTCACCTAATACGAATCTTATCAACCCGTGGCTGTGGGAAACGAAACCTTTCTCAGCATTTTTCCAAGCAGCCCATTGTTGAAAACATTGGCAAAGTAAGATTTTTTAAAAGGGCTATATTAAGCTTTTTGTAGTTTACTAATTCTTGTCACAAAAGTAATTTCTCATTGGATTACGAGTAAAGCTTTTCTTTATCATTTCCTCCAACCTTGTCCATTATTATATGCATAAGTACAAGAAACAAAATTTATGTCTTACCTAAAAGTTGATCCAAGTAGTTCCAATTTTATTAAATCGTGAACCAATTGACTCTCTACGTATTGGTTTGACACGAAAGGACCGTTCTCATGAATTTATAGTAATTATATATATTTCTTGGACTTAAACGAACCATTATTGATGAATTAGGTAACAACTAATATAAAAACGCATTGAGAAATCTTAGTCATACGTTGACGGCTTCCACGTTCATGATGATATCTAATGAGATCATTCGTATGATTGTAGTGGAAGAGACATGACGAACTTTGCCTATATGTACAAGATAATATTTTATTTTGTTACAAGTGATATGCTAAGATAAGATTTGCTGATTCTTGTTAACACACATGCCTACACACGTAATAATGTATGCACTTCTACATATGTATATCTATGTAACATGAAATAACTAATTTACGTTGTTATTTTTTATATGGCAACAGATTTTTTTTTTTTGGTTTTGAGTATATTGTTCTACGTAATTATAGATCGAGTTCTCCAACATAAATAGCAGATGTTAATTATATAACAGTTATCTAAAAACGACAAGAGGAATAAGAAAAAGGGAATTTTAAAGTATTTTGAAAATAATATGTTGAAACAAACATGTTTCAACCTATGTTTTGTTTTTTGTTAACTACAAAATTTTCAAATTTCCCCTAGTTTTTAACGTGTTTTATTTATATACCTCTGCCAAAGAAAATTAAACAAAAAGCATATGTTTTATTCCTACGCTATGAATATAATATTTAACAATTTGTTATAGTTTCTTTCTCGACATGCGGGTGTTTTATAGTTATACAAATACGAGTTTTTCTCTATGCATGATAAGAAGAGAAATATATGTAAGACCAACAGTAACAAATTTAAATATTTGATGAACTTACCACACAAAAAAAAAAAGAAAAAAAAAATTAACGATGGTAACAAAACGAGTAAAGCGATATGTCACATTTACAAGTAATAGCTGTCAACAAACCTTATAAATGCTTGTGATTAGCAGATAGTAGTTAAAGTATTAGCTAGGAATCATGTCCAAATTTTTTGTATTTTTAAAAAGTAAGAAAGTCTTAGTTATTCTTCAATGTCCATAATTAACTGCTTTGCAGATCTTTAGACCAGCTCCTCTTTTTATTCCTTTTTAAAAGCTGTAGCTAGAAAGGAATAGACGATGTGTGAACTGAAACTTTTTTAATACTCTTTTTAATGAATTGTAATGGAGAAGAAGAAAACGAACGAAACTTTCTTGATAAAGCTACGTAGCCAGAGTTCACATTTTTTGTAATAGATTTACATGGTGAGGTATTTTGGTAGCCTAGCCATACGGTATAATCAATACCCGAATCCGTCTATATAATAGATAAGATAACGAGTGTTTTATGAATCAAATAACAAATAAATATACATAGATATATCAACAATATGTAATGGACGAAAATACGAAATAACTCACACGGAATTCACTGAGACAAAAACATATAAAATCAAGTTATAAGTAAAATGACTTATAATATTATTGAGAAAAAGACTTGTAGAACAAAGTGAGAACGCGTAATCATATAACATATATTGGTATATATCTAAATATATATATATATATCTATTTAGAAATCATACACAATATAGCATATCAAGTGGACGGACATACATAAATGTGTGAGAGTGCGTATATGAAAAATAGTGGGAGATGCATGTTTATGAGTAACTTGCATTTAAGGTTTAGGGGCGTAGAAAGATGCCTCTTGTGCTGTCACTGTTTAGGCCACGACGAATCACTCTGATAATCCGTTACTATTAGTCCTGCATTATTTTATTTTTATAATGGTATTTTACAACTTAATGCTTCTTAGTTTTTTTAATATTATTACAAAAACTGGAATACACTTGGCGATTCGCCAACTAATTTGCTGAAGAAATTTATAATAACTGGGGGATTTGAATATTGGCGTAGACGATTGCGGGACATTAAAACGAAGTTTAACCCCCAACCACATTTTACATTTGAACAATCAATATCAATTATTTAAGTTCAAAACTATATAAGCATGCATATATTATACTTCATATACCCCTATATATATAGCCCCCTTGGAGGATCTGTCGATCCAAAGAGTTGAATATTTTCTCTACTCTCTCGTATCGCTACAAATATTAAAGACATGTACGTAAAAGTTTCCAGATGATTGACTTGGTTCACGAGGAGAGAAAAACAAAAACACAATATAAAGATGTTAATAAAATGGCGGGGAGGTTAATTAGGTATAACCTTTATATATGTCGTATGTACGTCTAACAGTCAACTATGATGAAATTTGGATCACGATAATTAATAAGATAACAATTTCTTCAAGAATTAAATAGTTATATATTGTAGGTTTTGTTAATTTTTATAACGATTAGTTATAAACCAAAATATATATAGCTGAATTTAGATTAGTAATGATCTTTAAGAAATGGGAAAAAATTAAAGACCTGGACGAGGACTAATGAGCATGCATTGCATGAAGGTTTTATCCGAAACCTGATGAGATCTTTATAGTAAGCAATTGGCATATGATTTCAAATAAAGATTCGGAATAGATCGTAACCATTAATCATGCTTTCGTATTCTATTCTACTACTAGCAAGTATCGGTATCTCTATCAATGTATAAACACCAAAAAAAAAACAAAACGTAAAGTGATTTATCACCTTTGTAGTAGTATTCATTATTGAATAAGGTTGGCCGTTGAAAAAGGTTTGATGATCTCGTAGAAGAAGAGAAAGATCAAACCATTATAGTCAAACCAAACCCACACGTCGTCGGTCGTGGAAAAAAAGTAGTTATTTGGTCCCATATTTCAACAGTCAGGGGTATATCAGTCATTTCAGCATTGAACTTAGATCATGGGCAACTTAAGTACTGTAACTAATAACAAGTACAGAGCAATGAGATACGTCTAAGTGTGCCAGCTGGCATCCGTACTCCGTCTTCCCCCCCCCCCCATACCTTAACAAATTTCACACTTCCGGCCACGTTATTTTTTTTTTCTGTTAAAAATAAAAAACAGTTTAAATTACTATTTTTAAAAAACCCTATATAAAGTATAAACCATAAATGGTCCCATAAAAAAAAAGGAAAAATAATGAAATCATAGTTCTTAATCTATTTTCAAGTGCCCTAATCTTTATATATATTTTACTACTAGCTGATATCCTCTCTTTTTTTTCCCAATTAATGAGGGAAAGTAAAAGGTTAGGTACTTATTTGTTGACAAAAATTTAAAGGTAGGAACTATTTTCCTTTTCTTACGGTAAAAGTTACTGTGGAGAAACTAATGAAACAGAGGAATTAGTCATGTTCTGTGTGTTGTTGAATCACCATCATCATCATCCGTCAAAGTAGACACAGTTTTAATGTTGTTAATACCAAACCAAACTATTTTCAAGTTTGCTGATCCATCTTTGAATTCTAATCAGAAATAAACAAGTGTGTTCTCTAAATTATTTTTATGATAAGATAAACACATATTAAGAAAAAAAAATTAGCTGGATACGGGACCCTTCATTTAAAGCAGACTATAGATAGCAGAGTAATGGTTTTTTTTTTTTTCATTTTCTTCCACATGTTTCATTTATTATATCATTTAGTAATATATTTTCAGGTGGAAAATAAATCCACTAGCCTTTACCCCCAAAAGATTAGTTAGATTCAACTAATGAGTAAATGACTAATTAAACTATGGGTGATCAACTAAAATCGGTCATTTTGAATGCAAAACATACAACACAAACTCAAAATTCCGATTTCGTTAGATACACAACACGTTTGTTAGCAGTCACAAAACTTGATTAGTTTTCATTTTCAACCATTACCCATGATACATTAATAAAAATGTCGTCAATGATATATTATTTTTTAAAAATTTAATGTGTTTGCCTTTAACAAATCTTCAACTTTATTTCACGCACATAGTAATAGTAGATATACTTTTGTATTTGGTGTATGATCGAAACCTTTTCTGCAAGCTGCGATAATCATCAATCCAGTATAAGTAGATCGGTGGGCTTCGTCTTCTTCTTTGAAAAGTCAAAAGTCACAAGGGGAGGGGGGAGGTTTAGGGAAACATTTAAAGAACATGTTAGGTTGAAAAGAGAAAGAAACCTCTCCTCCTCCAAGTGGTCGGATCTGTCCAAAACAAATTGTGACGGTCACAAGAGGGAAAGATAAAAAGGATACGGATTTGAAGGAAACGGCTCAGAGAGATTTAAAGACTCTCTCTCTCTCTCTCTCTCTCTCTCTCGCTGCTGCTGCTGCATCTCTCTCTCTCCTCCTTCTCTCTCTCTCCTCCTTCTCTCTCAACCCCCTCTTGTCGTCTTTCTCCATCAAAATAAGACCAAAATCAAACATCATTGAATGTGAGACAGAGAGGCAAAAACAAATCAAAACTGTTTCCAATCCCTAAATTAATCTCCACTTCTATTTTCCTTGTTTCAGTTTCTGGGTTTTTATCAATTTCTCTCCTTTCTTCTCTCTCTCTGCCATCTGAATTCCGGTCTGACATCGTCGGAAAGTTTTAAGCTTTGTAACAACAACGCCAAGGCGAGTTCTTGTGTCTCTGTTTGCTTCTTCTACTCGGTTTGTCTCAGTCACGTCATCTTCTTCTTCTTCTCGGGTTCTGTAATAAATCTAGGAACAATCAGTTTCTATTTACAGAGCTTACTATTCACCTGCCAGGGCTTTGAGATTTGTCTTTTTGCATCTTTCTGGAAATTTCCCTTTTCTCAGATCCATTGACCTCATCCACGATACAAAAAAAGTTTAGGTCTTTTTAAAAGGGTTTATTCTTGTCCATTTCTGTAAAAATTTCAGCTGAATTCTCACCATCTTCGAAGAAGACCATGAGAGGCGTCTTCATCGTCTTCGTAACGTGTCTGGTCTTCTTACCGGATCCTCTACTTGCCGGTGTCGCGTACATCGGGAGCATCGCTCCAGGTTTTGGAGGATCTCAGATGAATTACATCAACAACAACGGTCTCTTCCTCGAATCCAACAACTCTGACTTTGGTTTCGGTTTCATAACTACAGAAGCTTCTGTCACTGAGTTCACACTCAGCATCATCCACAAGAGCACCACGAAACTGATCTGGTCGGCGAACAGAGCTTCCCCTGTTTCCAATTCCGACAAGCTTGTGTTCGAAGACAACGGGAATGTGGTGCTGCGTAAAGAAAACGGAGGAACTGATGTTTGGACATTAGATAATTCAGGCAAAAAAGCTTCAAGAATGGAGCTCCGTGACTCGGGGAATCTCGTCGTTGTTTCGGCTGACGGAACTTCGATCTGGGAGAGTTTTGATCATCCCACAGATACTCTGATAACGAATCAAGCTTTTAAACAAGGCATGAAGCTCACTAGCAATCCTTCTTCGAGCAACATGACTTATGCTCTTGAGATCAAATCAGGAGATATGGTTTTATCTGTGAATAGCTTGACCCCTCAAGCGTATTGGTCAATGAAAAATGCCAGAGAGAGGATCATCAACAAAGACGGCGTAGTGACTTCATCGTCTCTCCTTGGGAATTCGTGGCGCTTCTTTGATGAGAAACAGGTTCTGTTATGGCAGTTTCTTTTTGCAGAAAACAAAGATGATAACGCAACTTGGATCGCTGTTTTGGGAAACAACGGTGCCATCTCTTTCTCAAGTCTTGGAAGCGGAGCATCTGTTGCTGATTCTTCTACTAAAATCCCGAGTGATCTGTGCTCAACACCCGAGCCTTGTGGGTCTTACTACGTCTGCTCGGGTTCTAAAGTATGTGGATGTGTGCCCGGGTTGTCTCGGGCTCGGTCTGATTGCAAAACCGGTATCACTTCTCCCTGTAAGAAAACCAAGGATAATGCAACATTGCCGTTGCAGCTAGTAAATGCTGGAGATGGTGTAGATTATTTCGCTGTCGGGTTTGCTCCTCCCTTCTCCAAAAAAACCGATCTTGATAGCTGTAAAGAGTTCTGCAACAACAATTGCTCATGCCTAGGTCTTTTCTTCCAGAACAGTTCTGGTAACTGCTTCTTGTTTGATTGGATTGGAAGCTTTAAAAACTCTGGCAATGGAGGCTCTGGGTTTGTGTCTTACATCAAGATCGCAGGTACTGGTGCGGGAGGTGGAGATAACGGAGAAGGTGATGGGAAACATTTTCCTTATATAGTGATCATTGTCGTGGTGACGATTTTCATCATCGCCGTTTTGATCTTTGTGGCCTTCCGAATTCATAAGAGAAAGAAAATGATATTGGAGGCTCCTCAAGAGAGTTCAGAGGAGGACAATTTCTTGGAGAATTTATCCGGGATGCCTATCCGGTTCGCTTACAAAGATCTTCAGTCAGCCACGAATAACTTCTCAGTGAAGTTAGGTCAAGGAGGGTTTGGATCGGTCTATGAAGGGACTTTACCGGATGGTTCTCGTTTGGCTGTGAAGAAACTTGAAGGAATTGGTCAAGGCAAGAAAGAATTCAGAGCCGAGGTTAGTATAATTGGAAGCATTCATCATCTGCATTTGGTGCGGCTCAGAGGATTCTGTGCAGAAGGGGCTCATAGGCTTCTCGCTTACGAGTTCTTATCCAAAGGTTCGTTGGAGAGATGGATATTTAGGAAAAAAGACGGAGAATGTCTGTTAGATTGGGACACAAGATTTAACATCGCACTCGGAACAGCCAAAGGTTTAGCGTATCTACACGAAGACTGTGATGCAAGGATTGTCCACTGCGATATAAAACCTGAGAACATCCTATTAGACGATAACTTCAATGCCAAGGTATCTGATTTCGGACTCGCGAAGCTCATGACCCGTGAACAAAGCCATGTCTTCACAACAATGCGCGGGACAAGAGGCTACTTGGCTCCCGAATGGATCACAAACTACGCAATCTCAGAGAAGAGCGATGTTTACAGCTACGGAATGGTGTTGCTAGAGTTAATAGGAGGAAGAAAGAACTATGATCCATCAGAAACTTCGGAGAAATGCCACTTTCCTTCTTTTGCTTTCAAGAAGATGGAAGAAGGGAAGCTTATGGAGATCGTTGATGGGAAGATGAAGAATGTTGATGTGAATGACGAAAGGGTTCAAAGGGCGATGAAAACTGCACTTTGGTGTATACAAGAAGATATGCAAACGAGACCGTCGATGAGCAAAGTTGTTCAAATGCTTGAAGGAGTTTTCCCGGTGGTTCAGCCACCTACTTCTTCCACTATGGGATCAAGGCTCTACTCAAGCTTCTTTAAGTCGATCAGTGAGGATGGTGGTGCTACTACGTCATCTGGACCATCCGATTGTAACAGTGAGAATTATCTCTCCGCCGTCAGACTCTCCGGTCCGAGATAGCAATCTTTTCTTATTCTTTTAGCCAGTTTTTAGATTCTTATAATAGGTTTTTGGCTCACCATATATTATTATTGTATATTGTTTGTGTGTTATATCTTGAAAGAATAGTCATCTTCTCTCAGTTTTGTAATGTTCCGAGATTTATTAAATGGATTACACGTCGTTTTCCTCAACTATTATAGAACTCCTTGTCGTTTTAAATTATTTTGTTACGTCACTCATTCGGACTGCATGCCGTATGTTCTTATTACTTTTCTCTCTCTCTCTCAGCATCGATTCCTATTGGCTATAACCTTTTGCTTACTGTACACCTGAGGGTAGAAGATAGAAACTACGTATTACACAAAACTGAGCTGAGGCTCGGTGATTCTCGTCCCACCGTTAAAGATGACGACGGCGACGACTGCGTCACTGTTGGAGACTTCTCTTTTCCGGTGCGACTCGTCTTCTTCTTCTTTCAAATTCAAACTTCCAGCGAAAACGCGACTGCTCCCTCCGGTGACCGGGAAACATGTTGTGAGAACGTTAAGAGCTTGGCGTATTCGTTGCGTCTCCGATGATCCTGGTAAGACCGGATTCTAGTATCCTTAAACATTTCTGTTCTAAGGTTCCTCTTTCCGTCGATCTCGGAACAGAATAGCTTCGTTTTATAATTTGAAATGAAATGCTTGGTCCGATTGGAAAACTTCAAATGCTTGGAGTCCGATTCGTGCTGAGGTTGTTCTGTTTCTGCATAATTTCTAGGTTGGCGTCCTGATTTGGTTTCCAGTAGAAGAAAAATGGTTGTAATGTTGTCCACAGTGCAGCTTCTGTCTCATTTGGTTCCGCCATATGGCAAGGCAGCTGAGTGAGTCTTAAAAATTGAAGCTGGATTTTGGTTTGGTTATTTGGATCAGTGTTCTTCAAGCTATTGTATTCCAAGGTCTTGTGCTAATTTTGCAAATCGCACTGTTGGATTACAGCATTTATCCAGTGATGCAAAACGAAATAAGGAAAGTCGTGACAAAGGGTAAGGCTGCTGGTGTGCTTCGTCTAGTGTTTCATGATGCTGGAACCTTTGAGCTGGAAGATAATTCAGGTAAACAGATAAGTTTTAAAGTGTAAACATTTGGTTGTTAGATCACTTCTATTGGTTATCTTTTCTTGCTTTCTCAGTAAAAGATACTGCAATCCACTAGCTAAGATCAATTGTGTTTTTGGTTATGAATTTAATTGCAGGTGGCATCAACGGGTCTATTGCATATGAACTTGAGAGACCTGAAAACACTGGTTTGAAGAAATCCTTAAAGGCACTAAATCCCTCTCTTTAATCTGTTAGCGTGAGCATATAAAGATGTAATTTTCGCATCTACGTAACTGCCTTTTTTGTATATATTTGCTCTTGTATCTCAAATATGTTACATTCGAAAATTGCATCTACTAATCTTCTTGGTAGATGTATTCTTTGCTAGGTTCTAGCAAAAGCAAAGATTAAGGTTGATGAGATACAACCAGGTACTTACTTTTTGAACTATGTGTCCTGTCATGAGCGTTGTTGCTAATGTTCTCAATCTGCGTGATCTCAGTGTCTTGGGCAGATATGATCTCTGTCGCTGGATCAGAAGCAGTTTCAATATGTGGCGGCCCAATAATTCCAGTACTTTTGGGAAGACTTGATTCAACGTAAGCAATATATGGTTGTAGTCCTCATTCGATTGATTTCTGGTTACTGTTTCTATATTTCCAGCAGGGTGATTTTCTCATGTTTACAGGCAACCTGATCCAGAAGGCAAGCTACCTCCAGAAACCCTGAGTGCCTCTGGTTTAAAAGAATGCTTCAAAAGAAAAGGATTTTCGTAAGTCGTTACACAAAGATAGCTATGAATTGTTTTAACATGTTTTTGTATCAGCATTTTGTAACTCGACATCAATGGGTTTGTGTACCATTGCAGGACTCAGGAGCTTGTTGCTTTATCTGGGGCACATACGATAGGGAGTAAAGGCTTTGGGGATCCGACAGTTTTTGACAATGCATACTACAAAATCCTTCTTGAAAAACCATGGACATCAGCTTGTAAGTCTGATGACAAAGTTCTTAAGTTCCTTAACTCGTACAATTTAAGTTTCCACCCATTCCTCCCTATGTTCTGAAGATTGTTTGTAAAACTGAGATTATACATTTACATAGTTAAGTTCTTATGATGCAGCCAAAATGACGAGCATGGTCGGCCTCCCTTCGGATCATGCCTTAGTGGACGATGATGAGTGTTTAAGGTTTCTCAGTTTCTGAACGTTCTTACCTTATCATTTATTTATCTAATTTTCTCTTTAGTACTAATTTTAGTAGAGTGGAGTAATGTGCTGAACACTTGGACTATAGGCTCATAGATAAAACTGGAATATGTTGCACATTGTTCATGTCATATGAGCGATCTGGAAAACTATTAATTGATATAGATTTGTGGTTTGATGATGCACAGATGGGTGAAACGATATGCGGAAGACCAAGACAAGTTCTTCGAAGACTTCACCAATGCTTATAAAAAACTAGTGAATTCTGGGGCTAAATGGAATAAGTTATGATGTGTAGTAGTAATATCTTTTGTTAGCTCATAAGTGTTTCAAACATGCCTGAATAATTTGGGTGATAATAATGCTTATTTGCTAGTAAGGTAAAAGTTTCTCTGCTTACTACTACGACTACAAAACTAAACAGTAGATATACTCGAAACTTAATCGGTGTTTGGTTTGACTTCCATTGACTAAATATGTTGAATTGTAATTTTAACCACTTTACAAAACGAAAAAACAATGACGTTTTTTTCAATAGTCTTGTGTGTTTACAAGCTTTCCCTTAATAGCATAGCATATCTATTCAGCAGTCAGCACGATTTAACAGTTTCAAGTTTCGAGTTATGTCGTTTAAAGCAATTTATGTAGATTTTACTATTTATGTTTGGTTCATAAACACAAAACACAAATTTTGCCCAAAAAAAAAAAACACAAAACACAAACAAAACCAATGAATAAAAGGTCATGTACGAATCGTCATAGGTAGATATTGTAGTGTGTTATAGGAATATGCCCGTTTCTATGTCAAAAGAGATATTAACATGTGTGTTTGTATAACAACCAATAATTTTTGGCTACTAGTCATTATCTTTTTTTTTTTTTTTTTATAATGTTTTTCTAAAGAGTAGTACAATCGCATTCATTTGGATAAGATAAAACTGATACATGGATGGTGAAGCGAATCTTCCAACAAGGATATACACCGACCAACATAAAATCAAAATCTGCAATCGCAACCATACTTCACAAAGTTTAGAGCATCCAAAGTCTCACGGTGTTGTCAGTTGTGAATATATATCAGTTTAATCAAAGATAGCATAATGAAATAGGGATTATATGTAGATTAAGAGAGATGATGGAGTGAGAAAGTGTTGAGAAGCAGCAAGAAAGAAGGAAAGGAAAGGTGTCACTGTTGTACTTGTATCTTACCCTAATCACTGGACCAACTTGTCTCTTAGGTTTTTGTGTCTAATCACTTTGCTTACTCTTTAATCACTCTCTCCGTGATAATCATACTTTTTAGGTAGGTGTTACCACTTTTCTACTATAGAAATGAATAATTATTTCAGTTAATTATATAATTTATCAATGCAATAGAAAACGCATCCCTAACTTAACTAGTTGAGGATACTTGTGTTTTTCTAAATCAAGGCTTTGTAATTTACTAATATTTCACGGTCTATTTAAATATGGACACATGTATAATATATAACCCACTCATGAAGCTAGTAGTCTATATATAACTAAAAAACGTGAGATAGCATACTGGAACCACATTCAATTTTTCACTAACCTAAACGAACGAACATGATTTTTTTTTTTTTGTCATCTCATGTTTTGCAATTTAAGGTAACAAAAACCTACAAGTTGAAATATTAAGAACCGTACGTGTTCTTGATATCGCATCTAGACGAGACGTAAACACTTTTACTCTATTCAAAAGTTCATTTGAAGTATTCTCAAATCCAAAACTATATATATGCGAATGTAGTCTAAAAATCAATGAAGGTTAATAGTGTTTGAGATGAGCTCTGGAGAGAATAAAACTATTTACTTTCTTTGTAGTCAACGAAATTAAAGTATAGGTGTACATGTGGGTGCATGTATTTAAATAAGTAACACTTGCTACTTTTTTTATTCATAAAATGGGAAATGATATATTCCAACTTTTTGAAATATTTGGTGAAAAAGGTACGTCATATTTATATAATTAATTGCACCATCACATTCGTCTAAGAAGAAATAATCAAACTCTTGATTTTTTATAATAAAAATTCTAAGAATATACAGAACACACACGCACATTTGCAAATATAAGCATATGGAGTTATGATACAAAGCAATAATTAAAAGAAACCACTAAATTACAAACATGGGTAGAATTTTGAAGTATCTTATCAAGTGATCATAGAGTATATGTTTAGTTAATAAAACATGTTCATAATAAAATAATAATTAAGGTCGTTAGTTAATTAAGTAGGAAAAAAAAACAAATAATATAGATTCCATGAGCTGGCTTGGAGATTAAAGGTGGTTTAAATTAAGTAGACATATATATAAAAAGGTCCCATGTAAAGTATATTATAACAGTGTGGGGGATGATAAAAGCTGATAATTAAGCATAATGCCATAAACTAATGACGAATCTGAAAGTTTATACCGTTTGATTTAAGAAAATGAGAAGGTCACGTCTCTCTCTCTTTCTCCAGTAGTCATTAGTAGTGTATTTTTAAAAGATATCAAAACATGAAAAAAGCAATCTAAACCATATCCAAAACCTCCCCTAATTCCGGGTTTCCATTTTTATAACTAATATTTAATCTGGACTCCCACTTAATGTTTCTTCTTTTTTTTCGCCAACTACTTTTTTCTTTTAACCTAAAGTTTTTTTCATATGTTAATGTCCCATCTAAATTTCAGTTAGTGGATGTTACACAAAAATATGTCATTCATTATATAGTTCTCGATACAACAATAAGTGAAAGAATTAACAATATATATATATACATTGTTGAAGGACGAATAAAAATAAGGTAATCAGAGTTTTGAACTTTTGATTAAACTCCCCAACACCACAGGTCCACAACAATCACACGATTAAAATTAAAAAAAAAAACCAAAAAATCAGCAGAATAACCGTAATTAAAAAATGATGGCACTTAGATTTAGAATAAATAGCCGCTGTAATAAATATTAAAACGTTTTGTTTTGTCATTTTCCTTTTCTCTTCCAAACCAAAAAAAAAAGAAAAAAAATCTCTGTCTAGTTTTTTTTTAAAAATTAAACAAAGAGAGAGAGAGAGAGAGAGAGAGAGAGAGAGAGACAACAAGGAAGTTCTGCTACACCAGAGCTCTTTTG